TTCAAAATTCCGAAATTTTTCGGAGAAAGCCCAGAATTTGCATTTATGGAGAGCTCCATGCAGAAGTTTCGGAAAAACTCCATGATTTTTCCAATTTTTTTCGGAATTTTCTGACAGTGTTGCGCTAACCAAAATTTGGTTTGACCGACGAAGTATTTTTTTCGTGTACGATTTCAAGAAATCCTAGGCGTCACTACGTCAATGTAGTTAATGTGTCGGAGTGTGCAGAATAAAAAAGCTTTGTGTTAAAGGGGAAATGGAGGATGGCTCAGCGGTGGCTACTACGAACCAGTAGTAGTGGTACCGATGTGGTCGTTGTGCCACCCGTCAAAGTTTAGACTTACCGGTAAATTGAAATCAAATCGCCGGGAAATTCGAAAAATGATCGAAAAAGGTTTATTTTGCGCTACGGCCCTACTAACTCCGAGAGCCCACGAGAACCAAACGAAATAACCCGAAGGCTTGCTCCTTGGGCTTGTCCAAATTGGACCTAAACTCTTCAAACGATACTTTGGACCTAATTTTGATCAAATAATTCACTAGGGGTACGCGCCGTTTAGTTTGGGCGCGTAGTAGGCGAGCGATGCGTCTGAACACATTCTTATAGGAGATGGTGAAGAATATGTGCAAAATAAGGCCAATACGGGGTCTTCCATAACAAAAGGGCCGGACTTAATGTCATTTTCGTGATTATCCTACTGAAAACTGCAAGAAACAATAGGAAACTAAACATTGACATTTTGGTCCAAAATTGGTAAATTTTGGGGAAAAGTAAAGGTCTGGGATGAAATTGGAAGTCATTTTCGTGATCAGCACACCAAAAACTGCAGGAAACTATGTAAAACTCGACTTAAAAATTTTGGTCCAAAATTGGTAAATTTTGGGGAAAAGTAAAGGTCTGGGATGAAATTGGAAGTCATTTTCGTGATCAGCACACCAAAAACTGCAGGAAACTACATAAAACTCGACTTGAAAATTTTGGTCCGAAATTGGTAAATTTTGGGAAAAGTAAAGGTCTGGGATGAAATTGGAAGTCATTTTCGTGATCAGCACACCAAAAACTGCAGGAAACTACATAAAACTCGACTTGATAATTTTGGTCCGAAATTGGTAAATTTTGGGAAAAGTAAAGGTCTGGGATGAAATTGGAAGTCATTTTCGTGATCAGCACACCAAAAACTGCAGGAAACTATGTAAAACTTGACTTGAAAATTTTGGTCCAAAATTGGTAAATTTTGGGAAAAGTAAAGGTCTGGGATGAAATTGGAAGTCATTTTCGTGATCAGCACACCAAAAACTGCAGGAAACTATGTAAAACTTGACTTGAAAATTTTGGTCCAAAATTGGTAAATTTTGGGAAAAGTAAAGGTCTGGGATGAAATTGGAAGTCATTTTCGTGATCAGCACACCAAAAACTGCAGGAAACTATGTAAAACTTGACTTGAAAATTTTGGTCCAAAATTGGTAAATTTTGGGAAAAGTAAAGGTCTGGGATGAAATTGGAAGTCATTTTCGTGATCAGCACACCAAATACTGTAGGAGTCAATGACTCACCGTGGAAATTTTGGCCCTAAATCATGTAATTCTAGTTGAATAAGTATGGGTCTGCTGTTGTTAACATGAACGCAATTTCTAAGAGTGTTTCCTGTTCACGGTGTCGTACCATGAACCCTGACCCTGTTACTCAGTCAAGTAACATTCAACTGCCAGCATTGAATTGCTTAATACGATTCACAAATGCCTCAATTACCATTCGATATCTCCTTGTTGTTAAACTTATGAATACGCAATGTCATTAGTAATACCTATAAAGCCTTTTGTATTAGTTTGTCATATTTAGGTACAGAAACATTTGTCATATCGTCATTCTATTGTTTTATGTCGTTTGTCTTTTGTCTACTACTGCGTTTGTCGTTTCTGAAATTTCCTGTTCACTCCTGTACTGCCAAGCCAATAGAGCAGGAGCAGATGCGATCTGGGAAGTCACTAGCGGTGATGGGACGAGGGGTCGGCAACTTCCCTTGGCCGTGTACGAGGGAGTATACGTATATTACCAGTAATATGGGTAATACATGTGTAATATAAAGTAATACAAAGGAATATACAGTAATATAGGGGTATTATAGAGTCGAAATTGTGGTAATATGCAAGTAATATAAGGTAATATACGGGTAATATATCCACCGCGTACGAAGTAATATGTGAGTTGCCGACCCCTCGTGATGGGACCCGGAACGTTCTTTACTCACTGGGGATCAATCTCGCGGGAAGCTTGAATTTCGACTTCTTTTCTACCATATATCTACCATTTAAACGGAGGTTATGACTCGCCACGAATTTATTGGCATTCGTGCCTCACAGGAACATGGATTCATTGAAAATTTTAGGACTTCATCTCGTGAAACAAATAAAAGCTATGCAGTTCGAGGTTATGGACGTTTGTGTACTGCTTGTTGCCTACCCAGCAGGCGCTATCGCTGGGGATCCTACTTTCATTAAGGCCAAAGTTTCATGAGGCAATCTTAACACTCTGCAGCAACTTCTATGCGTGCTTCGATGCGCACAAATGCCTTCTAGGCATCTTTGCAACATTTAACTTCTTTCAGCATTAAACGCCATGCCTTACAAAAAAGGGAGCATTTGAACGTTCCCGCTCATTTGATCCCCAGTGAACCTTCATTTGTCTCGATGTGCTCCTGCTCTATGGAATACACGTGAAAATTGAATCTACCAGTTTTATCTATTTCCATCCTGAAAATCTACAAGAGAATTACAAAATCAACACACCTTTTATCTTCCTTTTATTTTAAACTAGCGGATGCTTCCTTTTATTTTAAACTAGCGGATGAAACTATATTGATTATATCTGAATTAATTAAAAAGAGACACATTTACAGGCAGGCTGATTGCAACTACTTTATGGAGAAGACCTTCTATCAGACCCACTGAATCGTTCCATAGAATCCGATGTCGAGCCCACTTTTTGCTAAATGCAAGTTAATCTTATTCATAATGATAGTCATGATGTGATATTTAATCTTTGAAACAGTATAGCATAAGTATTTACCTAACATTCTAAGTAAATTAAAAAGAGAGCCAACTAAAACCATGACCGACACAAATTACCAGTTGTCGCAGACAATGTATGATGAAGTTAAAAGAATCGTCTCATGAAATCATATGATCAAGTCACTGAATCGTCTCATTGAATCAGATGTCAATGTCAAACCTTGTATGCGCTACACTCACTCACCGTATGGTTATCTTTAAGGTTAGTACTATAGTAAACTTACAGCATTGCAATGAAGCCTTTTCCCAGAGTCTGTGCCAAGAGTCAGCAAAGACTATTTATTTTCGCAACATTCGTGTCCAGAGTGTACTTATAGAATGTATTAATTTATTTTCTAACTGTTATTTGAGCAAAGCAAACAACTAAAAAGTATAGTGTCTGAATAAAAATGGAAATACACTCACAAAGGTTAAAAAGACCAAATCATTCTTGCAATTATCAAACACACTCCACTGACCAAAACATTTCCTCTGTAGCGGTGTAGCGGGGGAGGGGAGGGGGCGGACGGATGGACGAAACGCGTAATAATTGTCACTTTCATTTTCCGTATTTCACTGAGTTGACACTCCGGAGGGGTTTCAATCATTCTAAAATATCAAAAAACTATGACCGTACTCACTTCTAAGCCCTTCTGCTCTTTAGTTTGTTTTATTTGCCAATGTTTTGCTAGGTCCCGTATTTGAGAGTCGCGGCCGCAAGTATGAAAAATTGCTACGAGCCGCCAACCACTGCCAACCTAACCACGCTAAGAACCTAATTCAAAAAGATGTTTTGAATATTTCAAACAATAGTAATCGTGATAATAAGATAAACTCCCCCTGGGGGAGATTTAGGAGCCTTCCGGTGCGAAATTTTGAAACTATTTGTGCGGTAGTTGCTGAGAAACGTGAGTGAGTTACAGACAGACAGACAGACAGACGCACGACCAGTCACTTTTTGGTACCCCCAAACACGGCATGGGCTCGCTATCGCTCGCCAAAAAGGGATCAGCGAACTTTTTTTCGGCTTCTGGAGTTTTCTTTTTATTGAACAGTATTTGGTTTGGAACGGTGCAGAAATGGGCTTGCTATCAAGATGTTTAACTGAAAAATAGACACGTCAATAATACTTCTTTATTCAATAGAAAGGTACAAACAGTACAAAGAAGTCTCCACTGTTTGCCAATCGATACAACGCTTGAGTAACGGTGACAGGTTTCAATCAATGCCCTCTTCCAATCATCAGCGGAAGCGTGCTTAAAACAAACGAATCTTATTTCAGAGACGGAATGTCAAAATCAAATATTGTCATGTATACGAATTGGAAATATAATCATCTTGAAATGAGGATCTAAGACCTCTACACAGCCGAGTCATATAGTTCTAAATGACTTCCCACTTAACTACTACAAATGAAAAGAAACAAACTATAATATTGTAAAAAGACAAAAAATTAACACGGAGATAGTTAGTATTCTTCTTTGAACAAAGTGGAACTTAATATATAAGTTATACGCCTGTTTCACCGCTGTACCTCTAGGAGTTCGACAAAGGCTAGCCTTCTAAAACTTTGCCACTACACAAAGTATTCACTTTAGGTAGATTTGCGATAAGTGTGAAGACCTGTCACAGATCGCGTCGATTCAAAGTTTTCTGGGCGTAATTTGGAACCAGGAATCCGATTTTGTTGGTACAAAGACTCTTGATGAACTCAAAATCAATGCTTTTCGTGTAAACCACCTAAAAATGGCCTATTTCTGACTTCAGAATTCACATCCAACATTCATTCGGTTTCTGTAACAGTAGTTGTCTGCAACCAAACGGTCATATTGTGGTGAATGAGTTCCCAATGAATCAGCGAACCTTTTTTCGGCGTCCGGAGTTTCTTTTATTTTTTAAATGAAACAGTATGTGATTTGGGACGGTGTAGAAATGGGCTTTCTCTCAAGATATTACTTTAGCTTTATCTGAATAATGGACACGTCAATAATACTTCTTTATTAAACAGAGAGGTGCAAACAGTTCAAAAAAGTCTCCACCAAAGGCAAGAAACATGTAAAATATGTAAAACGTGCAACTGAGAGACATTGATACAACGCTAATGTTATGTTAACAAGATTAAATCAATGCCATCTTCCAATGATCGACGGAAGCCTGCTTCAAACAAACGAGTCTCATTTCAGAGACGGAATGTCAAAATCAAATATTGTCATGTATACGAATTTGAAATATAATCATTTTTAAATGAGGATCTAAGACTACAGAGCCGAGTCATATTGTTCTGACTTCCCACTTAACTCCTACAAATGAAAAAAAAAACTATAAAATTGTAAAAAGACAAAAAATTAACACGGAGATGGTGTCCTACTTTGAACAAATTGGGACTTAAAATATAAGTTGTGCGCCTCATGAGCAGTCTGGTACACTTAGGCCTGGCGCTTAGAAATCGTCTTCCGGATAAATACAGCCTGCCGTTTTTCCTCAAAGAGAGTCCGCAGTTGACACTGCTGTCATCTTGACTTAACTCCTATTTGCCAACTCGATGTTCAAATCGTTTCCTTCAGTGTGGGTTCGCAGGTGCGTTTTCAGATGAGAGTTTTGCCTGAACTTCTTGTTGCAAACCGTGCACTCAAAGGGCTTGTCCCCTGTGTGGGTCCGGAGGTGTACTCTGAGCTTGCCACTTCTGGTGAACTTCTTGTTGCAAACCGTGCACTCAAAGGGCTTGTCTCCTGTGTGGGTCCGGAGATGCACTCTGAGGCTGCCACTTTCGGCGAACTTCTTGTTGCAAACCGTGCACTCAAAGGGCTTGTCCCCTGTGTGGGTCCGGAGATGCACTCTGAGGTCGCCACCTTGGTTGAACTTCTTGTTGCAGACCGTGCACTCAAAGGGCTTCTCCCCTGTGTGGGTCCGGAGATGCACTCTGAGGCCGCCACCTTGGTTGAACTTCTTGTTGCAGACCGTGCACTCAAAGGGCTTGTCCCCAGTGTGGGTCCGGAGATGCACTCTGAGGCTGCCACTTGCGGTGAACTTCTTGTTGCACACCGTGCACTCAAAAGGCTTGTCCCCTGTGTGGGTCCGGAAATGCTTTCTGAGGCTGCTACCTTGGCTGAATTTCTTGTTGCAAACCGTGCACTCCAAGGGCTTCTCTCCTGTGTGGATCCCGAGGTGCGTTTTGAGGTTGCAACGATGGCTAAACTTCTTGTTGCAAACCGTGCACTCAAAAGGCTTCTCTCCCGTGTGGGTCCGCAGGTGCACAGTCAGCTTGGACACGGACTCATTCTTCTTGCCGCACACTGGACAGTCGTGACCCATTTTGAGTTTGGGAATGGGAAGTCCCTGAAAGACAGAAATTATTGGTCATCACTTACAAAGTTAATAAAGCCTTCACAAGAAAATGAGTGCAAGTCCTCGTGTGGGACATGCATGCACCAGGAATCGATGGGCACACTGTAAAAATTAATGTCCGGAAAAAACGACGGATCCTTCGGCAAAAAAATTGCCAACGGTTCCTTCGTTAATTTACAAAAGTCTTCGTATATTTGCAAAAACCTTCGTTAATTTTATTAACGATCTCTGTCGATTTTACAATCGCAATGGAAATTTACGAAGCACCTTCGTAAATCTTCAAAGATACTTCGTAAATTTACAGGGAACCTTCGTTTATAAACAAAGAACCTTCATTAATATACAGAGATTCTTCGTAATTATACGTCTGGTATTAACGACGGATCCTTCGGCAAAAAAATTGCCAACAGATCCTTCGTTTATTTACGAAGGTCCGCCGTAGATTTACGAAGATCCGTCGTAGATTTACGTAGCCCGTCGTAAATTTACGAAGGGCTTCGTAAATTTACAACAGACTTTGTACATTTACGAATTTTCTTCGTAAATTTACAAAGAACCTTCGTAAATTAACGACGAACTTCCGTTGATTTACAAAACTTCCTGTTGGAAAGAGACATTTACAGTGCACTTTTGGACATTCCCAAAAACCTTCGTAAAATAATCCGTCGTAAATTCACAACATAATTTTTACAGTGCACAGTTTGTCTAACGTTTACAAAAATAGAAGAAGAACTGTGAGTGGTAACACTCAGACCTATATGGTTTTTTTCTCGAGTGGTTGTCATGTTTTTGGAGCAAACGTAAAACGTACTATTTTCTTTTTAACTATGCACAATTTTGATCATTTCAAGGATAAAATTGTCAATAGATCACTTAGAAATGGAAAAGTACATTGCAAATGACAAAAAGTCAGTTTCATGGACCAAATACATTGTACGATGAACCAAATAGTGCACAGCTAAATATTACGTTCGCACAAAAAACCTTGTTACAAAAGATAAAAAGTCAATACGAGACTGAGTGCCACGAAAGTACCGAAAACTGTGGTAAAAAGAACAACAGGGTTTGTCGCAAGTATGACGAGACTTGTAGAAAGTACAACGAAGCCTGAACACCACACCGTTAAAACGTCCCTATAGAACCCAATAAGATGAACGAGCAAAACAAAGAGAGTCCCGTGGAATTGGCACTAATTCCAAGGAGTCCTCTTGAAAATAAGCGAACTTTGCGTGAATCCTTGGGACTCTCTTAGAATTTTGTGATTTTCCAAGGAAGGTGCTTGAAATGTATGTAACCGCTATAGCTCAGACTGGTATTGATTTTTTTCTCTCCATAATTGACATTTTGTCCTTGGCTTACGTTGTTTTTGAAGCAGCAATAAAATGTAGTATTTCCTTTGTAACCATGTACAATATTGTTCTCTATAAAGACTTTATTGTCATCAATTATTGACTATTTTCTAAGTCAATTGCGTATTGACCCTTTGACAAAAGCAAATTGACTTTATGTCAATATAAGGAACAAAATCCTTCATAAATATCGAAGAAATGCTGTGTAAAATACTCTTCAACAAAGGACAAAAAGTCATTAACAATCTGAGAGACGCCTCGCGCCTTTGATCTTTCATAATTTTAGCAATGAGAGATGAATTATTTCCGGGATAAAAATTTGATACCGTTCAGTAGTCGAAGCAACTAAGGAAATAAGGCTATCGAAATAGTGAAAACTAAATGTGAAAACAAGCGAGGCTGAAACTCTTGACCTCACTTTTATGTTTACGTCCCCAGCACGAAATTCCAAAAGAAATCCTCGAAATCCGAGGGAGTCCCTTTGGTTAGTTAATTCTCAAGAGAGTGCATTCACTGTGGCAAAAATGTACGGAAAATTCTGTTAATTTTTTTGCCAGGATTCTCCGTAGCCCTATTATCAATATTCTCCGTAGGCTCTTACAGTATTCTCCGTAGGGGCGTACAGTATTCTCCGTAGGACCGCACAGTCTTCTCCGTAGGACCTGGAAGACTGTACAGTCCTACGGAGATCACTGTGAGGTCCTACGGAGAAAACTGTGCGGTCCTACGGACTGTTAGAGCCTACGGAGAATACTGATAAGGGGGCTACGGAGAATTACCACAAGCTGTTTACAGAATTTTCCGTAGCTTTTCGTGACAGTGTTGACATTGATTTCAAAGGAATCCCTTGGTTTCGTTCCAACTCCCTTGGATCAGAGAAAATACCCTGACTTCCAAGGGGACGTCTTGAACGTCCACTCGTCATGCCGGTTTCATTTTACTTCGTTGCAATTCACAGAATTTTCTGACGTGATGTCACAGAATAAGCAAGTGATCAAAACGCTAATATGTATAATTGCATTCAAGTATCGCATTCGTGGCATTCGAAATGAGTTCATTACTGCATTTGAGATAACAATGAGGAACTTCCTGTGATCATCTTGTTCATTCCTTTGTCAAAGTACGCAAGGTCCGTACCTGGTCCATGTGAACGCATAAAAACGGTTACGGAAAAAAAATACCGTAAAATACAGATGTTCCGTATTTGGTAGGTACGGAAGGCTCGGACAAATTTTTGACCAGATTTAGTTACGTACTTGTTTGGGACTTTCCTCTAACAATGAATATTTGAACCCTACAAATGCTCGAAACACCTTGCAACGTCTGAGCTAGTGCAGAGAATTCTATTCAACTCTTACAGCAGACCGTGAGAACAGAAACAAACTGTAGATGCGGTGTCACTTACCCCTCAGTTCTGTTTACGTGAAGATCGCCGACACACTGGTTGAGCAACCGGATCCCTCTCACTGCGAGAAACGACGGTGTGTTCAGACCACGCCTTGGCGGAACCGGCTAGCTACTCGGTCCACGTCGGACTGCGAACGGTGCTCCGGCACTGCGTCGTCAACGTTGGAGATCGAAGGCTGAAGGATCAAAACCGGAAGTAACGAATGATGGTCCGGTCGCGCCGATCTCGGATTGGCTTGGCTTGGGCTCACCTGATGACTCGCAGCGTCCGCTTCCGATTTTCGGTTCCGCTTCAATACTGGTTTGCGGACCGGCAGATTGGATGTTCAGAAGAGGCGTCTTGGACCTGAAGTGTGAAAAACAAAATCAGAAGACTGAAATAACCGGAAACGACCGCCTACTGCAGTTGTGATGAGATGTCAGACGTTTTCGGCAGTGAATATTTGATTCTAGGGTTTCCCTCTGGTAAGACTACAGCGTAGTTGCACGCGTCATTCAAGCGCACAGCTACGCTTCACGACATCTCCCGTGCATTTAGATAGAAGGGAAGAAGCGCATGAGCTCTTGTACGCTTCAAGTAGGGCGGACACTAGCAACCTAACTGTCTACTTGGTACATAGTTAAAAATGCATGCTTGCAAGTACACACATACTAATGCATACTTAGTCAAGTACAGACCTGGCTGCTTGGTAAGGAGACACCTACAAATGCCTATAGCATAGATGCTGTGCATGGAGTTATACGTCGCCATGCATGCGTTGGAGAGTGCGCACTTGCCCAGCACGCGTTTGTAAGTGCGTGGTTGGCCAAGTATGCGTTTGTAAGTGTGTACTAATTAGACAGTTATGTTTGTGGTATACAGACTGTGCGCTTCACGAAAGGCGTCATACTACGCTTTACTTTAACCTGTGCAGGCAGATGACAACTGAACGTGGAATTCTAAAAGTTCATCAGGTTTAACATAATTATGTCGAATCAAGGTCAGGGATGATATCTGCGCCATAAATATTTTCGTACAAATGTTGTACGAGACAACACAGTTTTTGCGCAAAGGAATTCTTCGTTCACATTTGCACGCTTGTTCTGAAATAAAATATTGTGTGCTGTTCTTCGCACGAAATTTGTACGAAAAATTCATTCGCTCAAAACAATGTGATGTTGAGGACAAAATTCTTCATCGTGTTGACATTTCTGTGACAACTTCTTCCAACTGCAATCAAACGACGATAGTACTACTGAGATCAAGTACCTTGAGCCGTCTCAAAGCAAAATATGAAGCCAGAGATCCATTTCGTGGGAAATTTTATGCTTTCAGATGCATTTGGCCGTTCAGATGACCTGTCCGTTCTGAGTACAGACGAGTATGTGTGTACTTCGTACACAGATAAGTGCTGTATGTGTGCGTATCAAGACGAAATTTTTAGTTTGATTCGAAAAGAAGTTAAAAATTTGACTCAAATCGTGCGCGCAGTGACACCATGTTATTTTGCAGGGCTTTAAATCGTGCCTCATATCCGTACTTATTTGATGGGATATTTGATAGGAGGGTGGCTCAGCGGTGGCTACCAACCATTGGCAGTGGTACCTGTGTGGTCGATGTGCCACCCGCTAAAATTTAAACTTGACAGTAATAAAAAGCAAATTTCCGGGAAATACAAAAAATTAAAATGGTTTGCACTCTCAGACTCGTATTGACTTTTTATATTTTGCCATAAAGGTTTTTGTGCAAACGTAATATGTACTATTTTCTCTTTCGTTATTCACAATTTTGTTCGTTGTATAATGTTTATAGTCCATTAAACCGGACTTAATGTCATTTGCAATGCACTTTTCAATGTCTATATACTCTATTGACAAATATATCCCTAAAACGATCAAAATTGTGCATAGTTAAGAAGGAAATAGTGCATTTTACGTTTGCACAAAAGAGAGAAAAATGTCCATATAGGTCTGAGCTTGTGTTTTGCGCTACGGTCCTCTTAACTCCGAGAGCCCAAGAAAACCAAACGAAATAACTCGGAGGCTTGCTCCTTGGGCTTGTCCTAATTGGACCTAAACTCTTCAAACGATACTTTGACCTTAATTTTGGTCAAATAATTCATAATGGATCAGCAAAACCGTTTTTTGGGCTTCTTGAGTTTTATTTTTTTTGGGACGGTGTAGAAATGGGCTTGCTCTGAAGATATAACATTACCTTTATCTAAAAAATGGACACGTCAATAATACTTTTTTATTCAATATAGAGGCAAAAACAGTAGTGTATACAAGTAACATCAGTAAACGTGCAACTGAGTCAAATTGAGAGAAAGCTTATGTAACGTTGACCAGGATCAATCAATGCCATCATCCAAAGATCAACGGATGCGTGCTTAAAACAAACGAGTCGTATTTCAGAGACGGAAAGTCAAATTCACATATTGTCATGTATTCGAATCGGAAATAAAATCATTTTCAAATGAGAGCCTAAGACTTCCAGAGCCCAGTCCTATTGTTCTAAATGACTTCCCACTTAAATTCTTACAATGAGAAAAAAAAACTATAAGCTTGTAAATGACAAAAGATTAAGACACGGATAGTTTTCCTAACATTAAACAAATTCGGACTAAATATCTTAGTTATGCGCCTCGCGAACAGTCTCAACCGTTACACTTAGGCCTGCCGCTTAAGTACTTGTATTCCGGAAAAATACAGCTTGCCGTTTTTCCTCAACGAGAGTGCGCAGTTGAGACTGCTGCCATCTTGACTTAACTGCCATTTGCCAACTGGATGTTCAAATCGTGTCCTCCAGTGTGGGTTCGCAGATGCTTTTTCAGATGGGAGTTTTGCCTGAACCTCTTGCTGCAAACCGTGCACTCAAAGCGCTTGTCTCCTGTGTGGGTCCGGAGATGCTTTCTGAGGTTGCCACTTTGGATGAACTTCTTGTTGCAAACCGTGCACTCAAAGGGCTTGTCTCCTGTGTGGGTCCGGAGATGCATTCTGAGGATGTCACTTCTGGTGAACTTCTTGTTGCAGACCGTGCACTCAAAGGGCTTGTCTCCTGCGTGAATCCGCAGATGCACTCTGACGCTGCCACTTTCGGCGAACTTCTTGTTGCAAACCATGCACTCAAAGGGCTTGTCCCCTGTGTGGGTCCGGAGATGCACTCTGAGGTTACTACCTTGGACGAACTTCTTGTTGCAGACCGTGCACTCAAAAGGCTTGTCTCCTGTGTGGGTTCGGAGATGCACTCTGAGATTGCCACCATGGAAGAACCTCTTATTGCAGACCGTGCACTCAAAAGGCTTGTCTCCTGTGTGGGTCCGGAGGTGTACTCTGAGCTTGCCACTTTCGATGAACTTCTTGTTGCAAACCGTGCACTCAAAGGGCCTTTCCCCTGTGTGGATCCGGAGATGCACTCTGAGGCTGCCACTTTCGGTGAACTTCTTGTTGCAAACCGTGCACTCAAAGGGCTTGTCTCCTGTGTGGGTCCGGAAATGCTTTCTGAGGCTGCTACCTAGGCTGAACTTCTTGTTGCAAACCGTGCACTCCAGGGGCTTCTCTCCTGTGTGGATCCCGAGGTGCGTTTTGAGGTTGTTACGTTGGCTGAACTTCTTGTTGCAGACCGTGCACTCAAAAGGCTTCTCTCCCGTGTGGGTCCGCAGGTGCACAGTCAGCCTGGACGCGGACTCATTCTTCTTGCCGCACACTGGACAGTCGTGACCCATTTTGAGTTTGGGAATGAGGAGTCCCTGAAATACAGAAATAATTGGTCACTACTTACAAAGAAAATATAGCCATCAGAGGAAAATGAATGCAAATCCAGATGTGGGACATGCATGCACTAGAAATCGATGGCCAAGGTTTAAATAACGTTTAAAACATTGTAAGGGAAAGTGTGAGTAGTACAACGAAAACTTAGCTAAAAAGAACAACAAGGTTTGTCTTAAGTGTGAAGGGACTTGTACAAAGTATAACAAGGCCTGCACTGCAGACGGTAAAAACGTCTCCTTGGAATCCCAGGAGAGCGAGGAACACCAAGGGACTTCCTTGGCATTCTGCAATAGTTCAAGGAAAATGCTTGTAATGCAACCGCTACACCTCGCGGCTTTTTATTTCGTAATTGTTGCCATTAGAGATTGGAATTGATAGAGGAATAAAAATTTGATTCCGTTCATTTTTCAAAGCAAGAAAAATAATAAAAGCTACGGAAACAGTGAATACTCATTGTGAGAACAAGCAATGCCGAAACTCTTATCGTCACTTTTATGTTCACGTTCCAAGGTAAAGCCTCGAGATCCGAGGGAGTCCCTTGGTTTTGTCATTTTCAAGGGAGTTCTAAGGAATCAGCACTCGATTTCAAGGGGATCCCTTGGTTTCGATCCAACTCCCTTGGATTTGAGAAAATACTCTTGAATTCCAAGGGGACTTTTCTACCGTGGCACTCGTCATGCCGGTTTCATCTTACTTCGTAACAATTCACACATTATCCGGATGTGTTACCTAAGTGTCACACAATAGCAGTGATAAAAAGGCTATGTAAAATTGCTTTAAAGTAGCGCATTTGTGGCATTCGAAATGAGTTCATTGCGACACTTGGGATAACAATGCAGGAACTACCTGCGGTCTTCTTGTTCATTTCTTTGGCAAAGTACTTAAGTTCCGTATCTGTTCCATGTGAACGCATGAAAACAATTGCGGAAAATATGGAAGATGTTACGTATTCGACAGGTACGGAAGGATAGGACAAATTTTGGACCAAATTTTGTAACGTGCTTCTTTGGGACTTTCCTCCAACAATGGAAATTATGTGTACCCTACATACGTTCGGAGCACCTCGTAACGATTAGACCGTGTGCAGAGCAGTCTAATCGATTCCAACAGCAGACCGTGAGAACAGAACCAAACTGTAGATACGGTATCACTTACCCCTCAGATCTGTTTTCGTGAAGATCGCCGATAGTCTTGTTTCAACGACGGGGTCCCTCACACTGCGATAAACGACGGTGGGTTGCGGCTGGCCACGCCTTGGTGGAACCGGCTTGAGACTCGGTCCACGTCGGACTGCAACCGGAGCTCCGGGACAGCGTCGCGAACGTTGGAGGTAGAAGGCTGGACGAACGAAAACGGAAGTTATGAATGGTGGTCCGGTCGCGCCGATGTCGGACTGGCTTGGCAAGGGCTCACCTGATGACTCGCAGCGTCCACTTCCGGTTTTCGGTTCCGCTTCAATGCTGGATCGCGGACCGGCACATTGGATGTTCAGAGGCGTCTTGGACGTGAAGTGCGAAGAACAAATTCTGCGGTCAGATATAACCGGAAACGACTGGCTACTGTAGTTGTGATGAGATGTCAGATGTTTTCGGCATTGATTCTAGGGTTTTACACTGGTAAAACTGCAGCGTCATTCAAGCGCACAACTACCCTTCAGGACTTCAACCTACTGACATTATTTCTACTTAGATTATGTACCTTGAGTTGTTTAAAAGCTGAATATGAAAGCTAGAGATCCATTTCGTGCGAGCAATTTTATGCTTTCAGATGCATTTGGCCGTTCAGATAACCTATGTCTGTACCGAGTACTGACGGGTAAGTTTGTATTTCGTACACAGATAAATGCTGCGTAACGAGACGAAATTTTTAGTGTCACTCGAAAGAAAGTTTAAAACTTTGGCTCTTATTGTGCGCGGAGTCCCATTTTGCAGGGCTTTTAAACGTGCTTCAGACCCGTACTTATTTGATGCTAAAACACAATCTTTTTGAGATTGTTATTGGAGCAAAAAGTTCGTATTTTAACAAAGTGCTCGATGCTTGCCTGTAGTATTACTAACCATCGACGTAACCATTACTAAAGTTGACGTCCGAACAGGAGGTTCTAGTACAAAGTTCTATAAAAGGTTTATTTTGCGCTTCAGCACCCTTGACTTTGAGAGCCCACAACACTGCAAATACGGTGGTAAGTTTACTTGCCACAGCCGTTTTGAATGCTAAACTTTGGCAAGCTTAAATCGGAAATCTTCAGAAGCTTGCCAAATTTTGGCAAGCTTGGAGGTGTTTCCGGGCCAAGCTTGCCAAATTTTGGCATTCAAAACGCGGGGCTTGCCAAATTTGTGGCAAGTAAACTTACCACCGGATTTGCAGTGAACGGGGGGACACAGAAGCTTTCTGCGTGGCTTCGTCCAATTTGGACCGCACAAAGAATACTACCGGATCCTCCTGGAGTATTCAGAGACTTTTTATTTTATTTTTAAGAAGTTTGATCGTGGAACACGACCGATTACGATTTCCTCTATTATTAGGCCAAAGGTAGTCCTTGTGAGTCTTACAAAGGCCGCAAATGTTTTGTGCCGAAATATGCACGGTTCAGATTAAATCGGTAATTTTCTTTTTCTCTGACAAGTTTTCACATTTTTGACCAAATTTGAAAAAAAACCTTTCTGACACACTAAATGTTTGGGTAGAATTTAGTACGCGCAACTTGTAAGATTTTGAGCATACGTGGAATTTGCCGAAATTTGCATATTATCGTGCGTAAAGATGCATAAATTCACACGCAATTTTGGGCATGACGGTACGCAGGTTTAAAAGTATGCATCGCCACGTACAAAATTGTACAATTAGTGTGCACTCGATTGAGCTGAAAATATAGCATTTTATGTAAAATCACGCGAGGAACGTGAATCCGACACCAGTTTGTTGATAGGATAACCCAAAAAGATGTTATGACTGTTTCCCAGTTTTGGTAGCGGTTTTTACTTTCCTTGGGGTTGGGGTCTTGGTGTTCAACATCGATTCTCGACAATCCGATGCGTGGATTGTATAGATAAAGGACCGAACTCTCATATTCCGAGATAAAAAAGTTTAAGCACGCCGCGTGAAAAGCAGTGGCGCTGAAAAAATTCAAAAACCGTAATTTCTGGGTGGTTTTAGATCGGATTATACCTTTCGCGTGACCATCTCCGCCTCCGCCGACAAAATATTGTTCCAAGCAATGTCGGAGCAGGTGTGAAGTTTCACCGCTGTACCTCCAGTAATTTGGAAAAGGCAAGCCTTCTAAAACTTTGCCACTACACAAGGTATTCAGTTGAGGTAGATTTGCGAAAAGTGTGAAGACCTGTCACAGATCGCGTCGATTCAAAGTTTACTAGGCGTGATTTTGAACCAGGAATCCGATTTTGTTGGTACAAAGACTCTTGACGAACTCAAAATCAATGCTTTTAGTGAAAACCACCTAAAATTGGCCTATCTCTGACTTAAGAATTCACATCCAACATTCATTCGGTTTCTGTAGCAAGTTGTCTGCAACCAAACGGTCATATTCGGTCATGGGGCATTCCATCCCAAATCGGCCACTTTTGTAGGTCACCATTTCGGATCACGATGAAAATTTTTTTGTGGGTAGACCTTATCAAAAAAACATTCTGTGCAAAATCTCAGCCAGATCGGTCCAGTAGTTTCTGAGATAAGCGCCCTCAAAGTTTTAGTCAAAACTTCATTTAGGTGGTTTGAGCAAATTCGCACTTTTTCACGTTTTGGCCGATAACTCCGTCACTATTCAAGCTACGATGATTCCCGGAACGGTTTCTGAAAGGGAATACTGTGAGGATTCAGAAAATGTACTTGGATTTGAGATACGACTAGGTAAAGGTGGTGAAAAAAGTGAAAAATCGCAGAAAACTGTTTTTTTTGGACCAATTTTCAGTGAGATTTTCGGCCTATGCCTATATCGTGAAAATCCAAACCGAATAGCGGAAATTGTAGTCCATACCATGCCCAAACACGCTACGATCTCGGAATTGTTGGGTGTGGGTCTAGTTTCGGAGCTGCAGCGACTTGAAAATTCGTAAAAATAGGTCAAATTCTGTTTTTGGCCAAAGTGCACGCGGGCAGTGTTTTTTATTGAACAGGCTCCACGCGGCATGGGTAGCTTTGTTCAGATACCCCTTTTTGACCTTAGTTGAAGATTTAAGGTTCCCCATTTGAACAATGCAATCGATATTGTTCGAACAAGTGTCCTGGATCCACGAAAAACGAAAGCTGGGAACGTCTGCAGGGGGTACACTGCGAGAAAAGATCACGGTAAATCCTGTACTGATTCAGACTTCACCGTACTTTTTTTAACAGGCAATACCGTACCTTTTTTTTACAGGCAACACCGTACTTTCTTTACAGGGAATCCCGTACTTTTTTGCCCGGCAATCCCGTACTTTTGGTACGTATCAAAAAGGCAGGGTCGACATGAGCCCCATCCCGATTGAGCCCCGATGATCTGAGCCCCGGTCAGAGCCCCGTTTGAGCCCGACTTGAGCCCTGACTCGAGCCCCGACTGAGCCCCGATGGCCAGAGCCCCGATCTGAGCCCGGTTTGAGCCCCGACCTGAGGCCCATTTGAGCCCCACGCAACAAAACTTCTATTTTTGAACTTTTTTAGTGGCGATTTTGCGTCATTTTGCAATTTTTTTGGCGCGGGGCTCATGTGGGGCTTAAATGGGGCTCAGATCGGGGCTCTGGCCATCGGGGCTCAGTCGGGTCTGGAGTCAAGGCTCGAGTCGGGGCTCGGCCGAGGCTCTGTCCGGGGCTCAGGTCACCGGGGCTCAATCGGGACGGGGCCCATGTCGACCCTGCCATCAAAAACTGCTATCATTTTTTTCGGTCGGTTGACCCTCTTTTTCCAAGATCCTGATGAACGCAACTGCTGAAGTCGGACTCCTGGACCCCCCTTCCGACCACTCGTTGAAAAGGTCTTGACGAGACCTATCGAGACGAGGGGGTATGCACTCGCGTAATAGTCGGTTCACTCTATCTGCAATAGCGTAATAGCCGAAATTGTCAAAATTTTATCAATTTTGGTGTGTTTTAGGCCGATTTTAGCTAAATTCCGATTAATTTGTGGCGTAATAGAGCGTAATAGCGTAATAGTCGGTACATAGGTTCAGAGAGCGCATACCCCCTCGTATCGAGAGGTGCAATAAAATTTTGTAGTCGGTGTACGGAGAGCCAGCCGCGACTTGGTCTCGGACACAGTCGACGGCCTGCCTTACCTGGACGGGATAGCCGCGGGGGAAGAGGGAAAAGGGGGGGGGGTGTAGAGAGAGGGAGAGAGAGAAAGACACTGGCCGACCGAAGTGGCCCGAGCGCCTGTGCGGTAGGCAAGACCGGTCGGCATACGGGCTAGCCCTGCAGGCGTTCCCAGCTTTCGTTTTTCGTGGATCCAGGACACTTGTTCGAACAATATCGATTGCATTGTTCAAATGGGGAACCTTAAATCTTCAACTAAGGTCAAAAAGGGGTATCTGAACAAAGCTACCCATGCCGCGTGGAGCCTGTTAAAAAAAAAACTGCCCGCGTGCACTTTGGCCAAAAACAGAATTTGACCTATTTTTACGAATTTTCAAGCCGCTGCAGCTCCGAAACTAGACCCACACCCAACAATTCCGAGATCGTAGCGTGTTTGGGCATGGTATGGACTACAATTTCCGCTATTTGGTTTGGATTTTCACGATATGGGCATAGGCCGGAAAACTCACTAAAAATTGGTCCAAAAAAACAAATTTTCTGTGATTTTTCGCACTTTTCACCACCTTTACCTAGTCGTATCTCAAATCCAAGTACATTTTCTGAATCCTCACAGTTTTCCCTTTCAGAAACCGTGCGGGGAATCATCGTAGCTTGAATAGTGACGGAGTTATCGGCCAAAACGTGAAAAAGTGCGAATTTGCTCAAACCACCTAAATGAAGTTTTGACTAAAACTTTGAGGGCGCTTTTCCCAGGAACTACTGGACCGATCTGGCTGAGATTTTGCACAGAATGTTTTTTTGATAAGGTCTACCTACAAAAAAACTTTCGTCATGATCCGAAATGGTGACCTACAAAAGTGGCCGATTTGGGATGGAATGCCCCTCATATTCTGGTGAATGAGTTCCCAATGAATCAGCGAACCTTTTTTCGGCGTCCGCACTGAAAAATCAAACGTGGTCTAGACCGCACCAACTGGTGTGGTCAAATGTATGCCATTTTGACCGCATCAGTTGGTGTGGTCTAGACCACGTTTGGGGCGTTTGATGCGGTCTAGACCACACTAAACGTGCTCTAGACCTAGACCACACTAAACGTGCTCTAGACCGCACCAAACGTGGCCAAACGTGGTCCAGACCACACCAACTGATGCGGTCAAAATGGCACCCATCTGACCACACCAGCACTGAAAATCTATCGGCGTGACTTCGTGCCGCTGCAGGGGCGTGAATAAAGTGTCACGCCATTAAACGGCATGACAGAAAAGTCACGCCAAAAATCGGCGTGACTGAAAAATTCACGCCAATAAATTCACGCCAATTTTTGGCGTGAATTTCTTGTCTTGCCGCTTTTTGGCGTGACTTGTCTCATAAAACGCGTTGTCATTCACGCCAAATGAGGGCGTGACTCACATGTCACGCCGTTTTTCGGCGTAAATTTCGTGTCACGCAAATTTTTGGCGTGACTTTTAGTCACGCCATAATTTGGCCATGTGTCCGACCATTACGTTTTCAGTGAGTGGTGCGGTCTGGACCACGTTTGGTTTTTCAGTGCGGAGTTTCTTTTATTTTTTAAATGAAACAGTATGTGATTTGGGACGGTGTAGAAATGGGCTTTCTCTCAAGATATTACTTTAGCTTTATCTGAATAATGGACACGTCAATAATACTTCTTTATTCAACAGAGAGGTACAAACAGTACAAAAAAGTCTCCACCAAAGGCAAGAAACATGGAAAATATGTGAAACGTGCAGCTGAGAGACATTGATACAACGCTTATGTTATGTTAACAAGATTAAATCAATGCCATCTTCCAATGATCGACGGAAGCGTGCTTCAAACAAACGAGTCTTATTTCAGAGACGGAATGTCAAAATCAAATATTGTCATGTATACGAATTGGAAATATAATCATCTTCAAATGAGGATCGAAGACCTACACAGCCGAGTCATATTGTTCTAAATGACTTCCCACTTAACTCCTACAAATGAAAAAAAAAAACACTATAATTTTGTAAACAGACAAGAAATTAACACGGAGATAGTTGGTGTCCTCCTTTGAACAAATTGGTACTTAATATATAAGTTGTGCGCCTCATGAGCAGTCTCAACCGGTACACTTAGGCCTGCCGCTGAGTAATCGTCTTCCGGAAAAATACAGCCTGCCGTTTTTCCTCAACGAGAGTCCGCAGTTGACACTGCTGTCATCTTGACTTAACTCCTATTTGCCAACTCGACGATCAAATCGTTTCCTTCAGTGTGGGTTCGCAGGTGCTTTTTCAGATGAGAGTTTTGCCTGAACCTCTTGCTGCAAACCGTGCACTCAAAGCGCTTGTCGCCTGTGTGGATCCGGAGATGCATTCTCAGGCTGCCACTTGTGGTGAACTTCTTGTTGCAGACCGTGCACTCAAAGGGCTTGTCTCCTGTGTGGATCCGCAGATGCTTTCTGAGGTTGCAACTTTCGATGAACTTCTTGTTGCAAACCGTGCACTCAAAAGGCTTGTCTCCTGTGTGGGTCCGGAGATGCTTTCTGAGGCTGCCACCTTGGCTAAACTTCCTGTTGCAAACCGTGCACTCAAAAGGCTTGCCTCCTGTGTGGATCCGGAGATGCATTCTCAGGCTGCCACTTATGGTGAACTTCTTGTTGCAGACCGTGCACTCAAAGGGCTTGTCTCCTGTGTGGGTCCGGAGATGCACTCTGAGGTTGCAACTTTCGGCGAACTTCTTGTTGCAAACCGTGCACTCAAAGGGCTTGTCTCCTGTGTGGGTCCGGAGATGCACTCTGAGATTGCCACCTGTGGTGAACTTTCTGTTGCAAACCGTGCACTCAAAGGGCTTGTCTCCTGTGTGGGTCCGCAGATGCGCTCTGAGGTCGCCACCTTGGGTGAACTTTCTGTTGCAAACTGTGCACTCAAAAGGCTTGTCCCCAGTGTGGTTTCGGAGATGCTTTCTGAGGTCACCACTACCGATGAACTTCCTGTTGCAAACCGTGCACTCAAAGGGCTTGTCTCCTGTGTGGGACCGGAGATGCGCTCTTAGGTGGCCACCTTGGGCGAACTTTCTGGTGCAAACTGTGCACTCAAAAGGCTTCTCCCCCGTGTGGGTCCGCAGGTGCACAGTCAGCTTGGACGCGGACTCATTCTTCTTGCCGCACACTGGACAGTCGTGACCCATTTTGAGTTTGGGAATGAGGAATACCTGAAATATAGAAATAATTAGTCACCACTTACAAAGAAAATATAGCCTTCAGAGGAAAATAAATACAAATCCAGGTGTGGGGCATGCATGCACTAGAAATCGATGGGCAAGGTGTTTCTAGCGTTTACAACACTGCCAGAAAAAGTGTGAGTACATCGAAAGTTACGAAGACTGTGGTGAAAAGAACAACAGGTTAGGTCTTAAGTATGACGGCACTTGTAGAGCATGACAAGGCCTGGACAGCACTCGTCATGCCGATTTCATTTTACTTAGTAACAATGCACTAATTTTTTTGATGTGATAAGTGTCGCACAATTGGCAGTGACCAAAAAAGCTAAAGTGATTGCTTTTAATAATCGCGTTGGTGGCATTTGAAATGGGTTCATTACAAAACTTAGGATAACAATGCAGGAACTACGTGCGGTCGTTTTGTTCATTACAGTGTCAAAATACGCAAAGTCCGTCACTCTCAGACTGGTATTGACTTTTTATCTTTTGTTGAAGAGTTACACACAGCAATAAAAAGCACTTTTTCCTCAATATCTAAGTAAGATTTTGTTTGTTGTATTGACTCATAGTGAATTTGCCACTGACAAAGTGTATATATATACACAACGCAATTGACTGAATAAAAGTCAATAATTGATGACAATTCACTCTTTATAGTGAACAATTGTTGCTGCTGAAAAAAACTACGTAAGCAACGTGTAAGAGGTCAATAATGGAGAGAACAAGCTAGGGCCCGCCCTTCCGCTCCGCTGCGCCGGCAACTCGGTTCGACAGGGGGCCGGCCCAGCTTGGCCTGCCGGCGGCCTTTCCTCGGGCCTTCGGCCCTCGCATCGGACCCAACTTGGCCAGTCGAGGGCCCGGGCCTTCGGCCCGCTCGCATCACACACACCGTGAGCGGGTAAAGCAAAGTTATCGATGTACCATCGTGACTTAGGCCCGCCCTTCTATTCACAATATGCTAAAGTCCTTACACTTTTTACTCCAACTGTCCCTAGAATATGCCCATTTCATCTGTCTCTTAGCCCTCATTCCGAAAATACCCATATTTGCCATGCTACTGCAACTCCTTGCAATAGAGGCCCAGCAGGAGCGCAAAACGAGTCCGTCGCACTTTTTCCCATAACTCATGAAGGCGGGCTCCTGCACCTCCCTTCCGACCCCTCGTTGAAGAGGTCTTGCCAAGACCTATCGAAAACTTAAGTAAAAATTTTCAGTCGGTCGACCCCCTTTTTCAAGATCCTGAGACGAAGTCGGGCTCCTGGACCCCCTCTCCGACCCCTCGTTGAAAAGGTCTTGCTGAGACCAATCGAAATCTGCAATAATTTTTTTTAGTCGGTCGACCCCCTTTTTTGAAGATCCTGATCTGGCCCTTGTAAAAGCGGCCGATGGGGTCGGGGCCAGGTCCATTCATCTTGTCTCGTCGCCCCGATTCCAAAAATACCCCTACACAGTAAAAAAAGATTCGCCGATTCGGTGACGTCTGGGCGCCAAAACGAGAATATTACAAGAACAGCAACACCCTCAAACTGTTCTGGCGGCCCTCTGTTCGTTTCGGCGACGCTCGGTCTAGTTTCGGTGGCGCTCGGTCCGTTCCGGAGCAGCCACCTCACCAGAACGGCACTGCAGTCACCCTCCCGCCAGCGACTTTTAATCGTCGTATTAATGTGAAATAGGACACAAAACAAGTCAGGGGCTGTCAGTTATCATTCGCGTGACTCATCAAAGCGTAACGTTGCCGGCGGGCACGCACAAATATGCACAAACAGCTCAAAAACAGTTGTTGTGGTCATCCTAACCTCTCTGGCGGAACACCACCTGGTGACGCAGGTCACCGTTTTGGTGACAGACCGTCGCCGGGTTTGTAGGGGTACCCGTTTCGGTGAGATTGGATATAGAACGGCCACCAAAACAGCGAATCTTTTTTTACTGTGTATATGTGCCCTGCTAGCACCAATAATGGCGGAAATCCCCCTCCCGCTCATATAAACCATGATGCACCTGCAGCAGCACTTGTGCGACCCGGACGGGATTTGCATACCACCGGATTATTCGTTTGGACGGTACTCCTGAAGTACCCTCCAAATCTGGTTACTCTAGCTCAACTCCTTCCTTGTACACAGACGCCAACAACGACAATAACACACAGACACAAAGGCAAATGCATAGCACCCCCCCCCCTATTTTTTGAATAGAAGGGCGGGCCAGAAAAAGTCAATTCGAGTCTGAGAGTAGGCATGAAAACGGTTACGGAAGAAAACGGACAGATGTTCCGCATAAAGTAGTCAAGGAAGGCTAGGACAAATTAACGACCAGATCTTATTACGTGGTTATATGGGACTTTGGTCTTACAATGAAAATTTTTTGTACCCTACTTATGGCTGAAACACCCCGTCACGTTTAGAGCGTGTGCAGAGCATTTCAATGGAATCTAACAGTACACCGTGAGAACAGAAGCAAACTGTAAATGCGGAGTCACTTACTCTCAGATCTGTTTTCGTGAAGATCGCCGATTGTCTTGTTTCAACGACGGGGTCCCTCACACTGCGAGAAAAGACGGTGGGTTGCGGCAGGCCACGCCTTGGCGGAACCGGCTCGAAACTCGGTCCACGTCGGACTGCGAACGGTGCTCCGGCACTGCGTCGCCAACGTTGGAGATCGAAGGCTGGAGGAACGAAAACGGAAGTTACGAATGCACTGCAAAAAATCAGTGTCTGATACGGAGCAGCTACGGCGTTCCGTACACCCCCTGAAATGGTGATACGGACACCTGCCGTAACACTCTTCCCATATGAGCCTCTGCTTTGTAAAGCGTGTGGTGCGGAAATTTAACGGAAAATGTACCGCTTATTTCAGACTGGAGGTTGCCGTTTCGGTTTTCCGTTAGTGAAAATGTCCAAAATGCTCTACGGACAGTGAGAAACGGGCGCTCCGTAACTCACATTTCTGTAACGTATAACGTGTAACGGCCAGTCCGTATCCCTACGGAGTGACCGTTTCATGCGTTTCGTCAGAGAATACTTTGCGTTACGGAGCAACCGTTCCTCACTGTCCGTAGAGCATTTCGAACTATTTCACAAACGGAAAACCGAAACGGCAACCTCCGGTCTAAAATCAGCGGTACGTTTACCGTTAAATTTTCGTACCACACTAAGCACAGGCTCTTATCGGAAGAGTGGTACGGCAGATGTCCGTATCACCATTTCAGGGGGTATACGGAACGCCGTAGCATGCTCCGTATCAGACACTGATTTTTTGCAGTGTGGTTGTCCGGTCGAGCCGACGGCGGACTGGCTCGGCTTGGGCTCACCTGATGACTCGCAGCTCCCACTTCCGGTTCTCGCTTCAATACTGCATCGCAGACCGGCAGGTTCGATATTCAAGGATGTCTTGGCCCTGAAGTACGAAGAACAAAATGAGAAGTCAACCAGGACACGATGTTTGAACGAACACTCGACTACGACAACACGGCGTTGCGGAATGGAGCGACGTGACTTAAGACTTTCGTACACAGCACGCGAAAGAAATCAACGGGCACAGAGAATTTCCAAAGATTAGGTTGAGACAAACAGCCGCGTTGCAGGCGTTCGGCCTCGGTGGATTATGAAGATACCCAGGAACGGTCGACACGCAGCGAGCTGGAAGACAGAAATCACACACTCGTCTGGATCATTTAAGTGGGAGCAAGCCTCTTCAACCTCTTGAAACCGGAATGAGGAAGCCGAAGCGATGCGAGATATAAATCGACTCCGATAAAATAAATCCGAGTTCCCTTCGGATACGTCCCGGCGTGACACAACGCAAAAGCGACGAAAGTGACCTATGCTTAAATGCGTGAAATTGCAAATGGCATCATAAAGCGTTACGTATTATATGGACGGCCCCTAACGTCCTAGTCCCTTCGATAGACGCGCGCACTCTTCGCGCCTCAGTTCCTCCTGAAAGCGTACCTATAGCGCACTAGTCCGTCTCGTGCGTATGTATCTAAAGCGGACTGGTAACCCGCTCGGACGCTGACGGCAGGTCTCCTAGCTTCCTAGTCCCCTGCGTAGCGGTCTCGTAGCGTACACTCTCAGACGCGTATTGACTTTTTTCTCTCTATTATTGACATTTTGTCCTTTGCTTACGTGGTTTTTTAAGCAGCAATAATATCTAGTATTTCCTTTGTTACCATGTACAATATTGTTCACTATAAAGACTAAATTGTCATCAATTATTGACTATTTTTTAAGTCAATTGCGTATTGACTCTTTGTCAATAGCAAATTGACTTTATGTCAATTTAACGAACAAAATCCTACATATATATTGAGGAAATAGTACTTTTTATTGCTGTGTTGTGTAAATTACCCTTTAAGGGGAGGTTCTGGTGAAAATGCCATTTTCTCCTCAATAGGCCCCACTGTGAAAATTAGTTAAAAATTTGATGTCTTACCAAGTAATTATTAAAATTTTTCATTGGGAAGGCACATTCTATTCCCTGAACCCAGTCGCAGAGCCTTTTTCTCCTGTTTAGGCTATAACTTTAAAAATCTTTCGCATACTGCCTATTTTGTCGTAAAAGATTAGCCTGGACTTTTTTCACTTCTTCGATTCATTTTTAATTAAAAGATGTTGGCATGCATAACTCAAAATGTAAATAACATTTTTATTCCCAAGCTTTCTAACCAAGCATTTCACTACAATTGATCAAAAATGTGCAAAATAGACAAATTTTAGGGACTTTTCAGCTTAAAAATCTTACAATTAATATTATAATGAAAAGCTTTAGCTATGCATGCCGGAATCTTTTGAAGATGAATCAAACAAGTGAAAAGTGTCACGGTCGTCATGGTCAACCTTTTACTACAAAATAGTATGCGCAAGAGGATTTTTTTAGGATACAGCCAAAATAGGGTCAAGAATACTCTTCCACTGGGTTCAGAGCCTGGGATGTGCCTTCAAAAGTCAAATTTTAGTCTCCTCGAAGAAAGATTTTATATTCCGAACATATCATGAGTGGGATCCATTTGGAAAATGGCAATATTTTCACCAAAACCTCCCCTTAACAGTGTACCTTGATTTCGGAAGGACTTGCGCCCCAGCCTGCTGACGGGGTCACTTCTCACGGCTGCGGGACTCTGGCTGCGCGTGCTGGGCTGCTGGCCGCTACACTGTGGTGGTGGGCCTTGCTGGCGGGCCACGCCGTCGTCTTCTTCAACTTCCTGTGCACCGCCTCGCTCAGGGTCGCTGCAGTGTGGTTCCACTCCAACGGAGCGTCCTCCGCTGTAAGCGGCTATCCATGGTACACGAATATACAGTAGGTTCTCAAGGACACGCAAAATCCGTACAAAAATATTCGCCCTACTTCATCTTTATTCATGGTTGAAAAGAGGAGTGAAACAACACTTTTTTAAAAAGTCCTTTAAAGTTTTCTGCCTTGCTCACGAAACAAGACCTCTTTAAAGTCCTGTTTCGTAAGCAACGCAAAAAAAAATCAGTGGTTTTCATCTTTTTACCGAGTTAACCATGTTTAAGAGGGTACTGATGACGAAAATAGGTCCCATTCTGCAAACGGACGTACACCTATCCTGTTTCTTTTGGACGTGTGAGAGTTCAAGGCACACTGTAGAGAAAATCCACGGGAAAAGGTACAGGTACAGCCTGGTAGACAATTTGCCTGGTACCACCGTACCTCAGCCAGTACCGCTTTTGGGGTACGGACTACAGTTTTTCATAACATGGGCTCTTATGTGAAGCACGGTTTTTTGGTTCAGTTGTTCGGTACACCGTGAGGTACCGTCAGCCGTACCTTTTTCCTTGAAATGTACGGCTTTTTTAACAGCGTAGACGCTGTTTAAGTACAAACAGTTCTCTCCAGTTTTCTCATGTACGTTGATTTGTATGAATTGCTTTCCTATTTAATTCGACTTAAGTACAGTACAATGGTATAAAACTTAATGTACAATGGCACAAAATTTAAGTTGATGCGTTTTGTCAATTTCGTTGAAGGGAAAGGACGGCAGCGGACCCCTGGCCCTTCTGGACGTGCCCGGCGGCCTCACGACGACCCTGGACATGAGTTGTGCATTTCAAAATCACAACAAAGACAACCTGTAAGGTACCCGTTCAGCTGACGCAGAGGCCGATCGTGGTACATCACCAATGACGATTTCCTCTTTTTTTTTTGGAAAAGGTAGTTCTGAAACGTATAATTGGAGCAACAAAATTTTGGGGCCGAAATATGCACGGTTCAGATTCTTCAGGCGAATTTCATTACTTCAAAGACCCTTGGTGACCTCGGCTTCAAACCCTGTAGAAAAAAAAACTCTTGAAAATAGCTTACATTTGATTTAGGAATTCACCTAGGGCCTTTGTACCGTAAAAACCGGATTCCTTGTTCAAAATGACGCATTCAAAACCTTGCCCCACTAATCTATCACATAAATTACCCAATATATGCTAGGCTTTCAAATCAAACCACGTTATCCTTCTTTTGCGTCTTTTAAAAAACAACGAGTAGGCTTAGATGTCCACCAACGGTGGTTCTCAACCTGGCGATACGATGTTGGATACAAATAGAGTTACAGCTCTGCCAGATCGTTACAAAATTTTGGGGGTCTCAAACCGAACGTGTGACAATGAGTCGCTCTCCAAACGAGGATCATATGTAGTTGGGCTCTCATGTTTGAATCAAGTCCTGTTAAGTGACACACGAGCTCAAAACTCGTCTAGAGTCTTGGCAGCCTGCGCCGGTCTTCTAGACCACTGTGTGGAGCCAATTCTACTCCACGCTTGGAGAAAGGAGGACTCACGGGCGTAGTCGAAGTCGACGGGCATGTCGGAGACCCACACATCCGGCCTGATCCTGAGCAGGTCGCTGCCGCCGCCGTCAGCCACAGACACGGCCTTGTCGGGGTGGTCCGGCAGCCACACCCGAAGCGAGGAGGGCCGCCTCTCAAACACCAGCGTCACCGGACCAGGGACGACGAAGTTGAGGCTGCCGGGCGGCACCACCTAAAGGGCACGACCCCATGACGTACTACATTACTAAAGATGTGACGGATGTGACGTCATTTTAACGTCCACTGTGTAACGTTCTTTTGTACTTCTACACTATAAACCTATCTCGCTTCTACACTGTAACGCCAGTGGTAAGTTTGCTTGCCACAGATTTGTCAAGCAGTTTTGAATGCCATAATTTGGGAAGCTGGGTGGTATTTCCAGGCCAAGCTTGCCAATATTTGGCATTCAAAATGGCTTGCCAAATCTGTGGCAAGCAAACTTACCACCGGTGTGAGTGCACACGCACTGCAAACCTAACTGTCTACTAAGTACACACTTACAAATGCATGCTTGCAAGTACACATTTACAAACGCATGCTTGGCCAAGTACACACTTACAAATGCATGCTTGCAAGTACACACTTACAAACGCATGCTTGACGGGTGTTCTACGGCGTCAAGCATGCGTTTGTAAGTGTGTACTTGCAAGCGTGCATTTGCAAGTGTGTTCTTGGCCAAGCATGCGTTTGTAAGTGTGTTCTTGGCCAAGCATGCGTTTGTAAGTGTGTACTGTACTTAGTAGACAGTTAGGGTTGCAGTGCATGAGCTGGTTCCAATGGCGTATTTCACATGACTCGGAGCTTTATGTTTGCAATCTTCATAGGTCTGTATTTTTAGACCACCAACTCTCCAGTTCTGAATTTTAAGACCATTTAAATGGTCTGAAACTTCTAGTAAATTTTGTCTCAATTTTAAGACTTTTTATCAGTGTAAAAGCCAGTGCATCCCGTGTTCTTGTCTAAATATGTTTCATTTTTTACCGGTTCTTGTGCCCACGCTCGGCAGTTCCTGCCCCACGAGCCGCAGTCGAGGCCGGGGAGGTACCAGAGATGTCCGTCCGGGCTGGAGCCGTACAGCGCCAGCGTGTTGCACAGGGACGCGTTGCAGAAGCTCACGAAGAGGCCGGTCTTGCTGGACGCCTCGAGGGTCATCCGCGCAGTCACCACGTCGCCCACGGACAGGCGGGTCGAGGGCACTGCGTACCGAAATGGGCTTACGTCCCTTTGTCCGAAAAGCAGTGAATTGAGTCACACCACAACTGCCCTCCTGATTCGCTTCAATTCAAAGTATACAGTGTGACGTCAGATACTGGGTACAGTTCAGACAGCCGTGCGCAAGGCAGGGTGTGCTGCACTACAAGACCGGCACGGGCGGCCAAAAGTCAAGAACTTTTTGAGCTCAGTGCGGGGGGGGGGGGGGGGGGCTGAAAAGTGCAACTTACCCAAAGGCCGCCTCTGGACCCGCCACTGACTCTGCACTCTCAGACTGTTATTGACTTTTTACCTTTTGGTAAAGAGTATTTCACACAGCAATAAAAAGTACTATTTCCTCAATACAGGGTGAGTTTTCTCAATGTGTCAATAATTTGTTGGTAGTTTGGGCACCCCAAGGGGATCATTTTCTACCAATGAACTAGTGGGCGCAAACGTCTAGGTACGGAGATAATTGGTGTTTTGTAATTGGATTTTGCGCCTACGAGGTAGGCACCCGGTGCCACTGAGGGTGGCAGAACCTGTCGAGGGGGTGTCGCGGGACTAGCAGTACACGCGGGAGTGCCACTGACCTCGCGGGAGTGCCACTGACCTCGCGGAAGTATCTGTGGAACCACGCCACCCTCGCAAAGGCAGCCGTGAGATCCACTGTAACGGAGGCCACCATGACAGCCCCTTGAGACCCGCGGGAACCCCTCCCAAAAGACATTTGCAAGGTCCGCCGCACCCCTACGCCCTACGAGACTCGAAGCACCCCTCCTAGACCCGCGACAACCCCACGTGAGGTCCTGCGACCATCAGTGGCGGCGGGTGCCTACCTCGCAGGCGCGAAGGCCAATTACAAAACACCAATTATCTCCGTACCTAGACGTTTGCGCCCACTAGTCCACTGGTGAAAAATGGTCCCCTAGGGATGCCCAAACTGCCTGCAAATTATTGACACATTGAGAAAACTCACCCTGTATATATGTAATATTTTGTTCGTTATGTTGACTTTAAGTCAGTTTGCTACTGTCAAAGGGTCAATACTCAATTGACTTAAAAATAGTCAATTATTGGTGACAATTTAGTCTTTCTAGTGAACATTATTGTTCAACGCTACACAGGAAATTCTGCACACTATTGCAGCTTAAAAACTCCGTAGGCAGAGGATAAAAAGCCAATAATGGAGAGAGAAAAGTCAATACCAGTCTGAGAGTGTGGAGCTCCAACGCGCCTCGAACTTTGGCCGCCTCCAGCTTGCTTGGTCTTCTGATCCACGGCGCCCACACTGAGAATGAAAAAGTCATGATCCAAATTTTGGGCGAGGTATATTTATCACCCAAATTTGGGCGAGAAAAGGTGTATCAGCTGCCTGTATGGCTCCATCCATAGTATTATGACCCAAATTTGCGTGAGGAAACTCTCCTCACCTAAATTTGGGCGAGGAAACCTTCCTTACCCAAAGTTTTAGTCATGATCATGACTCTTTCATTCTCAGTGCAGGAAAGCCTCTGCCCGTCGACGCAAACCCACTGCTGCTGCACGCGGCCTCCTCGTCGTCGCTGCCGTCGCCGCACTTGCGCTCGCCGCTGCACCTCCACCACGCCTCGATGCACGCGCCGTCCCTGCACCGCCACTGGCCGAAGGGGCACGCCGGTGGAACCAGGGCGGCCGTCGTGGTCGTTCCCTCCGAAGCCATCTCCAGGGTTGGCGCCGCGTCCCGCAGCATCAGGACTCCCAGCACGGCAGCGGCCACGCCGAGGAACGCGAAGACCAGGACCAAGATCCCCACACGCAGTCTCGTACTGTCACCCTCTGAAAATGCGGGTGGTCGAAAGAAAATCGAGAGGCGGGAATTAGAACCCAATTTTACGATGGTGCACATGAACGTATCAAGGGGTCTAATTCAGATGATCATCTGGGCGTTCCCCCAAACTCTTGGCCCCTGTAGGGAGGCAACTTTTGCGAGCCCGCCCGCCCCCAACTCGTTTCTGGATCCGCGCCTGATTTGGCAGGAAAGCGGAATATATTTCTACACGCACTATTGGTTTCTTTTATCTTTCATCTTCAGGCTTAAGTGACTAAAATCACAAATTATATATTGATTTGTAGCTGTATCAAATGATCAAACTGAGTGAAATTCGCCTGCATCAAAGATAAGATTTCCTTGGTCGGAAATCCCAGATAAGATCTTTTGAATAGGACGCCTCAGTATGAGGGGTAAAAACTCAAGAAAAACCACACATTTTAATGAAAGAGAAGCAAACAGCACTTACCAAAATCAAGACTGTACTCAGTCCACCCTTTCAGCATGTTACTGACTTTTTGCTTATTTTGTCAGTACATACGTACTTTCCTTCTTTGAAGAACTTTCTTAGGTTGAATAATGTATTTACAATGTGGTTTAGTACACAATTTTACAAAGGAAATAAATCACTTTTACTAAGAAAATACTTAAAATTATTGCTGCTTATACGAGTCAAGTCAGTTCCTCAGTGAACGAAAAAAGTAGAAAAAGTACGAAACAAGTCTGGTCCATAATATGCTTCAACCGTCCCTACCTACCGTACGGAACTTCTGTACTTTTTTCACGTACCCGTTTACATGAGTTCATGTGGAACAACACGAACGATTCCTTCTTTTTTGTACTACATTCTTCTACAAATCTATTGTACAAGAGGGCAGAATTTTTTTACAATGTTGCATCTGTTTTAGCTACATGAAAACCTACTCGGTAACAATGACGTCTCTTTGGCCTTGGACCCGTGTGCTCTGGAGCTGGAGGCACCCTCTTGCAGTGGTGGAGCACCGATGGCTTGGCGCACTGCCTCCACGGCCGCGGTGTGGCTGGTCTTGGCTGGCGTGTCAGCGTCCCCGAGCATCAAGGTCACCTCCACGTTGCCGTGGAATATGTTCCTAGGGCCCATCTGCACGTCCGACGAGTCCGAGATGTTCTCCACGCTTGTGATCGCCTGGAGCATGGGCCAAGTCAAGATGAAGGTCGCTCTAAATGTCTCACGGTGAAAGGCTGCACCAACATCACTGTAAATCCAAAGGTAAAACTTTTGGTACCCTTTTTGGCGATACAGTTGAGTATCGCCAATAAACGGCCTTACGGAAAAGTATTGCCTTTGAAACGGCGATACATAAAAGTATCGCCCGAGGGGGTAAACACTTGCGTAATACCCTGTACACAAAAGTCCGGTATTACGCCTAATAGTAATACATTTTGGGACCAAAAGTATCAAATAATGTAATTTTTCAATGAAATCGAGGCGTAAAACATGCGTAATACAAGTGTAATACCCCGTAATAGGGAGTAGTCTGTACAAGGTTCACCGGAGTGTTTACCCCCTCGGTATCGCCAAAATTTGGCGATACTTTGAACAAATCAAGGGGACAAGTTCTTATTTAAAAGCAGTGATATACTGTGGTGGAGATTTTCTCCATCATACTCGAGATCTTTGCAGAGATCCCTCAATGGAACGATATTCTTGTGCACAGATAAATTTCTACAAAGAACGCTCTGTGTTGCTGCAAAGGAAACGGAGGCTTCGCAGCCCAAGAAGGAGTTCGTTTGTAGTACAAATGATTTTCTTTATCAGCCTTCGTGGGATGCGAAGCCTCCGTTTCTTAGCATTACGAAGAGCGTTCTATGTAGGGTTTAAAGTGTGTTTAACTTCTCTACTTGGATCACTGTACCGAATGTCCTGGAGCGGACAGAATGCTGCTGGAAACGCAAGTAATGCTGGACACGGTTTCGGACAGCGCATCCCAGTCTCTGCTCGTCGTCACTTCGTCTGACCTTGACCTTCGCAGCACGCATCCGGCGGCGGTGACGTCAAGGTCGTTGGCGTGCGAGCGGTCCAGATCAAAATCATCTAAATAATGTGAGAATAGATGTGGAATAAATTTACAACTCAACCGCATGCACACTGGTGACACAAAGGCATAAAGGATACTGCACTCTCAGACCTTCACTTATTATTTTTTCTACATTGTAGAAAATTTACTCTACGGCTTACTGATTTTAGAGCGTTACTATGATATAGTAAATATTTTCAATAACATATCGAATAAATTTTACATGAGATACAGATAAATTAGCGGTAACAAATTTGGTAATTATAGACAATCTTTTACTTACTTACAGAAAATTTACAATGTCAGTAGAAATATGATGACAAATTTGTTTATAATCAAATAATTTATTTTCTGCAAATGTAGAAGATAAAGTTTGTGCTCATAAACAATTTGTCGATGACTACTTTGTGATCTTCAGTAAATATTTTCAGTGAAATTTTTCTCCGCTCAAACAAAGCTGATTGGAAGGTAATGCGCTTAGTCAAAATGATCCTACAAAACATTCTTAGCTTCGACAAGTCAAGAAAGGGCTTTTAAGAGATGGTTGAATTGTGACTTTAAGCGGAAACATCCAAAAAGTTAATCTGACTCTTTAAAATCTTTTCTGTTAATTCTTGTACATATTATCTGTATGTAGAGAACATTTTGCCTACATTTATAGATCATTTTTACTAGAATGGAACAGTAAATTTTTCTGCTTGATCATAACTGTAGTTGCAGAAAATATTATCAACAGACCACTTTTCTGTAAGGTTGCTGATTATTTTTTCTGTACTTACAATCAAAAGGACTACAATTGCAGAAAAAATAATTAAACTGTAGGTTTACTGAAAAAAATGTCCGTGGAGTGTCGGAGAGTGTGTAAAGTGATATTAGCACGTCCTAGAAATAATCGTCACAGGAAGTTCATTTATGAGGTCAAAATTCAACTACTATTTAGACGAATTTATTCCCAAAGTTGGGGGCCCCAACTCATATTACACACGGCAAGAAAAACTGTGAATAGTACAACAGAAGTACAACAAAAACTGTACAACAAAATTACAACAGGGATTGTAGAAAACCACAACGAGGCGGACTGCACAGCACTCGTCATGCCGGTTCCATCGTACTTTGTACAACAATTGTTAACACACCATGTGACAAATTGCGACACACCATGACACAATGCCAGACTCACACTTGCAACCGGGAGATATTTTAGTTCACGCAAAATAGTGTGAGCCTACCCCACTGCAATTTGCAGTGCAGTCACAATAATGGCGGGCAGCAGTATAATGTTAAGCAAACCGTTCGTAAATTCAACATCAGTGATCATGATAAATACACCTGTAGTTTCACGACACTCAATCATTATTCACCCCTCGGATTCCTATATTTGGAATGTTTGTTGGTTTACCAAGAATATGGAACGACGATACTAATTGTCTTTCAACGGGAAATTAATATAAATTTATCGAGATTTTACGAGTTAGCTTTGCAATTTTGAAAAGTTTAGGAAGCAGAATGAAAAGTGTTTCTTAAATAACTTCCAATTATCATACACACTAAATATCATGGGACTTTTTTTGTCCCATGAATGATGCAATTTTACGCACATCCGGTGGTGATACAATTTTGTGTCCGCCAGGCGGGACAAATTGTCCAGTGAAAGTACAATTTGCAGAAGGCGTCGGACAAAATGTGTCGCCAGGCGGGAACAAAATTGTATCAGCGTCGGATGTGCTTAAAATTGCATAAATCGTGGAACAAAAAAAAACTCCCATGACATTTAGTGTGTATATACCGTTAGCTGCGCACGAGAATATTTGTCTGGACACACCTGTATTTGGCGATGCTGTTTCAGTTGACAACATGTTCGCTGCACGTGACTGTGCCGGCCAGAGTTGTCCTAGGACTACGACCGACCTGGGTTCAAAAGAAAGCAGAAATAACATAGAATATAACAAATCCGCAACTTTGGCCTTCCCATCCCATATGTATTTAAATTCTCCGTTCACTTACGTCGAAATTTATTGCATTAAAATGACCCTGATATCTTTGCAGGCTTCAAATTTATATTAATGCAAAGTTAACACGTATTTCCTCTACCGTAATGTCCTACTCTAACATTCGAGTCCTTCGCTTGCAAGTGCCGACCACGCAGTTTGTTCACCGATCGATAACCATTGATTCGTCGATTCGTCATGCTTCCTATGGTCGACACTTGCAAGCGTGCGAGTAGACTGGTCAACGCCTGCCCCTATAACTCTGTACCACACTTTAATCGTACCTTCATTAATTATCTCCAGAGATTTGTGCATCTAGACTAGTTGCCGAACGCAGCTGCAGCAGGAAGTCCACGTAGCGCCACGCCTCGCGTGTGCGTACCTGAGCGGCCCGCTCTGAACTGAAAGACCTGGGCCTTTGTCGCAATTCCGGCCGAACGTTAAGATTAGATACGGTTTGCTGCAGACTTTTTAACAACGACTTCGGTCGTGGAGGTGACCGCGTTTACTGCTAATCCAAGTGTAGGACAAGTGCACTTGCAGGCACTTCCTACACTTTTGAGTTACAACAGTCATGTCCCTTATTCTTGAAGTGTCGGCCACGGCCACACTGTGTGCGGAGCGTAGAAGACGACTCACAGTGGACCAGAAGACCGGTGGAGGCTGTCAGAATGGGACCAAAACCTAATTTGTGACTCCACCAATCAGCTATGGGCTGCTCTAGTAGGTCACACCTTGAGAGAAGCGCGCGACACAGTGCCATCGAAGAGCGCGCGGATCGCCGCCTTGCCCGCTTACACCACTTTGCGGGCGCAGTTTTGATCGGCTGGTACCGTTGGATTCAGAGAGGTCCAGTCCAGCACGTGCACAGATGAACTTTTTTTTCGCTCCCAAATTTCCACCTTCTGCCGAATCTAGAGCCCAGACTGGACAGGAGGGGCTCCAGTCGCGGCTGCCTGGCTGCGGCCTGGCCGGCGGGCGCTGCCTGCCTCTGCCTGGCGGCTGCGGAAAAGATGCGCACTTGCTTTTCGCACGGAGAGAAATGTCTCCCTCTCACTCTCCGCTCTCTAAATGTTGTACAGTGAAGATTCTCCATATTATGGTGAAAATGTTCCAAATTATGGCGGTGCAGTTGACTTCGTAACATACCATTGAGAATTCACTGTACCTTACAGAGGTTTTGACGAATTTCGTTGGTATAATGGAGAAAATCTCCACCATAATATGTTGGTGCAGCCTTTCACCGTAAGACATTTACAGTGTGCCTCTCAGATTCGGATGCGAGTGGAAGGCGTAGAAGGACCAGGAGGATAAAGCAAGCTGTTGAGGTAATGCTTTCTTGTTTTCAATATTCCAGAAGTCAGGATTTTTCTGGTGTGATCCGACGTTACTCAGATGTCTGACATTACTCACTGCAGTTGATTTTGGCCCATACTGGGGTTCCCCGACCGGAACTGCCCACCTCTTCGCCAAAGCAGATAGCTACGGATCTGGGCAATGACGAATCTAAGGCCCCGCCAGCTTAAGGGGTCGTCCACCCGAAAACGTCGGTTACTGGCCCAAGAGCTCTTATCTCGAACGGAGAAAATTCTTGCAGCATGAGTACTTATTCAGCGGAATTCACTTTAACACTGTTAAAAAATCGTACCAGTTTACATTTGCTTACAGTCTCAATGACCCTCATGTTATCACGTGTTGTTCTCGTACCCCTTAACCACTTAGCGTCGAAAAACGTTGCGGATTCATCGGCCAGCAGAAGCCATGGGCTTCAACAACTCAAAATGCGGCGTTTTTACCAATTCCCCCCCCCCCCCAAAAAAAAAGTGACATCCTTGCGTCGCGCGTGGATGGTCCTGTGACCCTTTTCCCGCTAGAATACGAAGAAAAGTGTGAAAGGACATGGCGTGTCATGTACGTAGACAGTCTTTTCGAATTCAGAATTTATTCTTTCTTAGGCAAAGTACAGTGAGATAAGATACATACACGTCTACAATCGAAACCTCATGCAAGAATTAATAAACATGAGCAAAGATTTTAAAGAAAAATATTAAATCCTTACAAGAAGGAGTACAGTCTTAAAGTAGGTAACATCTGCAGTCTTATTCTCTTTTTCTCACAAATATAGTGTTAAATACATTGATGTCATGTGTCTTATTTTTGAACAAATTTAATTGATGATTGTGATACATCTTTCTTGAGCACACATTCTCGACTACAAAGTGGTGTCCTAGAAGCACATCTCCTAACTTAGTTAGACAGTCTGATCGCTTTCTAGGATTATTGAGGAAAAATGAAATCATCAAGGTGTCATGGTTAGTAACGGCTAGTTGCTTGTCTTGTTTGGAAAAAACCTCCACAAGATGCCTCGGAGTCTGGTAGTAAATTCACCCATGAGACCACTCTCATTCTAAGAACGTGACATCACATTCAAACGAATGTGACAAAACGTCACGTTCGTATGAGCATTGTGTCACATTCGTTTGAATGTGAATCAGCCATAAATTAGCTTGTCACGCTTGTCAGCACATGAGTCCCCTCACCTCGCTTACGTACTTTCAGCCATGTTCCGACAGCGAATAGAAAGGTTTCGTGATGTTAAGTCATAATCAAGTGAGAGAAAGATTTTCAACAAAAAAAACAGCAGTCTGCCTGCAGTGAGAGACTCCTTCCACTGCTTACAGTTTGGTTACGCGCTTTACCCATGGGACGTATTGCGCAACATCCACGAGTCCAAACAAATAATTGTCACGATCACCCAACCCCACCGAGACAATGCCAGCAACGTACCAAACTCCATCCCGCTTGACGTGGGCGCCACCGCCACTGTCGCCTTTGGCAAGGCCAGAATGATGCGAGCCTGAAACAGGATAAACGAGAACGGATTGCTGGACTCCGCGCGTGCCCGAGAAGAGAAGTACTATGAAACACTAACAGAAACCTTTTTGGGCACTCTGCAAACTGAAGTGTGTATGTTACCGGTAAACACCCGGAAAACCGGGAAGTGTCAGAAGTTGTCAGAATATTAATAATCTACGCATCATTGCGTACTACACCACCGGCAATGTTTCGCGGACCCCCCTGAGCACGAGCAGGTTAAAATGTACACTTATGCTTTTATATACAAGGTAGGTTTACGCCAGACCGCGTCTTGTCGTAACAGGCTTCGCGATGTCTCGCGGCCTGTTCCTCCAATCCGCGCCTGGCGTACCTACCTTGGCCCGCGGCGCTAGCCTGCCTTCGGCAGGCATTGGCTTGTCCATCGTCGGTTACTCCTTACGTTTTGCATGGGGGGGGGGCCTCCGCCCCCCAGACCCCCCTTAATTCTGGATAGAGTTGCTTTATCTACAGATAACACGATCTTGACCCTTGTCACTTTTTAACTTGTCGAGGGTGGGGGGCTACGCCCCCAGACCCCCCTTTCTTCAAGACAGAGGTGATCTACCTGCCAAAAACTCGATTTTTCGCCGTTTTTAGGTGTTTTTCGGCTATAAAAACTGAACCAGTTGAGCTAGGATGGTGAAATTTCGCGTGTGCCGAGCCAAGGACATACCCAGAAAGTGTGCTAAATCTCACCGAGATCGGCCGAGCCGTTCAGGAGGAGTAGTGCGGACACACACACAGACAGACAGACAGACAGACAGACAGGAAAAACTTTTCAACCCCACTGGAGTAACAGGCTTCGCTATCGCTCAGCCAATGACTAAACCAAGTGTATTTAGCGTTTGGTTAAAGCACTGTCTTACTTAGCGCGCACATGCCAGGCACACTATTTTAGCGTGTGTCTAGCAAGTACGCAGTAAATGATAGTGTGCTAAGAAGTATGCTCCAGTACACAATTTAGTTTGCAGTGTGGGCGTTTCAAACAACCCTCCCAGTTTTTTGTCACAAGTCAGGGGACTACAGAATGCTTCACGAGCTACACCTCAGTTTACCAGTTTCGTCAAAAAACTTGCGGTGCCTTCTAAAACACCGAACTTATTTTTTCGAGTGCACTCTTTAAAGCCTCCGAAGCATTTGCCTCATAGCTGCAAAGAAAATGAAGGCATTGTAGAATTGCATCGTGAAAAAATGCTTCGCATTTTGAAGAAATGCTTCGTATTCCGAAGGATTTTGCTCTATATGACGAAGCATTTCTTCGTTGATTTTACAATGTCTTCGTTCTCTTCGTGTTACGAAGCGATTCGTAGAGTTTTTACTGTATGAGTACGAGGCCCTGTTAAAGTATTTCATTTATAGACTTACCTTCTCGTGACCTGGCGCAAAACTTGTCTGGAGTAACGTAAAGCCGATACCTGTCGGTGGCATTGAATGAAGCGAGACAGTCAGGTCGGTCGAGTTGCTTCAAAAGTACGGACTCGAGCTCCGCCAGTGCTTTTCTCCCGCCACCCCATCCCGCAATCTGCCAAAATTGGAAAGCCCGATTATTGAATGTAGAAACACCGTTCAAGCTGTCGACACGTAGATCTACTGGCGAAAATATTACTTTTTTTTCTTATAAATCCCATTGTGGAAATCTGATTTATACTGTAAAAAGACTTTTGACACGAATTTTTGTGTTATCGTTAGTGAAAAGCCCCCCCTTTTTTTGTTTTTCTTTGAATGAATTTCGTGTGCCACTTCACACTAAATGTAGCGCCCAATGGCGATCAGAAGGCCTCTTTCCTACGCCAAATGGCAATTTTTGACTCGAAGCGATAGACAGGATGCTTAGAGTCTAGAACCCTAGACTGGTACTTCTATGCCTCGTGCCCTACCTAACGCCTCGGCCACCGCACTACTGCTGGGTAGAGCGCATGACGGAGCTTCATTATGGACGAGTCACAACCAGTAGTTATTGCGAAGCAAAGAATCCTTTCCTTAGCCACGATTTGAAATTTCATAACTGTGGTCTGAGTAGGATGCCTTTTCAGTGCCACAGCTATGATTTTTCTTTGCCAAGGGGCTCTTGGAATTTCCCATTACCTTGATAGTTTTACCCGTGGTCGGCTTGAATCCATCATCTAAGCAGACTGGATAGACTGTGGCGCTTATATCTGCGCACGTCTCAAGCTCCAGCACAGCTATGTCGAAAGAATACCGTGCACCTGCTCCGCTGTAGCTAGGATGCGTGTGGACTGCTTTTACCTAAATAAAAAAAGCAAACGAACAAATATCATATTTAGCTAAACAACGTCAGCCCACCTGTCAAATCAAAGCATTGCTCGATTCCCCTAACCTCTGTGTGTGTGAACAACAAGACAACTCCTGAACTTGACCCGGAACTTAAGGAAGCTTCGTTTCAGACCAAGGCTGTTCATAATACTCAACGGGAAAAGAATTGAGAAAACACTGGGAAAACTAGAGCGTAGTTTTTCGCTTTACTCTAGCGTACAACTACGCTTCAAGACTGTCCATCCTTTAAGAATGTAAGAATAAAACATTCAGGAGAACGTTTCTTTGTTTGTTTTTTTAATTTTTGAACATATTGAACAGGAGTCACTTGGAACGAACATTAAAAAGTGAACCTGCACATACTTTTCCGAAAGTAACTAAAATTTTCATTTGTGCTAAATTTTGCCCAATTTTTTCTTCTTACTCAATCTTATCTTCTACTTTAACTTGGAGAGGGAAATACAACTTCCGTGCTCAGTACGTTCGATAAAGGATAAAATGTTACGCCCGGAAACCCAAGGGCAAATGTTTTTTCATGTCTTGTCACAAGGGACTTCTGGAAGAACCAGCCATGGAAGTTTGCAAAAGTTTTGAAACAAATTGGATCATTAGATGCCATGCGCAATGCGCGGATTCTTAGAACGTGGTTGCAGATACGGAGGTCTTTCATGACAAAACGTGGCAAGGAATTACTAGGGATGTTTGTGGGGATGCAAAAAACTATCAATTGACAAAAGTGGTAAAAAATTGGTGACTTTTCTGCAGGGTCTTTTCCGAAAGCAACGTTAAACTCGATTCAACTTTTCATCACTGGAGCATATTTGATCCAGGAAGCGGAAGAGGGGGATAACTTGATTTAGGGAATTTTTTAAAAGAAACACAAGAAGCTGTTGAGTTAAAAACTTACATCCGTTTTCATCACATTTGGTCCATCCTCCGACTGCCAATCGCTTAAGTATTTTCCAAGAGCCACAGAGACTTTTTGAGGCTGAAGGGGCCCACTGAGCAGCACACAATGCGCAGCTGTAAAAAGACAAAGCAAACCTTTGAAAATAAATCAAGAAATTTGAACGAAAAACGTTCATTTGCCATTGCATGATCGTTTCGTAAATGGCGCATTCACATGAACCAAAAAAGACAAAATCTATCTAAAATAGCTTTCATTATATCCGGCTTGATTGATTGCCGCCCTTGATTTCGCCAAGTTAACTTTAAATTTACCTGGATTACCTTCTAATTAAGAATTAGGTTATCATAGTGTCATAGTAAGTTCACTACAAATCCAAAGGTGAGACTTCTCGCCAAGTTTTGGTCAGATCTAAAAGTCTCGCCAAAATTTGGTCAGACGTAAAATTCTTGCCACAATACGGTCAGACACAGAAGTCTCACCACGAAATGGCGAGGCTTTTGTGTCTGACCGCCACCCAAAGGCCGTAATGCGCCGGACGGTTACGGCCTTTAGGCCGTGGTCAGACACAAAAGTCTCGCCATTTCGTGGTGAGACTTTTGCGTCTGACCGTTTTGTGGCGAGACTTTTTTGTCTTACCGAATTTTGGCGAGACTTTTAGGTCTGACCAAAACTTGGCGAGACTTAAATGTCTCGCAGTATTTTGGCGCGAAGTCTTTCCATCCACACTGTAAATGTCTTACGGTGAAAGGCTGCACCAACATAATATGGTGGAGATTTTCTCCATAATACCAAAGAAATTCGTCAAAATCTCTTTAAGTTATAGTGAATTCTCAATGGTATGTTACGAAGTCAGCTGCACCACCATAATATGGAACATTTTCACCATAATACGAGGGGTCCTATTGAAAAGATCTTATCTGGGCGTTCCCCCCAAGACAATCTTATCTTAAACGCAGGTGAATTTCACATAGTTTGATCATTTGGTACAGCTACACATCAATATAATTTGTGAGTTTGTTCAAGTAAATCTCAAGATGGAAGATCAAAGAAACCAAAAGTGCATTTGGAAATATGTTTCGCTTACCGTCGTATTTATTCTGATTGATCAAAATGAGTGAAATTTGCCGGCGTTTAAGATAAGATTGTCTTGGGGGGAACGCCCAGATAAGATCTTTTGAATAGGACCCCTCGAATATGGGGAATCTTCACTGTAGAACATTTAGAGTGCAGTTTGCTGTGTTATCACTCTCAAAAATGATGACGCCTTGAATTAGCGAGTATGCAATCAACCGCCTCACCTGTGAGAACCAAGCATCTGCTGATGAGGGAGCCTCCGCAGACGAACCTCGTCACGTTCTGTTCCCGGTGGTACACCGCTGCATGCCAGGGCAGGCTGTCTCCCAAGGCCGAATCGCCGTCCTGGAGGAGCTCGCTGGGGCCGGGTGGCGGCTTGCCGCACGTTTCCTGGATGTCAACTGGGAAAGGAATAGGTAACCCACACATTGCTTTAAGGGGAGGTTCTGGTGAAAATCTTGCTATTTTCCAAATGGTGCCAACTGTCACAATTTGCTCGGAATATAAAATCTTTCTTTGAAGAGACTAAAATTTGACTTCTGAAGGCACATGCCAGGCTCTGAACCCAGTCGAAGAGTCTTTTTGAGCCTATTTTGGCTGTATCTTATAAAATCTTCTTGCGCATACTATTTTGTCGTAAAAGGTTGACCTTGAAATTTTTCACTTCTTCGATTCATTTTCAAAAGACGCCGGCATGGATAGCTCCAAATTTCCATTACATTATTAATTGTTAGCTTTTTAAGCTGAAAAGTCCCTAAAATTTGTCTATTTTGTACATTTTTGGTCAATTATAGTGAAATGCTTGGTTAGAAAGCTTGCGAATAAAAAATGTTATTTACGTTTTAAGTTCTGCATGCTGGCATCTTTTAAAAATAAATCGAAGAAGTGAAAAATGTCGAGGCCAACCTTTTACGACAAAATAGTATGCAGAAGATTTTTAAATTTATAGCCTCAATAGGAGAAAAAGGCCCTGCGACTGGGTTCAGCGCACAGAATGTGCCTCCCCATTGAAAAATTTTAATAATTACTTGGTAAGACATCAAATTTTGAACAAATTTTCACAGTGGGACCTATTTAGGAGAAAATAGCATTTTCACCAGAACCTCCCCTTAAGAGACCATCGCTCGCGGCCAGAGCTCTGGACGCGTTTCGAGCTCTGGAGTCCCGAAACAGCACTCGAACCGAGGGGGCAACCACTCGCGAATTCCTGTGTGCATTTGCATGGCTGAAATCTTGCGCGAAATCGGTAGAGATCTCGTGAAATCCCTTGGAAATCTGGTGAAATCTCGCGGAATCTGGCATAATTTTGTCGCGAAGTATTTTCTTTGTAAGCTTATGTATGCTCAAAATACTTTGTTATACAAACTACTTTTCTTTGTAAGGCCCAAAATAGTTCGTAAGGTTTTCTCAGTGTAGTGTATATAACTTTCAGAGTGAGAGTTCAGCAGCCGTTGCGCGCACACTGTAAAAATTAATATCCGGAATAAACGACGGATCCTTCGGCAAAAAAATTGCCAACGGTTCCTTCGTTAATTTACGAAGCTCTTCGTATATTTACAAAAACCTTCGTTAATTTTTTGAAAGATCTCTTCTGATTTTCCAATCACAATGGAAATTTACGAAGCACCTTCGTAAATCTACAAAGATCCTTCGTAAATTTACAGGGAACCTTCGTTTATACACAAAGAAACATCGTTAATAAACGGAGATTCTTCGTAGTTATACGTCTGGAATTAACGACGGATCCTTCGGCAAAAAAATTGCCAACACTTCCTTCGTTTATTTACGAAGGTCCGCCGTAGATTTACGAAGACCCGTCGTAGATTAACGAAGCACGTCGTAAATTTACGAAGCCCTTCGTAAATTTACAACAGATTTTGTAAATTTATGACTTTTCTTCGTAAATTAACAAAGAACCTTCGTAAATTAACGACGAACCTACGTTGATTTACGAAAGTTCCTGTAGGAAAGAAACATTTACAGTGCACTTTTGGACATTCCCAAAAACCCTTCGGAAAATATTCCGTTGTTAATTCACAACATATTTTTTACAGTGCACCTGGTTCTTGGTCACGGATGCCCGAAGATATCCAGGGCACGTAGAGAGACACTTTGGTGAACAGCGAGACGGCGGCCCTCCTTGCGTCTCCGATCGACACGATTCCTTCCAGGAACCACTGCCTGTCCGGCGTGGCGAACGCCAGGCCGCCCCCACTGTCCCCTTTGCCGACAGAGGAACCTGTGGAACAAAGGCGCCCTCATACACTGCAAGAAAAAGTGTAGATAGTACAACAAAAGTACAACAGAAACTGTACAATAAAAGTACAACAGGGATTGTAGAAAGTACAACGAGACTTGTACAAACCACAGCGAGCCCTGGACTGCACAGCACTTGTCATGCCGGTTCCATTGTACTTTGTACAACAATTGTTGTACTTGAAAAGTACACTAAATTCCTGATAAATAATTTGCCAGAAATTTGTGTACTTTTGTTGTGGTTATTTCCTGCAGTGTAGGATGTTCGCATAAACCCGGTGCCAATTTTGCTTGCCACAAAATTGGCAACCTACACTGAGAATCCAAAACGCTATGAATATAGCGTCAATTGGTGTAATGCAAAGGCATTGCACATGAAGTGCAATGCCCTCCCCTTCCCATGCATTAGCATAGGGCATTTTTGGGATGCATTGCACGTAAGGTGCAATATGGCCGAGGCATTGCACGTATGGTGCGATATCTCAGGGCATTACACCATACGTGCTATACTCATAGCGTTAGGAACACTCGTGTAAATCTTGTCAGAATGTCAGAATCGTGTCTGAAAACCTGATCCAAATTCACGCACCTCTGAAAGCTGAAAACATGTTCTGACATTCTGCAGAACTCAGGCCATTAATATCAGCATAAGTTTTCAGAATTTCAGCTTTTCAGAGATGCGCGAATTTTGATCAGGATTTCAGACATGTTTCTAACATTCTGACAAAATTTACACGAGTGAATCTCAGTGTACACTTCAAGAAAAAGGGTGAGTAATACAACAAAAGTACAGCGAAAGCTGTACAAAAAAAAGTACAACGGCGATTGTGGAAAGTACAACGGATATTGTACAAACCACAACGAGGTCTGGACTGCACAGCACTCGTCATGCCGGTTCTATTGTACTTTGTGCAACAATTGTTGTACTTTGAAAGTACGACTTCTTTCCAGATAAAAAATTTGCCTGTAATTTGTGTACTTTTGTTGTGTTTTTGTCTTGCAATGTCTAGTGCCAAAATTTTTCACGGTAAAGACCAATAAAGAAAGCCAATCTGAAAATAAATAACGAAGATAAACTTGCCATTACTGACTCCAACACAGAACTTGTCCTTCAGTGCCGTGTAGACCAGAAGCCTATCCGGCACTTGCCCCTTGCAGACCTCCAGGTCGATGAACGGAAGCCTGGAGAACTGCAGCGCCTCCAGGTTGCCAGAGCCACCAAAACCTACAACCTGAGGGACGAAAACAAACAGATGGAATGGGAGCCAGCAAAATATGCTTTAGGCGATGGGGATTCTTACCGCAACATGAAGTATAAATAACACTGCTTTCATGACGTAACACAAGACAATGTTCGCGAAAGGCTAAGCTAGGGTATGGACTGTTGCAAGCACTTCCAAGTAGTTCGAGAAGCTAGAAAAGTAACTTATCCTATTTTAAAGATGTCATAAGTTACGGGTTCTAACTCAAATGCTAACGATTCCGTCATAATGCCCTTCCGAGGTAAGTTAAGGACCCCTGCCATGCACCTGAGTTTGTACACTGCAAGTCAATAGTACTACAGAACTACAACGAAAACTGGCAAAATAAGTGCAAGGAGGATTGTAGATAGCAAAAGGCCTTGACTAGGCTGCACTCTTCACTCCTGTGTTGTATTGCGCACTACGGTGCGCACCTTGAGTGCAATCCGTCCCTAATAAAAAGTTGCCAGTTGTCGTCGGTTTGCTGTAGTTGTTACTAGCAGTTTAGGATCGACAAATGTAGTAATTTAGCGTCGCTACAAACATTAAACAAACAAAAGTATCCGGAACCATTTCGGATACAAATGGGGGCGTTTTTACCAGGGTCCTAGGGTCCTCACCCCCCAAAAAAAGCGTTTCTTGAACCAAGATTATGTATGTCATAAGTGAATTTTCTTCGATGTGTCAAGAGAATTCACTAATGGCAAGTTCATTACTGGTTGCAGAACCGCCGTTTTTGGGTGCTATCCTTCCGTTCACGCGACTAAGCAAGAAAAGTGCAAGAAGCCATATTAGAAGTCATACAATGCTTTTACACGGCTAAGTTCGATTCATCCAAATAAGGTGACTTCAACTGTGTTGCAGCAGTGTTGCTTACTTACGATCCCTTCGTCGCCGCCGCGCAGAGGGGGGCGGGCTCGTTTCCAGTCGACGCAGATGGGCATGACAGTGGCTGTGATCGTGACTTCCCCTTGTAGCTCCACGAGGGCTATGTCGTTGGCATATAGCAACCTAAATCCACCGTAGTCTTTCACGATGATCTGTTTCAGCTACAAATAAAGTCAAATCGGGGACACAAAAAAGTTATTATGTTTGACGGGGCCAAAATCAATTCCTTACGGTAAACGGGCCAAAGTCACCGATGTACATCGCAACCAGTTATTTGGCGTACCTCGATGCGCTGCTCTGTGCCTTCTACCACATTCAAATCACGAAACCGCTTTCCGACGGCAGAGACGAAAGCAGTGGGCGGTCTTAGTTGGCCATTTTCATCTTCAAAGCAGTGGGCAGCTGAAATATCACAAAAAGTGCGCTATTTCGATGCGTCCTAAGAATAATCCAAACTCCCAGACAATCCTGACTGTTAGTGTCAATTCACAACTAGCCTAACTGCACATGACGTACAAAGCGGTCTTTTCTCAAAGTCCGTGACGCCAGCATACTTCATAAAACTACTCACCGAAGGGCTCGTTACAGGTTTTCGTCCTGATAAAAATACGTTAACATTGAATTTCAGAGATATCGAGATTCACTGATTTGCAGTGAAAGTAGTTCAATAAGACTTTTAGGCACCTCTGTAGTTAGGATAGTTCTAAATCTGTACTGACAGGATTGTCTTTATCTGCTCTGACAGTTAGGATTGTCTTGGATCAGCTCTAACAGTTAGGATCATTCTTTCAGGACGCGTCACAAATTCATGCACTTATAGTCAATTAAAATGTTGAAAGGAAATAGCAAGAAGTGAATAAGTAAAATAAATTTCAAGGAAATTTTTTTGCAACATTTCCCAACAGTGCACAGCCCTAGTTCGATGCAACACTGTCATTCCACTTGCGATGAAGACCGCACTTTCTGCGCAATACAAATTTCATCGCACTTTTCTGTGATGATCATTGCAAAAAGGTGTGATGAGCTAGAGTATGGCAGAATTTTGCGATTATCATTGCAAAAAACTGCAATCATTGCAGATTTTAGGTTGTCATCATCGCAGTCTCTTGCAATATTTCCGATTTTCATTGCACAATGTTGCGATGATCGTTGCAGAATTTTGTGCGATACACATGCCATTGCATCTCAGGAGCAATGATTCGTGGGAATCGCCTTTTGGATACCATCGCACGTTTTTGTGTTGAAAGTATCGCAACATGGATAACAGTGAATGTCGGCCATAGTTCGTGCAGCAACTTGCCCGACACGAAGAACTTCGGCGAGACGAGGGATCCGCCGCAGATCTGCTCCGGTGCCGTTTCGGTTTTGTTGTACACGACCACGTGCCAGGGAAACTCGACGGCAGAAGACACGTTCTGGCCATTGCGGACGAAGGCTACACCTTTGCCCGTCGGTCGACCGCACACTGAAAACAAACCAGGAACCACATATCAGTTATCATTCACTGAGAATCCAAATGCTACGAATATAGCGTCAACTGGTGCAATGCTTTTGCATTGCACAGCATGAAGAGCAATGCTTTTGCATTGCACATGAAGAGCAATGCGTTCCCATTCCCATGCATTAGCATAGGGCATTTTCGGGAAGCTTTGCACGGTGCAATACAGGGTAAAAACGGTTCCTGGTTTTCCCAGGAAGCCCATGGTGGAGACATAGGCGATTTCCAGGGAGTTCCTGGGAAAACCAGGAACCGTTTCTACCGTGTATGGCTGGCATTGCACGTGTGGTGCGGTACCTCGGTGCATTGCACCATACGTACCATACTCATAGCGTTTGGAATCTCAGTGTTTCCCAACTAATCGACGAGCCAGACACCGAACCGAACGTGTGACCCCACCAATGGGTTCCTCGTTCGGAGAGCTATCCATTGGTGGAGTCACACGTTCGGTTCGAGTCCCATTTAGCGACGCTGGGAGCTCAGAACGCGTCTAAGAGTTTTGGCCGCCTCCACCGTTCTTCTGGCCCACTGTGCGGCAGGACACACCTGGGGTGCACGCGAAGAGAGGCCTGCTCCACGTGCCGTCCGCCTCACAGCGCGAGAAGCGCGCGCCGTCGGGCAGGCTGCGGCGCTCGAACAGAGGCTTGCAGTCGAAGGAGGCCACGGTCCCGAGGGGCTGCGCCTGTCCGCAGGGCTGCGGCCGCTCTCGGCCGGGAGCGTGGCAAGCCAGGTCCAGCAAGGACGACAGCAGAGGCGGGCACGTCCTGGCCGGCGTGCTCGACGCACTCACCGACGGCTTGGGGACCTTCGAGGACTTGGTGGCGCTCGCACTTGAGGGGAAGACGATTTCAGACTCCGCGTCGTCTGGAACAGAATTTTACATTACGTTAAAAGTTTAAGGATGGACGTTCAACAAACGGCTCTGTCAAGCATGAGCCTCTCAAGTAGAGTCAAAACTCAAGGCCGAGCCAAAAACGAAGAAGGTCCAAACATCAGAGGTTGGGACACTTTTGTTTTATTTGTTTTTTGTTTTTTACGCGATCACGGTCAAAGTGCCGCCTTGAAATCCAAGGGGGGATGCCTTGGCTACATTTCCAAGGGGTTTGAGTGAATTTTCCAAGCGACCCAAACCAAGATCTTTTTACAGAAATGGATTCGTTTCGACAAGACAAATAAAAAATGTCAACCCATGCATGCACTCTCAGCACGTCACTGACTTTTTCCTCATTAATTACGTCGTATGAACAGCAATAATACTTAATACTTTCTAAGTACGACTAATTTCCTTTGTAAAATTAAGTGCAAAACAAAACTCTCAGTGCATTAATTAATATTTCCTAAGTAATTCTTTCAAAAAAGGAAAAGTACGTATTATAGGTGCACAGATTACTTGCATCAGTACTGACAAAATGAGCAAAAAGTCAATAACGTGCTGAGAGTGTGTCAAAGGTTGTGTCAAATCGTCGTCGTTTTGTGGCCAGTGAAGAATCGATTCGGGATTCGAGTCACGGCCTTCTTGGTTCTTTGCATCGTTTCCTGTTCCCGTTTGTCAGCTCGCCGGTGCCGGTCGTTCATCTTCACTGTCATTCATCGAATGTGACGTCACATTCGTTAGAATGTGAATTTTGTCACGGTCGTTTGAACACGATGTCGCATTCGTTTTAACGTGACGTGGCCATCATGTGGCCACCTGAAGCGGGTGTCACATTCGTTTAAGCGTGTATCAACATTCAAACGAAACAAAATGTAACATCATAATAATTTTTTCACATTCTGAACGAATATGACGTCACATTCGTTGAATAACAGTGTTCACCATTTGTTGGCGGGCTGTCTCAGTAGACTGACGTCCTTATCTAGTGCACCGGATCCGTATGCTTGATAATAGTACAGTTTTCGAATTGACATAAGTGCTAAGTTGGTTACCTCAATGAAAGTTATGTTCTGTGTTTGTGAAATTTGCTGATGTTCTGGGTTTACAGATCCTGATGTCGTTGCAAGATTTTGACGAGTTACCGAAATCTGATGACGAGGATGAGGATGGCAACGAGCGAAACTTAACAGCAATGGGCGACAGAAGTGTAAAAAAAGACCGCAATTTTCTTAGTCCAAGACGGAGTCCAATTTTTGTTGTTGTTGTTGTTGTTGTTGTATTTTCTGTCAGCTATGATCGTAGCTTTTAGAGAGTCTCATGAGATACATGAGACACTGTAGTGTGTACCAGCACAAACACCTCAAAAATTCACTCACCTTGCGAGGCCAAGGCCAGCAGGCTTAACAAGACAAGCACTCGCAGCAACATCTCGAGTCAAACTGCCGTGCCGGACACTCGGTACGTAAACGTAGCGAGGAGACGTCACAGGCCACAGAGAGGGGGCCGCGACGAGAAACCTGCTGGACCAGTCGTGGTGGTGGTGGGGGCTTCCTTACTTGAGGTGGGCGCAGGCACTGTGATTCAAAATGAGAAGTACACTGCAAATCATACGTGGAGTACGTATTACCCAATCAGCGCGACCCCCGAAATCGATATCTCGGATTCACACCAAACTTGGTGGACTGCTTGGGTGACCCAAAACCCTACATGGTGCAAAATTGTTTTTTAGCAGATCGTACTTTTACCTACTTCAAAACATACCTAGAACAATACAAGACACTTAAGGTGTCAGCTAGATTTTACTCTAGATTCCAGAAACCAACCGAGTAAGGGAAGGTGGGGTACCATGTGACACGGCCACCATGTGACTTTGGCTTTTTCTCCCAAACGGCTTGCTATTCAATAGCGGTAAGAAGACTCAAAGGAAGGTATCATGAAGGAGAATCGACGTGCAATAGGTCGTGACTCTCCTTCGAAAAGGACGGGAATGGTAGCGATCAGAATTGGAAACCGTCTTAAAATAGCTCATTGGAAACTTTTTCTATTTCCCGCCGCGTCCGCTTTTTACCTTTAAAATACATTTTAAGGACATATGCTCTGCAAGATGTTCTTCTTTGATGTTTTAAGCGCAAAATAAGCTTTGGCTCGATTCTCTACGGCATAAACTTTGAGCGTTATTGCTGTTTCCCCTAAAACTGTTGATCTGGGCACCATGTGACACCACTGTCATTCGCTATGGGATTCCACGATTCACTCAGTTGAATGTGTTCAGTCTATGACATTTGTACACTAGTAACTAAAACCTTTATTGCTCGGGAACCAAAGATGATAAATTGAAAAACTCAACGGAAATAAAAAGCTGGAAGACTTCTTCGTTCATTCTCTGCGTGTAGGTACGCTGAATAGGATATAAACCCAGACAAAAGGCCACTGTCACATGGTACACTAAGGCTGTCACATAGTGTACTACGTGGGGTACGAAGTGACACTTTGACTTGGCCCATTCAACTCGCGATAACTCAGCAACCAAAACAGATAAATTAGAAATCTCAACAGAAATTATAAGGTGAAGAATCATTTTGTTCACATGTCTACTTATGGATGTAATGTGATTGGTATTATTGGGTTGACGGGCATTTAACAAAAACCGCCACATGGTACCCCACTTTCCCTTAATAATAATGAAAGAGGGCCCCAGGGGGAAAAAGGGGGGGGGGAGAGGAGATAGTGAATGGTACGTGAGTGGCTCGCAGTCCGCGCGGAACATCGACACACTCTCCCCCGGTACAGCGACCGGTGCAAATATTTCAGACGATCAGGAAACCTTTCAGACTATCCAAGAATTTATCAACAAGCTTTCAATAAGATGCATCAGCATTTCAAACATTTTGTCCGTTGTTCCTGACAACATTCACACGAGTGTTGAAAATGACTTCCAATTATATTTTTTCAGTGCGAACAGACGAGACGCCTCCATCCGGTCTCGAGTGAAGAGATAGAGATAGAGCAAAGATGGACAGATGAAATGCGAAAGATTAGCGCCTAGTCAAAGTAGTCGTTATCGGCGTAGGTCGAAGCAGTCCTCGGAGCGATCTTCCTTTGGCAACAACTGCAGTGTTGATTGCGCCGAACGCCCCAGCGCGTAGGCTTGGTGTGTTCAGTGCTTCTCTGCAAGAGGTTTGGTCACGGAAAACCCGGTGTAGGGACAAGCGCACACTTGAAGGAGTAGACCATGACCATATGTCCTACACATACAAGTGTCGTGTCCTACGCTTCCTAGTGTCGATCACCCCCTGTCCTAGGCTTGCAAGTGTCGACCACACCGTGTCTCACACTTGGAAGCACAACTATTCAGTGGTTATCGATCGTTAAGTAAGCTGTATCCTACGCTTATGTAAACTTTTCTTGTACAGTATTTTCCCATAGTTTTTGCGTAGTTTTACGAGAAAAATAAAAAATATTAACGAAGAATAACTTATTTTTGTTCGAATTGCTCGTCTTTCTTCGAATATCTCGTGCATACGACACATCAGCAGTTCGTATTATTCAGTTTTACTATAGCCGTAAGAATGTTCTCGTTTCCTGTTTTTTTTTATCGTAGCAGCATGCTATACGCATCAGATGCATCAGAGACCGTTCGTATAATTTTGAGAACGGCCCGTAAAGTATTGCAAATCATACGTTATTTCAAGAATCATTGGTAATTTTACGAATGTTTCGTTTTTTATTTTGCAAGCCACTGCACTGCAAGAAAAAAGTGTGGATAGTGCAACAAAAGTACAACAAAAACTGTACAATAAAAGTACAACAGCGATTGTAGAATGTACAACGAGCATTGTACAAACCACAACGAGCCCTGGACTGCCCAGCACTCGTCATGCCGGTTCCGTTGTACTTTGTACAACAATTGTTGTACTTGAAAAGTACACTAAATTCCTGATAAAAAATTTGCCAGGAATTTGTGTACTTTTGTTGTGGTTATTTTCTGCAGTGTGTATTTTTAAATAGTACTAATTAAGTTTATTACTTTGCCAACAATTTAAGGATGACTGGTTCACGATCCCTCCTTCTCAGATTGCGGTCGGAGAACGACGAGAGGATGGGCACCGAGTATCGAGAGAGGGCTTACCCGGCCCGCCCTAGAGACGGGACGGTCGCAGTAGTGCGTCCGCTCAGCCCCAAGGACCCCGACCTCAGCGACGAGCTGGCCTCGGCGTACAACGCCAGAGACTTGGACACTTTCACCGAGCTGCTGTCCGGTATGAATAGTTTCACAGATTTCTATTCTCAATAACGGCCCGGTTCATTCTGAAGAAGCCAAAAGAATTTTGCTCATCCACTCCATATTCGATTCGAAGCGGTAAAAAAGAGAATAACTGGATTTGTCTCGAAATTGAGTATTGTTGTGCCTGAGGATGGTTTAAATCATTACAACAACTTATTTTACTCATTTCCCAGCAGTTTAGAAGGCAATATAGATAAGGAACGGGAGGTCCACATGACTCCGTTGTACAAAATAGCATAAGAAGATAAACTTGTATCTTTATAAATCTTATTTTTTTAAAAATAAAATCAACTCAACTCCTCCTTTTAGAAAACTAATTGGGAAGGAGAGGTTATTCCAGAAATGTACCAGAGCAATATAGACTACGCAGACCTCAGCTTCGGTTGAATTGTCTTCAAGTTCCACCTCGTTTGGGAGAACCAAGTAAACATGGTTCCGTAGACCATTCTAACGTAGAGATTTAAAATACGGAAACCATCTACAGAGTGATGTTACACTACTTAAAATTTTCACAGTTACAACTTTTGCTTTTATTAAAAAAATCCAATTTGCATCATTTATTTGTCTGGAGTTAGTTTTCCTTGTGAACAGTTTTTCGTTTCTCCCGAAAAGTGATGCAAATTGGGTCATCCCCTTCATGGATCAGCAAGCGCCTTCTTTCCCTACACTGAGAAAATCTTGCTAACTCTTTTCTGCCTTACAAAGAAAATACTTCGGGATTTACAAACTTAGATGGACCATTCTAGTCGTGGCCGAGTGAAGAACAAGAAGAATCTCAAAAGACTCATTTCGGGCATTTGGAGTGCATACGTTCACTGAAAATATGTTGTATTAATATTTTCACTGACTTCTACCAAGCCAAGAGTCTTGAATATTTTAAGTACCGTAAAAGTGCTGAAAAGATGTCTTTTGTGATTCTTCTTGTTCTTCACTCAGCCACGACTAGAATGGTCTATTAGTTTGTATAATGCATGCTCAAAATACTTCATAAATTTTTATGCGTGTACACGCTTAAGTCCTTACGGATACCGTGTTTGTAGGTTACGGATAGTTTTGTGCAGCCATATTACGGATCAAATTTTATTTGTAGTACGGATGTTTTTGTCCGTAATACAAGGATTTGGGAATCCGTATGTTACGCAACGAAATTATCTGTAAATTGCGGACATCAAAACTTTTGTATTACGGACAAAAATATCCGTAATGCAAACAAAATTCGATCCGTAATATGGCTGCACAAAACTATCCGTAACCTACAAACACGCTATCCGTAAGGACTTTACTGTGTAGTAATACCCTGTGCCTCCGCCTCCAGAGTGGTCCGGCGCGGCGGACCCGGCCGACTGGCAGGCCACGGCGGCGGCCGGCGCGCTGAGCACGCTGCTGCGGCGGGCGAGCGGCGACCAGGGCCGCGGCGCGTACGTTCGCGCGCTGCTGGCCGCGGGCGTGGACCCCAACCGCGTCAACCCCTTCCCGCTGCACCTGGCGGCCGCGGCGGCCAACGCCGAGTCGCTGCAGGAGCTGCTGCGCGCCGAGGGGCTGGACGTGAACCGGCAGGACAAGTGGGGCACCGCACTGCACGCCGCCGTCGCCAGGCAGCGCCTCGCCCCCAAAGGTGGGAACGCAGTGGGCCAGAAGACCGGTGGAGGCAGCCGAAACTCCAGACGGGTTGTGAGCTCCAGAGTCGCGAAATGGGACTTGAACCGAACGTGTGATCCTACCAATGGATTGCTCTCCGAACGAGGAATCCATTGGTGGGGATTTGAGTAGGTTCGAGTCCCATTTAGCGACTCAGGAGCTCAAAACACGTCTGAAGTTTTGGCCGCCTCCACTGTGCGGTGGGCCAGAAGACCAGTCCCGGGTGACCCACTGCAAAATTTTGCGTTCTATGATTGTGGGAATGTATTAGTAGGTGCAAGATTTCTGGCGTATTTGCCACGCTTGTTGCCTACTTAAATGCTTTTTTGTAATCTAAATGTGGAATGTGTTTCAAATTTTGTACAATGAATGTGCGAAGTTGTTCCCCCCCTCCGGGTCCCGGCGTCGTAAATCTACCACGGGCCTTCGTAGATAAACAAAGGAACTGTTGGCAATTTTTTTGCCGAAGGATCCGTGGTTAATTCCAGACCTATTATTACGAAGGTTCTTTGTATATCAACAAAGGTTCTTTGTTTTTAACGAAGGTTTACTGTAAATTTAAGGAGGGATCGTTGTAGATTTATGAAGGTGCTTCGTAAATTCCCATTGTAATTGTAAAATCGACAGAGGTCCTTCAAAAATATTAACGAGGGTGATTGTAAATATGCGAAGAGCTTCGTAAATGAAGGGAGGAACCGTTGGCATTTTTTTTGCCGAAGGATCCGTTGTTAATTCCGGACATTAATTTTTACAGTGCCAGACACGGTGGGCGGTTGGGTCGAGCCGTCGGCCGTCGCTCTCAGCGCCGAGAAGCGGGACGAGCTGGAGCACGGCTACCGCAGGTACCCTGGTACACTCTCAGACTGTTCTTAACCTTTTATCCTTTGTTAAAGAGTATTTTACACAGCAATAAAACGTACCATTTCCTCAATATCTATGTAAAATTTCGTTCGTTATATTGACTTTAAGTCAATTTGCTATTGACAAAGAGTCAATACGCAACTGACTTCAAAAATATTCAATAATTGACTTTAAGTCAATACAACGAACAAAATCTTACATCGATATTGAGGAAATAGCACTCTTTATTGCTGTGTAAAATACACTCTAAGATAAGAAGTCAAAAACAGTCTGAGAGTGATGCTCGCGATCCTGCCGGATGCAGGTGCGTCCAACTGCTGATGCGGCACCCGCGCGTGGACTTCAACATGGCGAACGGCGACGGCCTGACTGCCGTGCACCAGGCGGCTCAGGGCGACGCCCCGGCCGCCATGCTGCAGCTGCTGCTGACGGAGGGCGGCAGCGACCTCAACGTGGACAGCGGCAGGGACAGCCACGGCCGCACCGCGAGGGACGCCATCCGGGACCGGCACCCCCAGCTGGCGAGCCGCCTGCCGCCACACGGTAACTACAACAGTGCGCTAGAAGAACGGTGCACAGTGGGCCAGAAGACCGGTGGAGGCTGCCGAAACTCTAGACGCGTTTTGAGCTCCAGAGTCGCCAAATGGGACTCGAACCGAACGTGTGACCCCACCAATGGATTGCTCTCCGAACGAGGAATCCATTGGTCACACGTTTGGTTTGAGTCCTGTTTAGCGACTCTGGAGCTCAAAACGCGTCTAGAGTTTTGGCCACCTCCATCGGTCTTCTGGCCCACTGTGCGGTGGAGGCAGCCAAAATTCTAGACGCGTTTCGAGCCTTAGAGTTGCTAAATGTGACTCGTGTGAACGTAGGAATTCACTGTAAACCCAAAGGTGATACTCTCAGTACCTTTCTTGGGGATACAGTTGAGTATCGTCAAGAAATGTCTCTACGGAAAAGTCAATTGACTTCAAAAGGGCAAACCAGGTGGCATTGTAAAGTTAACTATAAATCTGGTAAGTTTAACTAGACAGAGGTCAAATAGACAGTGCAGAACCACACTGCGAGAAAAAACTACAGGGAATCCTATTTCACAACGTCGCTCTGTACCCAAAACCACAGTGATCTCCGTCTTTTAAAAGACGGAGATCACTGTAGTTTTATGTGTTCATCTCTCTGTCGTCCGAGCGGCCAATGCCACATCGGGACGGCATGGTCAAAGCCTCATAGGTCACCGTTGGGTCCCCGAGGACATCGAGGGGCACCTCACAGGGTCCCCGACGACGATGCGAGCATTTTAGACCTAGGTTCCGACCATTCGCTGAAAAGGTCTCATCAAGATCTACTCGAATCAAGAATAAAATACAATTCTTGGTCAACCCCCTTTTTTCAAGATCCAGTTGACAAATCAGGATCTCGGTGTAAGTGTGTACCAAGTAGACGGTTAGGATTGTAGTGCACGCCGTTTTCATCTTTGCAGCTTTGGCCGAGCTGTCAGCGGACAAGCTGTTCTTCTACCTGTACAGCCGCGAGAGCGAGCAGTTCCTCGCGGCCCTGCAGCAACCCGTGCCGCGCCATGAGAACAAGGCCAGCCTGCTGGACGCCGACGACGGCACCCACACGCTGCTGCAGCTCGCCAGCAAGGTCGGCATTGCCGCGGGTGGTTACACCCACTGCGGCACCAACACCCAGTCCGCCAATCATTCGCAAGTTTTTCAAAATTTTATCGACATTCCGTTACGTGTCGATGGAAGGTCATCTTATTCTTGTGGCAGTAACACGAAACATACAAAAACATTGGAAAGTGTTCAAAAATGCGGTCCTGCGGATAACATTGACAAGGGGGCTGCGGAGAATTACTACAAGCTGATTTCAGAATCTTCTGTAGCTTTTCGCTACAGTGTACTCTGCAAACTGAAGTGTGTACATAGTACACTCTTATTAGAACATGCATCCAAGAGTATAGCTCCGAAATTATTTGGATGAAAACACCAATTATCATGCTCATTCTCTAGCCTACTCCGCAAACTGAAGTGTGTACATAGTACACTCTTATTAGAGCATGCTTCCAAGTACACTCTTATTTACAGCATACTTGCTAGGCACACGCTAAAATAGAGTGTGCCTGGCAAGTACACGCTAAATAAGTGTGTACCTTGCAAGTACACGCTAAAATACACTCGATTAGTCCTATCTAAAACCATGGACCAGTTTGAGTGTACTTGCCAGGTACACTCTTCTTTAGCGTGTACATGCAATGTACACTCTACTTTAGCGTGTGCCTGGCAAATATGCTGTAAATAAGAGTGTCCTTGGAAGCATGCTCTAATAAGAGTGTACTATGTACACACTTCAGTTTGCGGAGTAGGCTAGAGAATGAGCATGATAATTGGTGTTTTCATCCAAATAATTTCGGAGCTATACTCTGCAAACTAAAGTGTGTACATAGTACACTATTATTAAAGCATGCTTCCAAGCACACTCTTATTTTCAGCATACTTGCCAGGCACACGCTTAAGAGTAACTCCACCCCAAGGTGGACCGAAATCTGGGATTGGGTCACGGATTCGGTTCAAACTTTGTGGGTTCAATAGGTCTAACTAGGACCTATCAACCCTAAAAGCAAAGTTGGCTAGCTCAAATAGAACCTGAGATATTTGCATTTTTCTAAATTTGACTAATTTAGTATTAAAATGTCGCTTTCTGATTTTTTCATGGTAAAAGTTGTTCGCTTAGTTCTGGCTTGCATTTCTTCTTTCTAGTCATAAAAAAAGGAGAAAAATGGTGGTAGGCCAAGTTTTGTACGTTGCTTGGTTTGGCCTACTCGAGCAATTTTGTCGAATTCATCGAAACTCTCATACCCAAAATACTCCACCTTGGATTTGACCCTGGTACGTCTCATTTCACTTCTTTTGCTCAAATAAACAATTGCTTTATAGTCCCTAGCACCAACAATTCCATATAAGCCAGAAAAATCCAAAACACAATTTTTCAATTTTCTACTTTGACCTATTTTGGGCCCTTTTGTCAAGATTAGGGCTTCTACATGATCTTGGGTGACAGGAAAGATCCTCCCTGCCCTCAATTTAGATAGTATCAACACAAACAAAGAGACCCAAACTCAAGGTGCACTAAAAATTTATAAGGAAACTGTTTTGGGCAAATTTTGCAAGTTTACGAGGGGTGTGAAGAATTTAAATCGGAGGAAAATGTAATGCTTCGGCCAAAAGTGGATTTGTGGTTCACTAGTAAGCTTTCTCAAGTAGGTTTGGTGCCCTTTTAACCCTGAGAATGTTCCTCCTTGATAATCAGTGTTAAAACCCTGTTTTGGTATAGGGTTGTTGGACTTACGATTTCAACGCATTAACAAAGTAATGATCCATTTATTTAGGTTGTTTGCAACGTATCAGTTCAACCGCTTAGTCTCAATGACTGAGCCTGGTTTCATTTGGTTTGTAAATTTTTTAGACCAGCCAGATGACTTAAGACTAAGGGGTTCAGCTTACACGTTGCAAACAACCTAAATAAATGGATCATTACTTTGTTAATGCGTTGAAATCGTAAGTCCAACAACCCTATACCAAAACAGGGTTTTAACACTGATTATCAAGGAGGAACATTCTCAGGGTTAAAAGGGCACCAAACCTACTTGAGAAAGCTTACTAGTGAACCACAAATCCACTTTTGGCCGAAGCATTACATTTTCCTCCGATTTAAATTCTTCACACCCCTCGTAAACTTGCAAAATTTGCCCAAAACAGTTTCCTTATAAATTTTTAGTGCACCTTGAGTTTGGGTCTCTTTGTTTGTGTTGATACTATCTAAATTGAGGGCAGGGAGGATCTTTCCTGTCACCCAAGATCATGTAGAAGCCCTAATCTTGACAAAAGGGCCCAAAATAGGTCAAAGTAGAAAATTGAAAAATTGTGTTTTGGATTTTTCTGGCTTATATGGAATTGTTGGTGCTAGGGACTATATAGCAATTTTTTATTAGAGTAAAAGAAGTGAAATGAGACGTACCAGGGTCAAATCCAAGGTGGAGTATTTTGGGTGTGAGAGTTTCGATGAATTCGACAAAATTGCTCGAGTAGGCCAAACCAAGCAACGTACAAAACTTGGCCTACCACCATTTTTCTCCTTTTTTTATGACTAGAAAGAAGAAATGCAAGCCAGAACTAAGCGAACAACTTTTATCATGAAAAAATCAGAAAGCGACATTTTTACGCTAAATTAGTCAAATTTAGAAAAATGCATATATCTCAGGTTCTATTTGAGCTAGCCAACTTTCCTTTTAGGGTTGATAGGTCCTAGTGGTACCTATTGAACCCACAAAGTTTGAACCGAATCCGTGACCCAATCCCAGATCTCGGTCCACCTTGGGGTGGAGTTACTCTTAAGTAGAGTGTGCCTGGCATGAACACGCTAAATAAGAGTGCACCTTGCAAGTACACGCTAAAATACACTCGATTAATCCTATCTCAAGGCATGGGCCAGTTGAGTGTACTTGCCAGGTGCACTGAGCGTGTACATGCAATGTACTAGCAAGTATATGCTGTAAATAAGAGTGTGCTTGGAAGCATGCTCTAATAAGAGTGTACTATGTACCTACACACTTCAGTTTGCAGAGTAGGCCTTTTCTGACAGTGTGGTTTCGTTGAGAGGTTTTAGTGCATTGCTTGCAGGACGGCCTGTACGACGCGGTAAAGGCGCTCCTGCAGGGTGGCGCCGACCCGAACCGTACGGGTGGGGAGCGGGCCACGGCGCTGGCCCTGGCTTGCCTGCACGGCCACCACCGCGTGGTGCGCGCGCTCGTCAGCGACTCCCGCACCGACCTGCGGGCCGGCCGCCCCCTGCACGCCGCCATCAAGGGCGCCGCCAAGGCCAAGGCCGAGCCCCAGCAGGGCGGCGAGGCCCGCGACCACCACCGGTGTGTCCAGGTGCGTGGAGGCTGCACATGCACAGTGGGTCAGTGGGAGTGATTCTGGGACACGAGCGCACTCAAGACTCCTTACGGACACCATGTATCCGCAACACAGACGGTTTTGGGCAAACGTAATTACGGATGGATTTGGTTTGTAATACGGATGATTTTATCCGTATTACAAAGGTTTTCGTGTCCGTAACATACAAACAAAAATATCCGTAAGGTACGGACGAAAAACTGTTCGTAATACGGATGAAATCATCCGTATTAGAAACAAAATCAATCCGTAATTACGTTTGCACAAAAATGTTCGTAATACAGATAGATGTATCCGTAAGAAGTTTAGTGTGCAGAGAGCATACTTGAAACCCGACAAAGAATGCACAGTAGTCACACTAAATTACAATGTAGGTTTTTCTGCGCGCGAATGCACGAAATTTAACATGCACTTCGTAACGCACGAATTTGTGCGCGACAAAGCACGATTTCGTGCGCAAGTATGCAGAAAAAAAGTATGCAGAGAGATAACGCGACGATTTTGCGAGGACACCACGGCTCAACATTGTTAAGAGTGTGAACTGTATGGGGAGACCGGGGGAGACCATGGCGAGATGGAGCGAGCGCCTGCGAGCACGGCGGGTAGGCAGCCAGCCACGCAGCGGCGTTTGGCGGGCGTGCCCACCTTCCAGTTCGCAGGCGTTACGGAGGCAGGTCCGTGTTTCGCTGCCTGTGTGTTGGCGCTGCGCTAAGGTGCGCTGCTTCCACATGAGTGCCAGCGCCTCAGAAGGGCTACCTGACACTGGAGCACGCTGCCCAATACACAAACTTTTTATGACGGAATATTTAATCCTATATCTTCAAATTTCACCCCCGGGATCGGTCAAAATCGATGTCCATCACCAAAGCCCCAGAGATGCAAGAAATGACTGCGAAAACGGGGAAACAGCCAAGGTCAAAATTTGAGCAGTTCAATCGGGAAACCGACGCCGGATTCTTCTTCCTCGGCCGATTTTACAAGTCAATTTTTAGGCTGGAACCGACAGGGACCGAGCTATATCGATTTTTACATTTTGACCAAATTCACCTAAATTGTGTCAGAGAAAACGAAAATCGTGAATAAAATCCAAAACAAGCGTTTTTCACCCCCAATATTTTAGGGCTTTTCTTAGACCCTTAAGAGGTACCTTTGACCCAAATGGCGATGGAATCGGCGGTAGTCATGTTTTTCGATCGGACTTCTTAAAAAAATAACAGGAAAAGTAGCGATATACATCGGCAACTTTGGCCCATCCCGTACATTAACAAATGCACTGTTAAAAAAAATTTCTGAATTTTCAGACTAATTTGAGTGAAGTACTTTTACATAAACTCGTTATTAATTTTCAGACTCGTCTTGGTCTTAAAATGAAGTCTTAAAATTCAGACATGGCCAAGTCTTAAAATTCCCACTGCTTTGTAGCTGAAAATTCATACTTTTTGTCCAAAATTTTAGAACATACTGTGTGAATTCATCCTGCAGCAATCGTGCGGAAATGGCAGCCTAATGTGGTGGTCTAGACGCTTGTTAGGGCGGACCTACTGGACGGATAACGATTTTACTCCTGTGAGGGAAAGAGCAAACTTCACAGCACGCCGGGATTCCGCGCACGATGGACACCATCGCTACTCAAAAAAATATCAGACGAGATGGTCCGCAGTAAGACTGAGGCACTCGTCGTTCGAGGGTGAGAACTCATATAGAATCTCCCATGTGTGCCACAACATGACGGAGGATCATGCGGGCACCCAACCTAATGACCGAACGCAGACGCCAGCGAGAGCCAACATTGAAATGCGGTTTTATCGACTTCAGAGTAATATTTTGTTTCAAACTTATTGCTAAAGGCTAGAGCTGATAATTACTAAAGCAACAGATGATGCTGTTTGCAAAAATTATTTACTTTAATGACATTAATCGGAAATACAAAGTGGCGATCTGCCGCGGCGCTCCAGGCGCCACCTAGCGGCAGGTCCCTGAAACGTAACTCCAGGCGGCTGCAAGCAAGTGGACCAAACCATGTGAGAAGTGATTGGTCCACAGTTTGCATTCAACAAGCTCCCTCAACATAACAACTGTCAATATCATAATGCTTTGATGCGCGACGTGTGATTTTCTATATCTGGTTTTGTATTAGTCACCCTTATCTTAATTTTATGACTTCCCTCATTATGAAATTTCAGACTGGGTACAAATATTCAGACCAAGCACGGTCTCAGACTGCCCTGTCTGACATCTCAGACAAAAGTTATGAAATTTCATAAAAAGGTCTTAATTGGTGTTTCATAACGTCAAGTCTGAAAAAAGTTGTCTGAATTTTCAGAATTTTTTTAACAGTGTGTGTGAATTTCGCCTTTGTTTAACCCTGACGGGTTTGAACCTGAGTCTGGGGTCCAAATAGATGTTATTTTCGTCATCAGCGCCCTCGAAAACATAAGAAATAATGCAAAAACTCGAATAAAAAGAATGTTCAAAATATACCCCACTGGGATTTGAACCCGGATCCCAACTTCTCCGATTCGGTTGAAACTGGCACCGTTGGTTTTGTCTCGTCACCCCGATTCCAAAAATACCCCTACATGCCCTGCTAGCTGCATCCGTTGCCGAGATCCTCCTCGACCCCATGTAGACCATGATGCACCTGCAGCAGCGCCCCCGGGGCTCGGATCGGATTTGCTGCCACCGGGCGGTTCTTAGGGTCACCCAAGGAGGCTGCAAACCAAATTTAGTCAAGATCGGACCACGGGAAGTCCTCGGACGAACGGACGAACGGACGAACGGACGCACAGCAGGGATCATACTATATGCCCGTCCCTCCGTCTTTTTTTTTACAAAAAATAAACGGGACGGGCCAAAAAGTGCCTCACGTTGTTCCCGCTGGCCGCCAGATCCTCCTAGCCCGGGGCGTGGACGTGCACGCGTTGGACGAGACCAAAGCCCCGGCCCTGTACCACGCGGCGCGCAACGAGCTGGCCGACATGGTGCGGACCCTCCTGAAGGCCGGCGCCAACGTGGGTCAAAGCGACGGCAGTACCGCGCCCATCAACTACATGTCGCCGGCCGTCCTCCGGACGCACTTCGACCAGTGCATCTCCACCAACGGACTGTCGCCCCTGGACAAGGAGTACGAGGTCATCTTCGACTACAGCAACCTCTCGGAGCCGTGCAGGCGGCAGGGGGACGGCTGGCTGCGCTTGCGCAAGCGCTTCCAGGCTGCCAAGGCCGAGCCAGAGCCTGCAAGCAACCGAGAAGAGGACGCTGGTGAAACGAACACACTAAATTGCTGTTTACACTACTGTGGCAAATAGCTACGGAAAATTCTGTAAACAGCTTGTGGTAATTCTCCGTAGCCACCTTGTCAGTATTCTCCGTAGGCTCTTACAGTATTTTCCGTAGGACCGCAGGACCGTAGGACCTGGAAGACTGTATAGTCCTACGGAGAAGACTGTGCGGTCCTACGGAGAATACTGTACGGCCCTGCGGAGAATACTGTAAGAGCCTACGGAGAATATTGATAAGACGGCTACGGAGAATCCTGGCAAAAAAATTAACAGAGTTTTCCGTACCCTTTTGCCACAGTGACTCTACACTCTCAGACTGTTATTGACTTTTTGTCCTTTGTTAAAGAGTATTTTACACAGCAATAAAAGGTACTACTTCCTCAATATCTATGTAAGATTTCGTTCGTTGTAATGACTTAAAGTCAATTTGCTATTGCCAAAAAGTCAATACGCGTTTGACTTCAAAAATAGTCAGTAATTAATGACAATGTAGTCTTTATAGGGAACAATATTGTACATGGTTACAAAGAAAATACTACATATTGTTGCTGGTTAAAAAACTGCGTAAGCAAAGGACAAAAAGTCAATAATGGTGAGAAAAAAGTCAATACAAGTATTGGAGTGTGCACTCCACCCTGAAAAGTGGTTTCTTGTCGTTAGAGTCACTCTTTATCACTTGTACGAAATACTCTTGAGCCCAGCGTATATTCATTGTGGAAATGAAATACTGTTGCTGCCGTCCAGGGTGACTCTACGGACAAGATCACCCTTTTCAGAGAGTGGATCCTTACGGGGAGCACGTAATACAGTCAGTTGTGTCCATACACAATTAATTAAATTTTCAATAATTTTTTGCAGTGCAATCAGCGGGGCTGGGCGGCGGGCAAGTTGACTCTTACGGCTGGCGGGACCCCGCTGCCGCAGCGGAGGGAGGGCACGGGCAGGCGGGCAGCAAGCCAGGGTGCGTCAACTTAACAATATTGTTTTTCACCCAACATTGAAAGGCGGTACACACTCAACATCTTATGATCGTGCTAATACGTAGTACGATGGTTTTTCATCGTAAGGTACGCATAAATTTGCACACGTAAAATGCTTAGTTTTCAGCGTAAGGTATGCCATCGTATTACGCATGAATTTTACTGTAGTATGTATGTTCTCATTTCGACGTATGTTACGATGACCCTGCTGCAGGTCCTGAATCAATCTGACCGTGCACGTTCAGGAATACCTCGAGAAACGTCAAAACTGATTTTGTTTACGCGCCCCGCAGCAAGCAAGTGGCCGTGCAGCGTGGTCCCGCCGCAAAACAGGGAGCCGGGTACCGCGAGACGGCCACCCTGCTCTACCTGGCCTACGCCGAGGACCCACGCATGCAGGAACTGCTCACACACCCCCTCCTCACGAGCTACCTCCACCTCAAGTGGCGCCGCGTCAAGGCGGTCTACATCGTCTCCAGCCTCATCTTGCACCTTGTGTTCAGCCTCTTAGTCACGTTCTACGCCATACTCAGGGACGTCAAGTTTGGAGGGCTGGTCGACCTCCTGGATGGAAACAGGGCAAGCGGGGACGCCGCGGGGTACGTACCTGCACTACGAAGTGCAGTGTGTACTCAGTATGAGAAGCTCCAGACAAAAGAAACCACTTGGTCGGCGACATCCTAGGAGCGGGCGCTTGTGGTGTTTTATCGGTTCCTTGTATGTATACGAACTGCCGAAAAGACACTTGGACGAAATCCGACACCCCCTGTGACTTTGGTACGGGTCTAAACACCCCAAAAACAGCTGTTTTCGAGGGTTTGGGACTATATGGGTTCTCGCAAACCGAGATCCAAAAAAGTACCCAAATGGGTCTCTGATACTCAAAAAATGCGCTCTTTCGAATGCCGTGTCGAACGATGCTCTACGACGTCGGGTTTGGATGCTACGGGCTCTCAAAGTTGCTCAATTGAAAGTGAAATTTTTACTGAAGATTTGAGCATATCAGGGCCGTTTGAGGTAGACCATCGGCGATTTCGCTCCTCTTTGTCTTAAATAGTGCCTACCCATAGGTAAACACCCCCACAAAATTTCAGCCATGTCAGTCAATTATTAGAGGAACTGTGAACAATTTAAGTTTTGGGTCATTTTACCACTGGGCTTAGGTGGTTTTGGGTCCAGAAATTTTTTTTTTTTAGCTATCTACTTTTGATCAGCACCTCTTTTTAACATAAAGCCTCGAAAAATTTTTTCGAGGACAAACTTGTCTTTTTCTAGCTGTAATTGGAACATAACTTGGATGGGTTGCCCAGGAATATCGGTTGAAGATAGTTGTAACTTTTCGCAGGACCGATGCCACCCCAAAGATCTCAGAATGGGACGTTCAATGCTCTTTCGCACTGATGGGAGTGCTGATTTTCTACTCTGTTTGGGAGCTGCTGCGCGTGTGGCCGCGCTTACCGCATTTCTTCTCCCTGAATGACTTCTTAGCGGTCGTCTCCATCCCCGTGCTGGCTATGCTGATTGCGACGAACTTGCAGGTAGGGATGGACACTTCCGGTTCCATTGTGAAACTTGTTTAACTTAGAAAGATCATGTTTTTCCTGATTGGCTGAGCAACAGCGGGGCCCGTTAATCCAGTGGGGTTGAAAAACTTTTTCTGTCGGTCTGTCTGCCTGTGAGTGTAAAAGAGGGGGGGCATAACTAGGCCATTCTGCTGTTTGGAAAAGAGGAGGAAAAGATGAAGAAACGAGGTACGTAACTTCTGTCCCCTCGCTACTTCGTTTCTTCCTCTTTTCCAAACAGCGGATTGGCCTCACTCAGAATCCAAACGCTATGAGTAAATCGTCAATTGGTGCAATGCTAAAGTATCGCACATGATGTGCAACGCCTCCCCGGTGGAGGCGGACTAAACTCTAGACGCGTTTTGAGCTCCAGAGTCACTAAACGGGACTCGAAACAAACGAGTGACCCCACCAATGGATTGCTCTCCGAACGAGGAATCCATTGGTGGGGTCACACGTTCGATTCGAGGCCGGTTTAGCGACTCTGGAGCTCAAAACGCGTCTAGAGTTTAGTCCGCCTCCACCTTCTTCTGCAGAAGCCACGGCCACTGTGGGGTGTGCGAATAGTTTGGCACCGACTCGAATCGGGTAAGATTCGATTCGGAGTCGGATTTGCAGAGATTGGTCCCGACATACTCGAAATTTCGAATCTTTGGTGGTTTGTCTTCGAACTAAGGTGAACATATCGAGGGGTCCTATTCAAAGAATCTTATCTGGGCGTTCCCCCCAAGACAATCTTATCTTAAACGCCGGCAAATTTCACTCATTTTGATCAATCAGAACAAATACGACGGTAAGCGAAACATATTTCTACATGCACTTTTGGTTTCTTTTACCTTCCATCTTTAGATTTACTTCAACAAACTCACAACTTATATTGATATGTAGCTGTACCAAATGATCAAACTATGTGAAATTCACCTGCGTTTAAGATAAGATTGTCTTGGGGGGAACGCCCAGATAAGATCTTTTGAATAGGACCCCTCGATATGAGGTAGAGAGTAAGAATGAGACAGAAAAGTTCCCATCAGCTCAGCAGCATAAGCAGCGGTCTTCTGGCCCACTGTGCACCCCTCGTACGTTTGCCAAAACTGCCCATACCTGCCTGCAGGGCGAGGACGACCCCTATGTGCGGCGGCCGCTGGCAGCGTTCGCCGTGCTTATGACGTGGATTCGCCACATCTTGCTGTGGGCTCCAGTGTCGCAACACCTCGCCACCAACATCGAGATGTTCAAGAGAGTCTCGTTTAACTGCTTCAAGGTGCCAGGGATGGGCAATATCAAAATTTCAGCATCCTGCGACTGCATTTTCTCAATGTCGTGACTTCTTACGATACACCGCAATATCGCAAAGCAGTAACCGACAATCGCAAATAGCCTAAACAATATACTAACGAGAAAAACTTCTCAGATTAATAAGGGGGGACCATGGTGAAAAAATGGCCAAAATTGCCAAATCGAAGAGCGTACATTGTATGCTCTAACTGGAGCATGCCTGCAAGCACGCTCTAGCTAGCGCATGTCTGCCAAGCATGCACTTACTAGTGCATACATGCCACGTACACGCTAACTGAAGCATGCATGTAGAGCATAGGGGATAGGGAGTTGCCTGCATCAGGAAGCGTATACATGGCATGTATGTACTAGTAAGTGCATGCTGGGCAGGCATGCTCCAGTACAGCATACAATTTACGCTCTTCGATTTGTAGAGAAGATTCCCCCTACCTTAATGCTGGGGGTATGGGGAAATTTCCAGAGTATGATTCATTTCAAGCTTAAAGTCATCAAGCGTAACCTTATGCTTGACTCAAGCATAGTGTTACGCTTTGGTTTTACCAGTGTAGGAGGGTCCCATATTTGGCTCAGAAGGGCCGGGGAAGGGAAGAGGAAAGGAGAAAGGGAAATGGGAATAAAGGAAAGGAGGGGAAGAAAAGGATAGGAAATGAAGGAAAGGGACCGGGAGGGTGTGTGTGTGTGTGTGTGTGTTAAGGGGCTGGGGCACGATGTATACACCGTGGGCTGGGGGTATCAGCGATCGGTCGCTCCACTGAAATTCCAAACGCTATGAGTATAGCACGTATGGTGCAATGCAGCTGAGATATCGCACCATACGTGCAATGTATCCCGAAAATGCCGTATGCTAGCTAATGCATGCGAACGGGAAGGTATTGCACTTCATGTGCACACTCTTAAAACCTTACGAAGTATTTTGAGCATACATATAACAAACTAAAATACTTTGTTATACGAAGAAATAGTTCGTAAATTACGAAGTATTTTCTTTGTAAGCTTACGTATGCTCAAAATACTCTGTTATACAAACTACTTTTCTTTGTAAGGCCCAAAATAGTTTGTAAGGTTTTCTCAGTGCAATGCTTTTGCATTGGACCAATTGGCGCTATACTCATAGCGTTTGGATTCTCAGTGTCCCCCTAAATGAAATTTCTGTTGGCGCCACTGCTTGGGATAGATCGCAAAATGTCCATCCGCAGGTGCTGCTGTCGTACGGGGTCCTGATGGCGGCCTTCGCCCTCAGCTTCTACATCCTGTTCCACAACTGCAGCAGCGGCACGGGGCAGTGCGTCCAGGGCGGCGACGACGACGACGACGAATTCTTCCACAACCCGTTCACGTCCATCTTCAAGACGTTCGTCATGCTGACCGGGGAGTTCGACGCCAGCTCCTTGCCGTTCAAGGCCTTCCCCGGCACGAGCCACGTGCTGTTCCTCCTGTTCGTCTTCCTGGTGTCCATCGTCCTCTTCAACCTGCTGCTCGGCCTCGCCGTCAGCGACACCGCGGTGATCCGAAAGGTAGGGATACGCGAATAGTTCGGCATCGAATCGAAGGGTGAATCACTCAGCGTTCTGGTGCACACATAAATACATGAGTACGGGTGGGTACACCTTCTATAGCTCACATAAAATTTCACATTTTCAATCGTTTTTTGGCTTTATTTAGCGGTTTAGACAACTCACAACGCCAAATCGTGTAAGAAATGAACGAATATTGCTCTTTTCCAACTGATCGTGAGTACACTGAGTACGGGCAGTACGGGCCAATTTGTACACATGATACTAGTGTATACACTAGTGATTCATCCCTCGCATCGAATCGAATCATTCGATCGCTTCGACCCCGAATATTCGAAATTTCGACTCGACAGTGGTTTGTCTTCGAATCAGTTGCTCAGGGACGGTTGAAAGTCGTGCGCATGGCGCTGTTTTTTTACCAAAGCAAGATCAGATATTTGATTTCCCTTATTTCTTCTTCCTGCTCCATGCCCTCCCTTTATTTCAGAAAATTTGTTTTGAAACGCACTGATTTTTTTTAAATTTCATTTCTAATTTGATATGATTCTGAATCTTTAAAAGTTCGATGCTATTCGACATCTTTTTCTAGATTCGATTCGAATTTTTTTTAGATGCAATTCGAATTTGATTTGAACCTTTTTTCTTAGATTCGAAACATTTTTTTTTATTCGATTCAAAACCTTTTTTTTTAGATTCGATTCGAAACCTTTTTTTTTTTTATTCGATTCGAAACTTTTTTTAGATTCGATTCGAATTTGACACTTTTCCTACTTTCGATTCGAAACTTATTTTTACATTCGATTCGAAATGAAAATCCTTGATTCGCACATCTGTACTGCAAGGACGCCGAGCTGTGGGCCTACGTCACGCGCGCCGAACACCTCTACTTCACGGAAATAGCAACGGTGACGCACTTGTCCACCTGGGTGCCCTTCCCAAGTCCCAACCTTTTCCAAGACGAGCGCGAACGGCGGGTCCGGGTACTCTGCAACGAAGGCAACCGAGTGCTGTTCCCCTCGGCAAAGAGCGGGACCGTTCAGAAATGCTGCTGTTTGCCGCGCTGCTTCAAGAGATTTTGGTAAATATTGAGATCCAAGGGGCACGACTCCAAAAATATTCTGAACCGAAATACATGGGCAATTAAGAATTGTATTCAAATCACCTTTAAACTCATGGAGTGCCGTCAACATTCAGACTTTGAATATTAAAAAAAATTCTTTTAAAAAGTAATATTTACAACGAATTTTACAGAAATTTGGCTACTTTTCACTTCAGCCCATCCGGTATTCATGTGGGATTCAAACTGAAACCCAGAGTTATTTCCCATTGATTGAAACACACTTTCTTCGGACTTAGTACCAACGATTCAAAGTATCCCGTTCAAAAGTGAAAGCATCCGAAATCGTTCCGAAGACGAAAGGATTTCGGGTGTTGCCCGATCGGGCGACGAGGTCTTCCGACGAGGTCTTCCGATTTTCGGAAGGATGTACTTCCGATTGCAATGCATGCATTTTTGTTCAAGTTTGTTTCGGAGATTTCTGACAGTGTAGGATCTATAACCGGTTACGTTGAGACGCCTCTTACGGATGAGATGCAATATTTACGCACCAACGGCTGTGGCAGATAACTCGTGATACAGTCTAGTAACAATACAATAATGTAAATAGGTCCCGTATTCTGTTATTGGCAGAAAAATTTTAATGCCGGTAGGCTAAGTACAGAGCTTTGCAACCCACGTGACACTGAAGTGTGGGCGCAAGGGAAGTTTCACCACTCAAATTGCAGAAATTCTCTTTCACTGGTAGAAAAAAGTACAGAAAGAGTACGGAACAAGTCCGATCAATTATTTGGCCCGACCGTCTGTACCTACCATTATATACTGCGGAACTTCTGTACCTCTTTTCCGCACTTCCGTATTATATTCCTCTGGACATTGTCCGTACAAAAGTACGGAGATTTTTACAGTGTTCTCTTTTTACAGTGACCGAGTAATGGACCCAGACATTATGAAGGACGTCAGCGAGCTGCTGCAGGGGCGGAACGCTCAAGCAGATGCCATATAGCTTGCGTACGATGGTGAAGGTGAAAGGTCCAGCTATGTTGACTGTTCACCACTTTCTCATTGCACTTAATTGTTCACAATTTTCAAACCTTGTTACTGACGGAAAGGGGAATACAATAAAAGAAAGTTTTACCTAAAATTTCCCGATAACTTCCTTGTTTTTCTGTTCCGCTGGCCACTGTGTCCCTGTGTGCTCGGCGCGTTTGCACGCATTGTTTAACATGAATAATTCTGTGATATGAGCTGTGTTTGGAGGGTTGTACATGTACTACAGGTTACAAAAGATCAAAGATAAAATCTTCAAAATCCCAAAATTTAGGACTCGAGCGTTAGGTATTCTTTCCAGGAGAAGTCATCAGAATGGATGTTGAGCTCACAGTACTGTCTCTCTCGAGCTGGAATCCAGTACGATAGCTGAAAAAGAGTTGAGAATACTATATACAATGATGGAGTACAATTCCTTGGAGTTGATGTCACGAGCGGACAGCATCAGACACCTCATGACAAAATTTCGAAATATGTAGCAAATATGGAACTTCTGCTGACCCTTTCGGGAAAATACTTATTTGCTAACATAAGAGCAAACATAAGAGCGGATTTGCTCTCCGACGAATAGTTCAGGAGATTTTTGCCCCGGAACACGGACTTTTTGGACAATGGACAGCACGGAAGTTACATTTTGCCCAGTTTTAGCCTGTTTTGACAGGGAAATGCTTGAACTGCATGTTCGGTTAGTGTGTGGGATAGTAGGGGAGATGAAGCCCAGTCATAGGAATCAAACCGCAGGTCGATACGTCGAAAAATAAGGAAACTGAAATAAGGAAACCCAAAGACACAAATGGACCCACAACTTAGTCAACTTCCCGTAACTGAAACAATGAAACACCCTTTTCCGCCCTTTTCTATTTACATTTTGCAAAAACACCTTGAACAAAAAATGTCCATCACAACAAAGTACATACTTAGTTTTTGTTGTATACGTCGTTGTTGAAATGAGTAGGCAGGTGTTGACAGCTTGGCAGTGTATTTCGAACTGACGACAGTGACGGATACAGATTCCAGGAACGCTCACAGTAGAGGGCGACACAGGCAACTACACAGGCGAACTACGGCAGAAGCCAGAACTGCAGAGCGCGGCGTACCGACAGTCACTAGACAGAACGTGGGGTATCGCCAGTAGATGGAGTATATGGGAAGTTGCCACAATTGTGGATCCTTGTGTCTTTGGGCCACAGTTTCCTTATTTTTCGACGTATCGACCGGCGGTTTGATTCCTATGACTGGGCTTTATCTCCCCTGCTACCACACACACTAACCGAGCATGCACTTCACGCATTTCCCTGTCAAAACAGGCTAAAAATGAGCAAAATGTAACTTCCGTGCTGTCCATTGTCCAAAAAGTCCGTGTTCCAAGGCGAAAATCTCCTGAACTATTTGTCGGAGAGCAAATCCGCGAACAGCCTTTTGTTCCGTTGGCAACCCTTTATGACACACTTGGATAGCAATTTATTCCAGTGACTCACACCTCCTGCTTTATTGGACGAAAAAATGTCACCGTGTACTGGTTTTCAAACATCGTCAGCTTTAGTTTCGCGCCTCAGCGCCGAACCTGTAGCGAGAAAAGTTCGGCTCAACGTCCAGAATCAGCAGCACGGTTTCCTCTTTCCAACGCGGTGGGCGGAATTTCGAGCTCAATTTTTCGGCACCTGTCTCGTTGCTGTAGCACGATTGGGCGCTGGTGGTAAATGTTACCTGGGAAAAACGACTGTGGTGGATTATGACCTTCGTTTCAACGCACAATTAAAAGGGTATAGTGCAATCGGTTGCTCATTTCGTGCTCAATTTTTTGAGACATGTCCGATCAATTGTGCAAAATTGGGTTCTACCAGCTTCACAGAGGTTCATCCCGCCCCGTCCTGGTCCCATTCTGAGAGTACAAGCTAGCTGCCACCCTAAAGTGTCCTGTATTATGATGAGTTGAATTTGTAAAGGTATCACAGCGGTTCCCAACCCTGGGGTCGCGACCCCAAATGGGGTCGCGAAAAAATTTCGAGGGGTCGCGGCGAGGTGGCTGGGGTCGCCTGGGGTCGCGGTGGTTTCCCCTGCTAGCCCACACGCCGAGCACTGGCGGGAACAACGAATCAGACGCAGTGACTGCTTAAATGCCGCAAAGTTGATCAAAACGGTCACAAATGTCTGAAAAATCGTGTTTTGGGCCGACTTTAAGCATCTACTGCGGCTGATCCGAGGTGGTATTTCGTCCTCCCTCAACGGGCAATTGGTCTTTGGACCTTCCTTTTGCATGCCTCTGTTACGGAAAGCGATTATCTGCCTTAGTTTGGGAGCAGTATTGCCGCAAAGTTGATCAAAACAGTCACAAATGTCTGAAATATCGTGTTTTGATTAACTTTGCGGCAATACTGCTCCCAAACTAAGGCAGATAATCGCTTTCCGTAACAGAGGCATGCAAAAGGAAGGTCCAAAGACCAATTGCCCGTTGAGGGAGGACGAAATACCGCCTCGGATCAGACGCAGTAGATGCTTAAAGTCGGCCCAAAACGCGATTTTTCACAGACATTTGTGACCGTTTTGATCAACTTTGCGGCAGTACTGCTCCCAAACTCAGGCAGATAATCGCTTTCCGTAACAGAGGCATGCGAAAGGAAGGTCCAAAGACCAATTGCCCGTTGAGAGAGGTCGAAATACCGCCTCGGATCAGACGCAGTAGATGCTTAAAGTCGGCCCAAAACACGATTTTTCACAGGCATTTGTGACCGTTTTGTTCAACTTTGAGACAATAGTGCTTCCAAACTAAGCCGGATTATCGCACTTTGTATCAAAGGCATGCTTAAGGAGGGGTCGCGTGGGGTCGCGAAATTTTTCCTGGGGGTCGCGGAAATTTTTGGCTACAAATTTGGGGTCGCGAACCGAAAAAGGTTGGGAACCGCTGAGGTATCATCTGCTAAAAAGTTGTAAATTTTTCAAACGCGTATTTCTTGGAAACGGCTGGACATAAAGTGCTAATATTTTGCAGGGGTCCAAACGACACTAGTAAGAGTCAATTCACCGAGTTTGGGCGAAATCGGTGAGGTCGCGCCGAAAAAGTGTTATTCGCTTCCGTGGAATTACCAACGTGTGAGACACCGTTTGTCCCACACTCGCAAGTGCTAAACACCGCTTGTCGCACACTTGCAAGCGTGGGGCCTGTGACATTGAACTACCATAACCCCTTCGCTGTTTCTGTGGAGCCCTTGCCAGTTTCTGTGAGCCCATGCCAGTTTCTGTGACTACCAAAGTCAGAATCATTTACTGGCGGTTTCTGTGCCGATCCGTTACGGATTCCGCCAATTCAATTTACTGTGTGGTTGTTATCACCTTAGGGACTGCGGCCCAGTCATCTCGGTTTGGGCCAAGGTTGCGATGTTTATGGCTACTACTTTTCCTGCTCCTTGCTTATCAGACCACGTTTGCAATTAATTAATGCAGCGTACAGTGCCGGGATCTTGATGGCGCAGCAAGGGCCGTAACCTTCGTGGTGCAACGACGGGCTATAAGAGTCCTCCCGCACCGTCTGGGTTGCCAGGCACGGATCTCCGCTCTTGTGGGAAAGACAACTTCTTGCCATCATGTTCCGGCTAGTCCTTGCGTTGGTTGTGCTGGCCGTGGCTTCAGCGGCGCCTTATCTTGGTATGTCAAACCTCCCCCACATGGCCTAAAATGAACTCAGAAAAATCGATAGTCGCTTCAACTATGTATCGGTTACCACATCATGGCTATTTAACCACTAAAGGGTCGTAAGTCAGTCGATTTAAGGGGGTTTACACCCCATCTGATGTGTGCTATGATGTCTGCAGTAAGCCGTTTCATCTTGTAGAATTTCGTGACGTTGTTTTTGGCACATAACTTAATTATGATTCATGCTTTTTACTACTAAAAAAATTGTCCTACGTGTATAGTGACCGAAGTCAGTTGTCACGCCCAATTTTCATTTATCAAAGAATCCAATTGATGCATTTGAGTTAACGTGGATATGTTCCCTTTACCCTCACTTATGATTCAAAAACTCTGAGAAGCCTCTGGAACTCAGACTTAACTCTAAAACTCTGAAAAGAACTCTACATTCCGACAAAAACTATGAAACTCTGCTCTGAATTAAACTTTCAAACTCTGAAATTTCAAGCACTGAGAATGAAAGAGTCATAATCAGTACTAAAATTTTGGACGAGGTGTTGCTCGGATTGTGGTCAGCTTTTACGGTTCTAGAAGATTGTCAACGGTACTCACACTCGGCACAACACTGAAATTCAAAGGGTGAGACATCTCACCAATTTTCGGCGATACAAAATGTATCACCGAAAAAAAGGTCGTACACGAATGTATCACCAAAAAATGGTCGTACACGCATGTATCACCGAAAAAAGGGTCGTACAAAAAAAGTATCACCGAAAAAACGGTGAGACATCAGCGAGATTGAACCTTGTTTTCCTGGGGAAGTATCAACCTTTTTTCGGTCATACATTAGTGTACGACCTTTTTTTCGGTGATACATTCGTGTACGACCAGTTTTTCGGTGATACATGCGTGTACGACTATTTTTTTCGGTGATGCATGTTAGTATCACCATTTTTTCGGTGAGACAGTTATGTCTCATTCTTCAGAGAGTGAGATGTATCACTATTTGATTTTCAGTGAATTTGTAACTGCATTATTTCTCTTCCAGATCAAGACAAGCCTAGACCAAGTCTCCAAGCAAACCGCTTAGCCGTCGCGCCACTGCGAGTTGGTTCCAAAAGATACTTTCTGCAGACCGTTAAGGTGGGTGCGGGTCCGCTTAGCAGTCCCGTTAATCGTAGTTCTCATTGCCACCAAAAGCGGCTGTACACGCAGGGACTTTCTTCACTCGCAGCACTAAGTCTTGTGTGGGGCCCTGAAGAGGCATGGACCAAAAGCCCTCTTTTAACCATCTTTTTCGAAATGAATAATTCATGCCCTTCTCAAGGTCCAAATAAAGCATGGGTTCTTCACGCTCATGTTAATTTGCCTTTGAAGATATACGAAAACAGCCGGCATCTGCACTTAAAAAAAAATACGTATCCTTTCTCTTTCTTGCCTTTTCTCCTCCTCCCTCTCTTCCGTCTTCTTGTTTTCCGCACCCGTTTTCATGGGTTCATATGGAGCAAGTACGGGCGTTCCGTACTTTCCTCCATACTTTATTCGTTTGTACCTTCTCGGTTCAAACGTACGGATTTTATTTCAGAGTACCGTCTTGCACAGAATCGTTTCATAAATTTGGAATTTCAAGTACAGAAGCGAGTCGTTATGCAAGTGCGCCTGCCACTGCAATTAAAGTAACATTGTTGTTGGCAGTCAAACTGGTACCGTGCCAACGAGTTTTGCAACTACCAGGGTATGCGCCTTGCCACAATCAGCAGCCAGGAGGAGAACGACAAAGTGGCCAAGTACATCAGGAACAGCGGTAAGTCTGCCTGAAAGAAACGGGTTACACTCTCAGCATTTTACTGACTATTTCTCATTAGCAGACGCATTTCTGTAAGCAACCAAAATACTTGGCATTTTTTGTCAGTATTACTTAGCAATTACTCATTACTGTACTAATATTACCGTTTTCTTAGTAAATTACAAATAAAATTTTTAAGTATTTAAGAACTAAATGCTAAGTATTATAGTTGCTTACAGAAATACGTCTGCTAATGAGAAATAGTCAATAAACGGCTGAGAGTGCACTTTCGAGACCACCCCATTTCCTGCACTGGTAAAACTAAAGCTTAACTCTATGCCTGAGTCAAGCATAAAGTTACGCTCTAAGAGGTTATGCTTGAAATAGAGCATACTCTGGAAATTCCCCCATGCATTTAGATTCGGGAAATCTTGGTGGATGTGTCTGTTACGCTCGAGTTCATGCGTAACCTGCACGGTAAAAACAGTTCCTGGTTTTCCCACGAAGCCCATGGTAGAAAAATAAGCGATTTCCAGGGAGTTCCTGGGAAAACCAGGAATCGTTTTTACTGTGTGATTACGCTTGGTAACAGAGGGTAATACTACGCTTTAGTTTTACCAGTGTGAGCCGAGCGACACAGCTGTTTAATTATCCGTGGTCATTCCATCTTAACGTCTACACTGATCTGGACAGCCTGGTACGATCTCGACCAAATGTTGTGGCGAGGTTGTCCTGGAACATACTACTAATTCTTAAGGCCTATAATTCTCGCGGTTTGGTCAGAATTGGCATCGTCCAAGGAAGGGGCACCTGCGGGTTTGCATTTCTCAAGAACCTTGCTCCATGAAAGTAAAAGTTATGGCAATGGAAGGAAGGACGCAGCATTTCGTGTTCACTTGTGCACTAATAGGACACTGAAAAACCAAACGTGGCCTAGACCACACCAACTGATGCAGTTTGAAGTGGTCATTGCATGGGAAGACCACACCAAACGTGGCCCAGAACATACCAACTGATGCAGCCTAAATGGGACCAGTCTGACAACACCTGTGGTGTGGTCTAGACCACGTTACGTTTTTCAGTGCACGGAAGCGATCTTTTGCGCCTTTCTTCAAGCATGGTGGTTGCTACGCTCGGCTTAAAACGTCCCCCTTATCTAGATGCATGGGAGATTTAGATGAATCGTACAGCTACGCTTCAGTTTTGCCAACATGTCCCTCTCTCAAACATCCGGCAATTTTTTTTCCAGGTTTGGGCGGCGAATACTTCTGGATAGGGGCCTCAGATCTGGGTGAGCGCGGCAAGTACGTCTGGATGTCGACGGGTGAGCCCCTGGAGTACACCAACTGGTTGGCAGGAGAGCCAAACCATTTGACGGATAACGGTGAAGTTGAGCACTGTGTCCATTTGTTTGATCAGAACCTTGACTTTACTTGGAACGACAAGATTTGTTCGATCTATTATAACTTCATTTGTGAGATGTGATTTATACACCTTGTAATTTCTGCGACGGCTTGCTTCGTGTGTTTTTTCTTCATTTCGGGTAACCTGAGACGTACCTCCGGCGATACCGACTGAATGTAACCGGAAACTTTTAACGCGTCAATACACTCACAAGATATTGAGGTTTAATAATTAGTGAAACGAACGAAAAACTTAGTATTATGGCAACGAAGAGAAGGTAATACCCTACGGTGAAGGTTTCTTTGCAGCTTTGCAGTTTCTTCATACAACGACTAAACTACTGTTTAATTATTATGATTGATTTGTGTCGTAGAGTACTGACAATTAGCTTAGTAATATAACTGCACGGCGTTTGTCAGTAGAAAATAGGAAGTGTTGCTATAGTACAATCAAATTAACCTTGGACAATGGACCAAAAATCACGCCTACGTAAGTGAAGGTAGAGCACTACGTATCAGGGGGCAGGTTACATGTCTTTTTTTTAGAAAAGTTCCGAGCTGGAGCACCAAGTTAATTGTAAGGGTCAGCGCGTATAACTTTTTTTTTTCGTGGAAATATTTTTTTTTATCTTAACGGTTGTGATGTTGGGATTAGGGGGAGGTTGGAGGTTCTAATGAAATTCCTGCATTGTGAAAAATGTGTCAAGCAGTAGAAATCTGTTATAGTAAACATGAGGTCTTTAGGAAATATAACAGTTGTACAGAATAGTTGTTTGGCCTACTCTCTATAAAACCTGTATACCTATCCGCACGGCCGACGCACCACAGTATCGTAACTGTTTGCACCACATGCTCCAGATGGTCCTCTGTGCACAATAAATCTGTTTTTCTGTCTGAGCCTTGAGGCTGAGTGATCATCCTTCCAGAACCCAATCTAACCAAAAACTACAATGACAATGTAAAATATGATGGTACTGGTGCAAGCCAGTTATCGCAACCAAAGAGACTGTTTTGCCAAGGGCATTAAATTATGGACTGGAAGGCCTGCGGGGCATTCCACGTCAATCCATCATGGTTCAGCACAGGCCGAGGCAGGCAGGGGAAAGCCGAGGAAAGCGAGGCCGAGAGGACGTGACAAGAAATGGGGGAGCCAGGAGCCAGGGACACCACCGTCACTCGAAGAGGGAGGCCGATAAGGATACCGGCAAGGTTTAGGGATTAAAGAAAATAAATTGTTGTGCTTCAGAGAAGCTAATTAAATGGTGTTGGAATTATCACTCTGGTTTGAGTTGTCAATCACCTAACCTGCCCAGAATTCGCGGATTAAACACGGGCAACAAACACAGGACCCTCAGCGTCAACGAAACAAAAGACTTAAGGGGGGAGGTGTTCTAGTAGGCGCTGGCGTTATACGCAGCGCTACTACGCTCTGCAGATAGCATGGTGGCTATTCACCCTCATCACTCCAGCCAAGCTTATGCACACTTTTAATAAAGCCTTCTTTGCACCTGCTCAGATCCGGCTCCCAATTTTGTCTATCGCAGCCTGCCACCCTGCGGAAGGCAGGCCAGTGCCGCATGCCAAGGTAGATAGAAACGCCAGGCGTGGATTGTCGGAACGGGCGCAACATCGCGATGCGCACGGAAACACCTACAAATACCTTCGAGAGTTCACTGTACCTTCTAGATATTTTGACGAGTTTCGTTTGTACTGCGGAGGAAATCTCCAAGTTGATGCAGCCTTTTTCCGAGAGACATTTAGAGTGTATCTATGTGTATTGACCTGAGCACACTCTCGTTAGAGTGTACTTGTGAGTGCGCGCCCAGAGTGTACTGAGCACACTGCTGAGTCAGGGCATCTGTTGTCACGCTATCGCTTACTGATTTGCGTGTTGAAAAGAGGAGACAATTATGTGCCCCGTGTCGCTAAAGTCACGAGGACACCCAACCATGTTACTTAACCATTAAACGGAGTCCTGCAGTCATGCACTGTCGGTGGGCGAGGCGTGAACGAAGACGAAATGCTGTACGCAATGACGGTAATATACAGGGTGTTCAAGGTAACTTTGGCCAAACTGTAGGAGGGGAAAGATTACCCCAAAGTAAGGATTTTTTTTCTAAGAGATGAATGTCCGGAAACGCACCATTTTGGAGACACAGCCATTTCAAATCTTTTTCGGTTAATTATATTACGCAGTGGGAGTGGGCCCAGAACAAGTACTTTTTTCAACCATCATTGCAATCAGCACCTCTTGAAACGCTGCATTTAGACGCCAGTCGTTCTGCCACTTCCGCAGAGTTATATTCTCATTCAAGTCCGGCGTTTGTTCTTCTTGATTTCTTCTCCACTTCCGGTCCAGCTCTTCTCCGAAGCACCCTATTGCATCATTCATCTGATCGGATTTAGTTAACCCTGCAAACAGTTTTTTGTTTCTCCTGAAAAATGATGAAAATTGAGTTTCCCCTTCTTCCGCTTCATGGATCATTATTTCGTTCACAAAATCAGGAACAACGCAGAAGTCTGTAACAGGTTCGGCACAATTGTTGTAAGTGCTTACGCACGGCTTTCTTACTTGGACGCCAAATCCAACGGACAAATTCTGCACACATGGGATTTACCTAGGGGATCGTGGTAGACTGGACCCCACGCAATTTACAACAGAGAAAAATGTGCTCGCGCTCAAGAAGAAAAAATGGCGCACACGACGAGAGACGACAATGTCCCACACCAGTTAACAAGTTGAATCCCCGAAAGCCACTTGCCCGCTCCGGTGCTGCGTCTGGTTGCTGCTGCTCGGGGTGTGGCTGAGGCTGCATCGGAGCAGGGAGTTGTTCATTAGGGTCGTCTTGTTGTTCGGGGTGAGGTTCGGGATGTGATACTTCCAAAAGTGCCTGAATCGGCTGGGGGGGGGGGGGGCAATAAATAGGGTGGTGAAGGGTAGGGTAATGGAGCTTGGAGGTGTGGTGGGAGCTTCCACGCCACCCACTTTGGTTCTTCGGACATCAAGACTCCTCCCTTAGCATTCTAACGCTTGCCGATGCTTCTAACGCGTGCCGGTGGAAAGCGTTACAGTGGCGAAGAAGGACGAAAAAACAGCAGTTTTATACTGAAATGCGCAAAGTTCCGGCCGCCCGGGCGGCACCAATACTCATATGGCTAACTCCTATGACCGCCATCCTACGTTTATTGTGATTCTCTTTCGTTTTAAACCAACACCTGACCGTAATTCGAGCCCCCTGTACCCTATTTTGCATTTTTTTTTCAGAAAAAAAAAAATAGTTTTGTCGATTATTCTGACTTTTAAAGGCTCGGAATGGGTCGGTTTTGTGCAGGAAGGGAGCCCAAACATGCTAAGAGTTCATGTGAGTAGCGGGAGGAGGGGAGGATGTACCCCCGCGGGAGCAATCGGGCGAAATGTACCAAAAAACGCCATTTTTCGCTTTTTTGCCGATGCGCGACCTCTAAATTCTGTCCGAGACACCCCGGCGAAAGAATTTAGTCTTTTTTTAACAAAAGGAACACTTTCCCTTCGTGTGCGGATGAGTAACAGAACATCGATTTCTTTCTGGGACAGTCTAGTCGGGGCACGGCGCAAAGCGGCACACCTGGCCCCATCCCGACTAACTTACTTCCGGGTCTGAAGAATGCCTCCCCTCCGGGAATGCCGGGGCTGGGGCCTGCCAGCCTGCCACGGTCCAGGAAATGGACGATTCTGCAACGAAAGTGGAAACGTTTTTAAGCGTTACCAAATCAACACCTAATTTTCCATGGCTTTTACACTTTCCAATGTATAGCTGTTCAGAAGTTTCTCCAACGGTAGGACACATCACAGTACCTTCGGGCAAAATAAGTCTATGGCTGGTTGACATATTTGTTTCATTTTCTACACTGTTTGTGGACTTTCTTGTAAACCTTGTTACGGACATATTTGTCCACATCTGTGAGCAATTAAGCGCTTATAAATTTATACAGTAATGCTCCCAAAATTCTGTGGGCAAATTGGTCTATGGTCTGTGTTCGAAGTTGTCACCATTAAGGAACGTGTAAAGACGTTTCCGCCATGAACTCAAAATCGTTCGGTAACTGGTAACAAAATTGTCCATAGCTATTTGGGGTGCAGACCGCACATCACTGTTAAAAAAATCCATCTTAATTTTAAGAAACTTTTTTATGAAGCAGTTTACAAAGACTTTTTGCTAGTAAAAGTAATAAACTTTTTCTTCTTAAAAGTAAGAATCAAATTTGAAAAGTAATAATCTGTTTCTTAAAAGTTGTTTTTGCATTTAAGAAGAATTTAATATATAGCAGGTAAAAATTGAACGCCTTATGTACGTAATGAGTTATTCATTGTATGTTAGTAGTCGATTTCACTGCCGAAATCGCTTGGAAGCGTGGTTCAAACTCTCGAACCCGGAATTCCGGATTACCGCACCGCGACGCTACCAACTGCGCCACGAGTGAGCTCTGCGAGGCGGGCTCTAGGATGTGGATGACTCCAAGCCTCTCGGCGGAGACTCCGCTAGGCAGTGGAAGCGCTCATTCCAGGGCCTCCAAACACGACTTCACATGACCAAGATCATCCAAATTTGTTCTTTACGTACACTGGTAGTGAAGCGTCCAATGATCACAATTTTAACTGGCAGGATGAGAATCAAATATGAAAAGTCATGGTAATTTTGAATTTTAAGAAACAAATTATTGCATTTGGTAAACAGTCTCAAATTTAATGAACCTGTTTTTTAATTTTAATAAAGTTTCTGAAACTTACCAATATTTTCATTACTTGTCAGAAATGTTTTGGTAAATGTAAGAAATTTTCTTAAACTTCACAAACCTTTATGAGTTTTCATATCCTTTCAAAAGGTTATTAAAATTAAGATGTCATTATGTATTAAATTTAAGAATTTTTTTAACAGTGATGTTTTGACTCAAAGGATCGGAGCCGAAAGCACGGGTTTGCAACTCCCCTAACTTGCCTTCGCACTCCATTCCCGCCCGGACCTCGAATCCAGCCTGGTATAGCGGTTCCGAACCTCACAAATGCCGTCGATTGCCCACACTTTTATTTTCGGTTAGAATCAAGAACCTATAAAGCCCCAATCCGACTGACTCACTCACTGACTCACTGACTCACTCACTCATAGAAATGTTTGGGGTGAAGGAGTGGTCGTAGAGACTTGCGGTTTTTTCCATTCGATTCCAAATTTTATGGGAAAATTGGGAAAAATCCCAAAAGTTGAAAATTCCTCACCGTTTCCGAGAAAACCTACTTTATCTACAAAAAAAGGGGAACAAATTTCTCACCGTTTCCGAGCAAACCTACTCAATCTTCAAAAAAGGGGACCGACCGACTAAAAATTTTTATTCGCCCCATCGGTAGGTCTGGTCGAGACATTTCCGAATCTGTGCCGCAATCCGGTCTCCGTCACTGGCAACATCCTAAAAACGATATAATAATATATAAAAATAGGCCTAAATTCAACAAAATCCACTCAATCTTCAAAAAAGGGGACCGACGGACTGAAAATTTTTATTCGCCCTATCGGTAGGTCTGGTCGAGACATTTCCGAAACTGTGCCGCAATCGGGTCCCCGTCACCGGCAACACCCTCAAAAACGATTAAATAGGCCTAAATTCAAAAAAACCCACTCAATCTTCAAAAAAGGGGACCGACCGACTGAAAATTTTTATTCGCCCCATCGGTAGGTCTGGTCGAGACATTTCCGAAACTGTGCCGCAATCGGGTCCCCGTCACCGGCAACATCCTCAAAAACGATTAAATAGGCCTAAATTCAATAAAATCCACCCAATCTTCAAAAAAGGGGACCGACCGACTAAAAATTTTTATTCGCCCCATCGGTAGGCCTGGTCGAGACATTTCCGAAACTGCCGCAATCGGGTCTCCGTCACCGGCAACATCTTCAAAAACGATTAAATAGGCCTAAATTCAACAAAATCCACTCAATCTTCAAAAAAGGGGACCGACCGACTAAAAATTTTTATGCGCCCCATCGGTAGGTCTGCTCGAGACATTTCCGAAACTGGGCCGCAATCGGGTCTCCGTCACCGGCAACATCCTTAAAAACGATTAAATAGGCCTAAATTCAACAAAATCTACTCTATCTTCAAAAAAGGGGACCGACCGACTAAAAATTTTTATTCACCCCATCGGTAGGTCTGGTCGAGACATTTCCGAAACTGTGCCGCAATCGGGTCTCCGTCACTGGCAACATCCTCAAAAAACGATTTAATAGGCCTAAATTCAACAAAATCCACTCAATCTTCAAGAAAGGGGACCGACCGATTAAAAATTTTTATTCGCCCCATCGGTAGGTCTGGTCGTGACATTTCCGAAACTGTGCCGCAATCGGGTTCCCGTCACCGGCAACATCTTCAAAACGATGAAATGGGCCTAAACTGAACAAAATACAACCGTTTCCAAGCAGTAAAAGCCATGTAATATATTGCGTCTTAAACCTGGCCGGAGAAATCTGTAGAAATCAGAAATGAAAGACGCAAAAGAGGCCCATTAGTTTGGCCTTCGGTCACATAGACCATAATGAACACAGATCTTATTCTTGTCAAAGCAGTCTTCAATATTTTCCGGACCTTGAATGCCGTTGACTGCCACAGTAGCCAATACAATACAAGCTATCTATTTGGGCAGTAATAGTACCTTAAAAATTAATGGTCAAAAGCAGTTAAATAGACCCTTCCAAAAAGCAGTACAGTTACTTCATAAGAAAATTTTCCTTTGGTCACCACGGACTTACTAAAAATACTTCGGTACGCGCCCCACACATGCGGGGGTCTGGGGGCGGAGCCCCCAGCGAGCAGCGCGAGTCCTCAACACTATACATCATCCGCAGCTACACACTAAACTTCTTACGGATACATCCTATCTGTATTACGGACATTTTTGTGCAATTGCAATTACGGATAGATTTTGCTTGTAATACGGATGATTTCATCCGTAATACAAAGGTTTTCGTGTCCGTAACATACATACGAAAATATCTGTATGGTACGGACGTAAAACTCTTTGTAATACGGATGATTTCATCCGTATTACAAGCAAAATCTATCCGTAATTGCAATTGCACAAAAATGTCCGTAATACAGATAGGATGTATCCGTAAGAAGTTTAGTGTGTAGACTTTTGTTGCGTATTTAAGACATGAAAAGTTTCAAGAACCTATAATCATTCGTTGTCTATCAATAATATCCTGTCAGCTTTCATCCATTTATAGTGAATTGTCCCTTTAACTGGGCCATTTTCAGAATTCAAAGTAATAATGTTTTCCAGTTGAAATAACTATCGACGCTTTCTTGGACCGATGAAACCAGGCGACATCTAGCCTGAAGAAGGGATTTGCTGACTGAAAGCCATGATGCCACGGATCATTGCAGTACTGCTAGGTCCATTTTTGCTGGATTTATGCTCCAGCAAAACGGCGGTATGAGTTGCATAAGCCTGTACTTACCTGTTAAAGAAATTTCCAAAAGGTATTTCAAACGTTACTATTTTGCAGGGTCCGTATTATATAGACGTTCGTGAGTTCGGAAATTGTCTCACAGAAGAGGTCGGCGAGTTCGGTGATGAAATATCATTTCAAGCGACGTTACACCACCAACGGGGCAGCAATTACCGGTTTTACTCTGGAAATTTAACTTTAAAGAATGGACTTCTAGAGCAGCCGGGAAGCAGCGTAGTAAGCAACCTTAAGAGGATATGGTACACCTCCCCAGAAGCGGCATTTCCAGGGACGCGCAGGGACCTCTTTCTAACGCCGTCCTGGCCACACCGTTCGAGGTATCGATATGAAACTTGACACACGGGCTCAGAAGGGATCAATCTCAATGACGGTGCGTTCAAAAATTTTTTTGAACGCCTAAGTTAGGCCCCAGGGCAGTCCAGTTCTGGTCCAACTTTCGTTCACAACAAGTCCTAAGAAAATAGGAATATCCAAAAAAGGGCCACGGCACGTTGTAGCTGCAACTTTGCTCTATCCAGAGAACTTGTCCCCATCTGCGTGCGGTCAAAAATAGAGATCAAAACCTGGTAGACGGCGGACCTCTGCACGGCGGGTTTGGAGCTAGTCGGAGAGAGGAGGTGCAATATTTGTGCCGACGAGCTGTACCGTCTCCAAGCCCCGCACATGTTGTCGCCGACTTTGTTTCACTGAATGGGGACTGTCGGGCTGCCCACCCTCACCCGAGAGGTTCGGCACCGTGACAGGTCGATTTATGGCTCTAGGCTGTACGGCCAAACTTTTAAAAGGGGACATTTTCTAGTTTTGAAACTTGTACGAAGATGTTTGGCGTGCTATTCTGGTGACAGGCAACTAAAATTTCAGTTTCTACGACCATTTGACCCGGACCTGTTGAAACAATGACAAAAGGTCAAAATTATCGTAGAAAATTAAAATTTGATTCGCCTGGCACAAGGAACACGCGCTGAGTGCAATGGTTCATGTCCTGAGAGTCTAGAGTCATCCGTTCAAAAATTTAACTCTCGGAGTACAAGGCCATAAATCGAGCCGTCACGCTGCCGACCCTCGGCTCCGGCGCGTGAATGAGGAGGGGGCCAGCGGGGGGCCCGGCGCAGAGACAAAGCAGCGGGCTGCAGGCGGGTCGCCCGGAGGGGTGGGCGGGGGGAGGCGGGGTTAGTAGAGCTCGTCTGCGACAGTGCCTTTTCAAAACTTCGCAAGATGTTCAAATCCGCCGTGCAGAGGTCCGCCGTCTACCAGGTTTTGATCTCTATTTTTGACCGCACGCAGATGGGGACAAGTTCTCTGGATAGAGCAAAGTTGCAGCTACAACGTGCCGTGGCCCTTTTTTGGATATTCCTATTTTCTTAGGACTTGTTGTGAACGAAAGTTGGACCAGAACTGGACTGCTATCACAGACGCACTGCCCAGGTCACACTGGTCAATGCCTCTGCGATGCGCACGCACCTCTGCAGCGCTCAGCGCGCTAGCTGCCGTGCTATCTGACGCGCGTGCCTATGCAGAAAACATAGGCCGCGTCGCCCCGTGTTAAATGCCAGCTAACTAACACGACTGGCAGATAGGTTGCCTAGTAATCAGGCGTTAGCCAGCAGTGCTGGAGTAATCTGATTGTCACCGGCCTGTGGCCGATGCGTTCACCTTAGATGTTAGGGATTGAGCACGTGCCTCCCTCACGGAGCCCCGACTCGGGAGAAGCTCCAGTCAGTATTCTACCAACCACCGTAGCGGAAACAACTGAGCCCTCTCCGCCGAATACCCCGTCCGCGAAAGTGTCCGCGTGTGCCCGAGTACTCAACCAACCCGTGTGTCGTTACTTCACCCCTTCACGAACCCGTAGAACACGCTGCGGCTAGACGGTTACGCGAGTGATCAGTGCAGTGAAACCTAGTGACTGAGGACCAAGTGCATAGGATCCCTCGACCCGGTTTGACCCCGCGGCGAGCTGGATTACGCAGCCTCACACAGCAGACCCCACTTCACCTCCGCAACCCCCGGCCAACGTGTGATATGGTGCATCTAGCCGGGTTTCTCCAAGACGACGAAGGTGTGAGCACCGCGTGAAGCGGTTCACCTAGCCTGGTTCTCCATTGGACAAAAGGAACGAAGACGACAAAGGTGTGAGTACCCAATAATTTACTCATTGACAACGCAACAATGTCAAGAATCGACGATTTACTGCCAGTCAGCGCACTAGTTAATACAATTTGCAAGGTGACAAAACGGATCGGAACCACCCGAAAGTCATCATAAAAATGCCACCCACACTACGCTCTACACAGCGCAGGAAACTTTGAGGCAATTTCAGATTGCTTACAAACAATTAAAGACACCTGGCACTAAGTCTGAAGCGGCACTAGAAAATCTCGCGACGGAAATTAAGAAGGGCCACCCCGATGTCGAACAAGTTGTTTTTCTTAAAACAAAAAGCACAGTCATCGGTCCAGATGACCTACTTATTGACACGGATGAACTCTCAGCAATTGTAACCCAGTACAAAGAGGAAGTCGAGGCGGCTGGCGCAGTTTATGGCGGAAGCCCCTCCGATTTCCTGAGGTCAATTCTGATCCGAATTGGCACTGTCCGAGATACCCGGTCCAGAAAAACGCTGAGCAGTCAGCAGCATGCACTTCTTAGCCCAAGCAGAACAACACCCGACCAAGCGGAATCTCTTAACACGCCCCCGGAAGGAGCTTGTGGTCCTGTCCCTGTTTCGTTCAGTACGCCATCTGCCTCGTCTACCCTTCCCCTGGGAGATCGACCTTTGATTTACCAGGAAATTGTTGGTGACATGGGCACGACACAGGCCGTCCTCCAGGCCCAGCAGGACGCACTGCGAAGCTCCGTTAGGGACCTCCAGGCCAAGCAAGCAGCTGAGGCAAGGAAATTGGTTGGCTTTGAACTTGACACGCGTGCAGCCGAGCAGCGACGGTCGCTGGCCTTGCAACAACGCCCACTCAGCACCGCGGTTGCGGACGAACGGGCGCGGTCTGGCCCCTTTGTTGACAGGTTGGATGACAATGTTTTCCTTCGGACTGTACCGTTGGGTTTTCCCAAAGTTGAAGTTTTCACTGGACCACCAGCCGGCGCTGCCGGACCGAACACGGGTGCCAGGCCACGCGAGCCCGCACGCGGCACAACGACCTTCGCCACCGTGCCGATCCCAAATCGCGCAGCGCAGGCCCGCCGCGCCTGTCGTCCAGACCGCACCCACACCTGCAGCACAGCCGAGCACAGCCGAGCAACGGCGTGGAATCCCATGCAAAATTTTTTCACTGTACCAAGACAGGACTTTCAGAGCAGGAGGTGAAAACGCTGAAATTTCAGGGAAATCATGCGAAGCATGCTTCCGGCGTCGGTCAGCCAACTACATTCTCCAGATCGATTTCTTGATGTCAAAACTGAGAGGACCATGCTCTTAGTGCGGCGAAACTTTTCCTGGAATCCACGAGACAGCTGACGCGGAAGACATCTTGGATTATTTAGTTGACGTTTTCCCTGTGAAAGCGAAAACTGGTGACCGAATGGGACGGATGCTCCGTAGGGTGTGGGACGAGGACAATGAGCCTTTAATGCTTTATTTGTCGCAGAAGAAAATTCTCCTCAAAGAAGCAAAGGTCAGTGACCCGACTGAAATCAACAAGTACATTTTGCAAGGGCTTGGGCAAGAGGCCGTCGACAAGTACATGAACTGGATTGATTCGACTCCTGGTGAATTGGAGAAGAAAAATCTCGCTACCTGGACCCACATGAAACAGATTTCTGGCACAAGGTCACGGACAAAGAACGGTGAATCGGCGTCTCTCCGAGAAACGAGTTTTCCCCAGACGGGTCGCAGAGTCCCAAGCTCTGGAGCCCATGTGGCAAGAACGACTGCAGAACAACACGGACTCTGCCATTCAACAAATTGCTAATTTGTTTGTCCAGGCCGGCCTGTACTTCAACAACAACATCAACAACAACAACAACAGCTTGGCTCAGCTGAGCGCCCAGCTGGCCGGTCTCGGCACGGCGGCGCACGGCGAGAACGCTGTGTCAGCGCCGCTTCCCGCCCAGGCAGCCGAGCCCGCGAGCGCCGCTCTGACCCAGAGCTCTGACCAGGACAGTGTGTTGCTGGAAATGATGAATGAAATGAAGAGTGAAATGAAGAGGCATAAAATGATTTCGAGGTCAGACTTGCCAAGACAGTGAACAAGCACCAGGCCAGGGTTTACCCGAAGTGCAGTTTTTGCGGCCGAACGAACCATCCAGAGCAGTTCTGCAGATTCAGAAATGACAACAACGACAACAACTTTGACAACAATAGGAATTTCACGGAGGAGCCTAACCCAGCCTTCAACAGGCATGAAGACCAAGACCAAGGCGACTCGGATGCTTACTGGCAGCGAGGTGGAAGGTCAAGTTACCAACAAAATGGCAGCCACCGCCACCGGGACTACCAGCCAAAAAACTAGTTTCGGGGGATGTCCATTTACCAATAAAGAAGAAAAAGGACACCCCTCAAAATATTAAATTTCAAATTTGTGACATTTTTAAACTTCCTCAGAATGTGAGCCTCGCACATTGCACTTCACAGTGTTTCCGGATGGGAGCCGGCGTCGCGAGAGACTTCAAAAGAAAGTTCGGCGGCGCGGCTGAAATGCGAAACCAAGCGCCATCGGTTGGCAGTGTAGCCTCCCTCAGGCGTGGGCAGCGGTTCATTTTTGCCCTGGTCACTAAGCAAAGGTACTCCGACAAACCTGTGCTGCAGAATGTTGAGCGCGCACTCGTGCACTTGAAGCAACAATGCAGACATAACAGGGTCAAGAAACTTGCAATTCCGTACCGCATGAGTGCAGGGCTGGATAAGTTGGACTGGATGCAAGTGAGACAGCTCATTTTCAACATTTTCGGAGGAACGGAAATCAATTTGTTTATTTGTAACTACAACAAGCTCAGCAGAGGCCAGCGCCCTGACCCGACCGGCGGACCGGCAGTGTGCTTGCAAAGCAACTCTCGCCGCGTCGCTGCCGATGCACGCGGCGGCCTGAACCAAAACACGCAGGGCGTCGACACCCCGCCCGGAGTGGCGGCAGCACACCGGCCAGGCCCGCGAGGCCCCGAATCAAGATCAAGTGCAAGGCCATCATCTTCGCCAGCTGCTGCGGACGGTGACACGCTCTCGACGCCCGCCCTTCCCACCTCTACCAAAAAGGACAGCAGAGGAAAAAGGGCCAAACAGGCCAAGGGCCACCATGATGACGAGTGCATCGTGGTTGACGTCAGGCGCGTTTCGCCAATTTTGGACGTTAAGGCCAAAATTGGGTCAAGCTCAGTCATCCGTGACGTCACTTTGGACACCGGGGCCGGCATCCCGGTCGTTTCTTGCGAAATAGCTGGACCTGGCAAGCCCATGCAGGGCAGATACCGGGTGATCGCTGCGGATGGCCAGAAGATGGAAGTCAAGGGCGAGGTCATTCTGCCTGTGTCATTTTTGAATGCGGAGTTCAAAGTTCGGTGCTTGTGCGTCCAAGGACTCGATTGCGAGTTATTATTGGGAACGGAATTCCTCAACAATTATGGTTTTGGTATCTGTTTTGACACAGGAACATTGTCTTTTCCCACCGATCTGGGGAGGGTTGTGGTCCCCATTCCCAACTGGGCCGCGCCTGATGACCCACAGGTGGCCAAGGCTTTGACCCCTTTGACCACTCCACAGAGCGGATCAGCCATCGCGGCACGGCTCCCAGGCAAGTCCTGTGTGACCCGGCCAGCCCAGGCCGGGCAGGTCACCCCCCGCGCCTCCGTGCCCCATCCCGCCGCGCCCGGCCCCGCCCCGCGCCTCGCCGTCGCGCGTCACACTGTCGCGCGTCCGGCCAGCACGCTGGCGGGCTGCGAGGCGCTGACACCTCCCGACCCGCGCGGCCCCGCCCTGGCCCATGGAGGGCCGGCCCCTCCCCAAGGCCACGCTGTGCCCAAGGCCAGCCGCAAGCTGAAGCCGAGAAGGAAGGCACATGGTGAGGAACGCGAGAAATTGATCACAATCCGAGCCGCAGGTTACACTATCCTAAAGCCGGACATCCCAACTCAGGTCAACATTTGTCCCTGTCCTACGGAGGACGGCGTGTTCGTTCCGTCGACGAAGTGGCCAAACAGAAAGGTTTACATCCTTGACCAAGAAATTGAGGCCGGACAGATGTTCATTACCATGGTAAACGAGCGACCGTCTGAAATGGTCATTCGCAACAATGAGGTCATCGGACATTTGACCCCATTTAGATATGTCACTTGCATTTCTAGATGCTTCAAGTTAAAATCTGAGGGAGAGAAACAGATTGAGGGAGCATTTTTCGCCCCCGACATGCCTCAGGAACAGGTCAAGGAGGTCATAGATTTGATGCATAAGCATGAGAAAGTTTTCGAAGAAAATGAATTGATAACACCTGTTACTGGTTTTGAGTACATTGTTATGACCCCTCCTGACCTCCAGCCTGTCACATGCAAGAACATCAAATTGACCCCGGAAAAACAAGAAGCGATGGCCGAAATTGTGAAGAAACTTGAGAAGAGTGGGGTCATTGAGAAGGCGAGGTCACCTTTCAACGCAAGGGCTTTTGTCGTTCCGAAGAAAAACGGAAAATACCGTTTTGTGGTCGATTTTAGTCTGCTCAGCAAGGCTCTACCAAAGGACCCTTATCCTGTTCCTTCCATCACAGCAATCAAGAGAATACTCTCTACAGCTAAAATGGTCACAACACTCGACATCTCTGATGCATACTTCAGACTCCCATTAGCTGAGGAGTCGCGTGACCTCACGGCCTTTACGATCCAAACAGATGCTTTTCGTGGCCAGTATCGGTTCACGCGCACTCCACAGGGTTTCTCCAGCTCTGGGAATGCTCTATGCAGGTTTCTCGACGAGGTTTTGGGCGACATGATCGCGAAGGGTCAAATTGCGATTTACGCAGATGACCTTTTTGTTGTGTCTCAGGACTATGACTATGAAGGTCATGTGAAATTGGTTGGTGAACTTTTTGCAAGAATGGAGCGCCACAACATTGCAGCGGCTCCCGGAAAAACCAGGTTTTGCCTGAAGACTTTCACCGCCCTGGGATACCATTTTAGCCCTGAAGGACACAGGATATGTGATGACATTGTTCAGACGATCAAAGATTTGGAACCCCCTGCCACGTACAAGCAACTGCGGTCATTTTTTGGCCTCGTGTTATTTGGAAAGGATCACATAAAACATTTCGCCGAAATCACTCAGCCGATTGTTGAGCTTCTGAAACCGGAAAACAAGAACAAGCGTCCGATAATGAACGAGCGCGCCTTGCAGGCTTTTGACCAAATAAAGGAAATCTTATCATCACCGCCTTTTCTCCAGGAGTATCAAGAAGGAGACCAAATTGTGATTGCTACTGATGCATCAAAAGTCGGAATTTCTGTCCATTTGATGTGTCAGCGAAAGGAAACAGGAGAATTGGTCACACTGGGCTTCGGGTCAAAAAGGCTTACGAAACCAGAGACCCAGCTTGCCCCGAATTTGACCGAAAGTTTAGCGGTTGCCTACGCTTTAGAGCGTTTTCCCCAATATTTCAGAAACCGGAAAATTATTGTAATTTCTGACCACCTAGCGTTGACCCGTTTTCATCAATACACCAGCTCGAACTCCAAAATCAACCGACTTTTGGCAATTCTTGGGACCTATGACCTCACTATTCTGCACACGAGAGGCACGGATAATCTGGTTGCAGATTACCTCAGCAGATTTCCCCCGCCTGACCGTGATGAAATTTCTGCCACCGATTTTCTTGAAGTGTACAAGGCTGTGACCACTGAACACCCGAAATCCATGCTGGAAAGAGTGAAAGATGGGCAGGTCAAATCCACCGAGTGTGAAAACATCAGAATTTTCCTGCAAGAGAAAACTGTCCCGAGCGGAGTGCGTCGCACGGCGGCACAGCTGAGTCAGCGCTACGCCGACTACTCTGTGAGGGACGGCGTGGTGTGTCACAAGCACAGCGACGTTTTCGGCGACGAGCAGTGGGTGCCGTGGGCACCTGCAGATGTTCGACAGGAATTGCTGCATTTTTCTCATGACAAGCAGGGCCACCCAGGCCAGAATGAAACTCTCAGAATTTTGAAGGAAATTGCATTTTGGCCTAAAATGCGTGATGATGTGAACATTCACGTGAAAGTGTGTGACATCTGCATGAGAGTTAAAAGGGATTACCATCAGAAAATTAATGGAAAATTACAACCTCGAAACCCAACTGCTCCATGGGAAATGATCAGTTGTGACTTCACTGGACCTTACCCAACTTCCACGAAGAAAAACAAATTTATTTTCTTTGTGCAAGATTGTTTTTCAAATTTTGTTTTTCTATTTCCAACGCGCGAAAACAATGCTGAAAAAGCTATAGCACTTTTGGAAAGTCAAGTTTTTACCTCTACAAATTACCCCAAGTTCATTATCACCGATAATGATCGCATCTACACAGGGAAAAAGTTCACGGAAGCATGCAGGACGTGGAACACGCAGCATATTACGACTGGTTCTTACCATCATCGTGCTTGTCCGGCCGAGAGAATTTTTCAGGAATGCAAAGTTTTAATGAGAGTCGCTTTAGCCGACAGCGAGAAGCACAACAGATGGGACGAATGCCTTCCCAAAATCACCAGATTCTTAAGGAACCGCACTTGTCAAACGACCGGCCTTGCCCCCAGCGAGATCATCTTTGGCCAGAAGCTTGCCCCGTGTAACAACCCGTTGCAAGAACTGACCGAGCCACAGGAGCTAACGGTTGAAAGGTGGTTCCAGCTGCGTCAAGAACGCTTACAAATAGCCGTCACACAAGCCCGCGAAGCCATCGCCAAGAAATACAAGCAATTTTTGGAAAAAGAAAACCAAAAACGAAAGGATATAGACCTCCGTGTTGGTGACCTTGTGTACTTGCGTAACCGACCCAAAAGCATTTTGACAGGCCAATTTGCGGCCTCACTGGCCCCAAAATACAAAGGCCCATTTCCCATCTTGGAAATTTTGTCAAAACAAGTCGTGATTTTGAAAGGACCAAGCGAAGACTTTAAAGCGCACGTTGAAGACCTGAAACTTAAATACGTTGAAGAGCAGCAGCAAGAGGCGCCAGGTGACCCTGACCCAGAAGAAACCGAGGTATCAACCCCGAGAACCAACGACCCACCGTCTTCCAGGGAAGGCGCGCCAGCGCGGCGAGGCAGCCGTGCAGACGCGCCCTCGCAAGATGACGTCACGGCCCTGAGCGACCCAACGGACTGCACTCCACGACACCAGCGCCGCGCCGAACCCAGGCGCATCGAGACCCAAATTTTCTATAGAAATGGCGAAAGCAGTTCCCCTGTCAGGGACTGCAGAGGTCAAATTCAACCTCGCAGAATTTTCTGACAAGTAAGAATGCAGGAGTAAGCCGAGAGGGACAACAAATTAACAAATATTGCAAGGCAGAGCAAATTGATACAAATTTGAACCACTGCTGTTTGGAAAACGAAGCCCAGGTCAAGCTTTGACGGCTTCCCCAGAGAAGTCGAGGTCAAAAGCATGGCCCACCGCCATCTTCAAGCAAACTGCAACGTCAGCACCAGCGTCTCGCGAATTGTCAGCGCCCAGTTTCTCCCACAATTGCGTGTCGAACTGCAACTGTGTGAAACGTGAGCGCCACCCGCTTCGACAGATACCCAGACGTCGACGGAGCGACTTTTCTAAATTAGACACGGTGTTGACGCCCGAATTTCCTCTTTAATCGAAGATTCCAGCGGATCGCCAGTGGTCAGCACCTCCACTCGAAACACAAGCCTTTTGCGCATGAATTTGAAGGGAGGGTGCCACCCGCTACCGGCCGCGACCTCGTGCGCCGTGGCGGAGTGACCGCTGCATACCCGCCTCACAGCTGACCCAGTCTTTTCTTCCGACCACACTCACGCCCTGCACCATCCTGCTCGTGCAGTAAATTCCTCATTTCCTCCGTGATCGCTCCACCATCGCAACCATCATGTTTTTCCTGCTTCTCTTGAAAATTGGATTGTTCCATGAAAGTTCCACCCTTTCTCAATTGACACCAAGCCCCAACGATTCGAAATGTAAGACACCAGGGCACTTCCGGAATGCACCTGGGGTCTGAGTGCCACAATAGTCACTATTAAAACACATATTTGACCTGAGACGCAAAATTATTTCAACAAATGGTCACGTTATGACACTCAGACACATCTTCCAAATCATGTCACCGGGCAATGTGGAGAGAGAGAGAGAGAGAGAGAGAGAGAGAGAGAGAGAGAGAGAGAGAGAGAGAGAGAGAGAGAGAGAGAGAGAGCAGAACGCGCCATCCCAGCGAGCTTCGAGTCAGCAAAACAACGGCCGACGGACTGAAGAATTCCCCCCCCCTTTTTTTCCGTTTTCTGGGCCCCTGTGCCCCGCTCTGCATTCTGACCCACTATTACGTAACAACGGACAACGTTTATTGTTTAAATCCAGTCTTTTCTCGACGCAAGAAAATCTTACAAAGCGCGTAGGAAAACGCGACACCAAGCCTCGCTTAGCGAGATGTCAAACTGGATGGAATAAATCCAGAAATATAGCAGTGACTATTTTATTTATATTTGGGTCACAAATCAAGTGTGTGAAGTGTGCTCATTTTGCTCCCGAGTTTTGCTCACAGGACTGCATGGTCAATCCACGCCGAGGACAGCAGGGCCACCAGGCCGCCGACACAACGTCTTGGCAAAACGACAAGTCGTCGGACCTAGGCCCACGACGCTGCACCTCGACGTCGGGCACTCCAGGGACGCGCTACGAGCAACATTGGACGGGTTCTGGACGACCCCTGGTCCAAGCTTCACGGAAACCTTTGCTCGCCGGACATTTCCGGTGCGAACTTCGAGACTCGCAACAAGGCGTCGAACCATCGAGGTCAACAAGGCGTCGAACCATCGAGGTCAACAAGGCGTCGAACCATCGAGGTCAACAAGGCGTCGAACCATCGAGGTCAACAAGGCGTCGAACCATCGAGGTCAACAAGGCGTCGAACCATCGAGGTCAACAAGGCGTCGGATCATCGAGGTCAACAAGGCGTCGGATCATCGAGGTCAACAAGGCGTCGGATCATCGAGGTCAACAAGGCGTCGGATCATCAAGGTCAACAAAGGCGTCGGATCATCGAGGTCAACAAGGCGTCGAACCATCGAGGTCAACAAGGCGTCCGGTCAACGAGATCAGCAAGACGTCTGAACATCGAGATCATCGAGAACATCGAGATTTACTTTTGCCATGTATATTATTATGCATTTAAAATTTTGTAAACTTGTAATTATTTTTGCAATTTATTTTATCACTGAGTATTGAATTTTAATATTATCCTTTGTATGATTAGTACATCTGAACCCATTAATTACTTGTGAATTTGTATTTGTTTATATATTTTTCAATGTTTCGAAATACTGTACAATTTTGATATTTTTCTCCTTATTGCTACATTTCATTATTGAGTTATTGCTTTACTACTTATTTAGTTTTGAAATTCTTAACTTAATTTTCCTTAGTAATTTTACTACCGTAACAACTGTATTATTGTTAGCAACCTTTTAGTTTACCTTGTAATTGTTAGAACTTTTTACCTTTATTCCCATTTCACATGCCAATACTGTTTACCCTACTCAATCCATTTTATCAGACTGCAAAGTTTTCATAATTACCAAAAACCACCGATGTACACTAAATGAAAACAAACAATTTTGAATTATATGCAACACGTCACACTCACGCGAAGGGGGTATTCTGAAGAGAGGAGGCTCTTAGCAATTAAAATTTTGTCATTTCATTCCAAAATTTTTGAGGAGGGGACGGCATATCACAGACGCACTGCCCAGGTCACACTGGTCAATGCCTCTGCGATGCGCACGCACCTCTGCAGCGCTCAGCGCGCTAGCTGCCGTGCTATCTGACGCGCGTGCCTATGCAGAAAACATAGGCCGCGTCGCCCCGTGTTAAATGCCAGCTAACTAACACGACTGGCAGATAGGTTGCCTAGTAATCAGGCGTTAGCCAGCAGTGCTGGAATAATCTGATTGTCACCGGCCTGTGGCCGATGCGTTCACCTTAGATGTTAGGGATTGAGCACGTGCCTCCCTCACGGAGCCCCGACTCGGGAGAAGCTCCAGTCAGTATTCTACCAACCACCGTAGCGGAAACAACTGAGCCCTCTCCGCCGAATACCCCGTCCGCGAAAGTGTCCGCGTGTGCCCGAGTACTCAACCAACCCGTGTGTCGTTACTTCACCCCTTCACGAACCCGTAGAACACGCTGCGGCTAGACGGTTACGCGAGTGATCAGTGCAGTGAAACCTAGTGACTGAGGACCAAGTGCATAGGATCCCTCGACCCGGTTTGACCCCGCGGCGAGCTGGATTACGCAGCCTCACACAGCAGACCCCACTTCACCTCCGCAACCCCCGGCCAACGTGTGATACTGCCCTGGGGCCTAACTTAGGCGTTCAAAAAAATTTTTGAACGCACCGTCATTGAGCTTGATCCCTTCTGAGCCCGTGTGTCAAGTTTCATATCGATACCTCGAACGGTGTGGCCAGGACGGCGTTAGAAAGAGGTCCCTGCGCGTCCCTGGAAATGCCGCTTCTGGGGAGGTGTACCATATCCTCTTAAGGGGGCCAGGACGTCACTCGAAATGCAAGGTTTTCGAGGGATGTTGACCTTACACTGCAAATTCCATGTGTAGGACAGGTCGACACTTTAAGGCGTAGACCAGTTGGTCCTACGCTTGCAAGTGTCGACCAGCTGTGTCCAACGCTTTAAAGTGTCGACCACACTGTGTCCGACGCCTGCATGTGTAGGACACTGTTTGTCCTACGGCAAATTACACTGAGTTTCCTATTGTGGCCCCACACTTCGGCCGTCGGACATGCTGTGGTCGACACTTGCAGGCGTCGGGCAATGTGTGGTCGACACTTCAAAGCGTCGGACACAACTGGTCGACACTTGCAAGCGTAGGACAAACTGGTCTACGCCTTAAAGTGTCGACCTGTCCTACACTTGGATTTGCAGTGTATCGGTCGATGAAACCTGCTCACCAAATTATATATCAACTCGGTCGCTCTCTGAAGAAAATTCCGCTCTTTCGAATGACGTTTCGACGTGGCATTCTGAGTATGCTTATTTTGACGAAAAACAAAACAATTATTTTTCATTTTGTTTATTATTGATGTTGCAGTGATTAGCCACTCTAATATTAATAATCCTCTTTGGAAAAACATTTTACGACCAACTGACTGTTTTACCGAATTTGAAGTCCGAACTCAGCTGGGTCACTCACAAGCCCCAGTTTATTTCTCTCGAGTTATTGCCTCTGCCGGAAAGTTTCAAAAAACAGATTTTTCTTTGTTCAAAAGATAAATTTAAGCTTGATTAATTCTTGTAGGTGAAACTTCATCTCGTTTTTTTGTTTGAGCTACATTCTAAATGTCTAACAATGGAATTTGACCTCTGTTATTCGTATGTCACAGTGGATTCGGCGCACGTATAATACGAGGCAATATTCCTTCGTGATACGAATCTTTTTAGCTTTTTCCTTGTAAGATGCAAAGAAAACCTTCGTAATACGAAGAAAAACCACCTTCGTACTGTGCTTGCGCCATTTCCTTCGTATTATGGGAAATTTCTCCGTAAGACATTTGACATGCTGTTTAACGAGAACCTTTCCATTCCAACTGTCGCTCCTGAAACCCCGAGGAACCACTACCAGCGTCAAGAATCGAATAAGATAACTACACAGAGCTCTTCGAAAGTGTGGCAGCATTGCTGCAATTATTTGTTTTCAGTTAACGAGCTACGTTTCAAAATGGAATCCCGTCTCCGGGTGGAGAAAAAACTTCGCCGTTCTCAGAATCGGAGAGACCTGCCAAGCTCTAAGACTGTACGGGGGCCATATGAAGGATAGAATACAGAAGTTTTTTCCTGGCGTCGAATTCAGGTGCCCTATACGCGATGTAAGTGAACTGTTCAGGCATTTACTATCTGACGCTCGTTGGTTCCTCCCAATTACAACTTACACTTTTGCCTTTTCCAAAGTACCCTATTTGACCAAAAATTAGCGCGTCACGAACATCAGGTTCCTATCGCACAGTTGCGATTGTCCGATGCTTATAAGATACTGTTAAAAACAAAAAGGGAATTAACGAAGACACCTCTGGCAAATATGTTGCTAAAGGTTCCTTTGCGAATCTTGAAGATAACTGCTCACCAGAGAAGAGCACGTGAATTTCGGAGATTTCTGTTTACAGTAAATAAAACGATGTCTTGCGCTTTATTAGCGCCATTTGTGTTTTTGCTTATGTTTCTGGAGAAGTGAACATTTGAAAACACCCTCACGCTCCAAAACCGACGACAAAACAACGGTTATGTAAAGGCCTTTCATATAGATTTTGAGGGTTCCTTCACTTTTATTCAACGAATCTCGGGTGATTCCGTGCATATGGGTGAATTCTGTATCCTCGCCATCCTGGCTCGTTCGAATGCAATGTATTGGTGCACTTGCACAGCAAAATGAAGAATCGCATTGAGATTGAAGAATTTCTGAGCTGGCTTGAGTACGTTTGGTTCCAGACTTACGTGCGCTTCTAAGAGGCGTAACCAGTAGTTTAACCGTAGTTTAACCAGTGAACAAATGAGACGCCCTTATTTTATGGCCGTGTCTTGTTCAGACGAATGGGATATCATATTGAAACGAACGCGACAAAATTTACTCGGAAAAGACATCACATTCGTTGAAAACCCGTGTTTCCTCTCCGGTGTTGATTTGACAGTTTCTGTTGCTACCTTTCCAGGGAACATACACACGCAACATCACTTCGCACCACGAGGCCTTCCCGTTTTTCCCTTCCGTTTGGTACGGCCTGTTCCGCTGCCACACGTTATGGACAAGTTTGAGGAGCCCATCGGCGAAGCCCCGCGCATGCCTTCGTTGGGTGGCAGAGTTTGTCGAAAAGGTTGCTAACGGCTCCCGCTCTGCAAGCCCTAAGTAAAGCCTACGTTACCTACGCGCTGTTCTGCTCTCATGTTATGTAAAGCCATCTTAATCCGATTCCATCTCAGCAATCGTACAATATATCGTAAAACCAACCATTTTTTCGGAATCTTCGTGGGATTGAGCTTGTTGTATGTGCCGTCACTTTTCTCTTATTTCATCGTGATCGGTATCTCTTGAAACGCCGTTTGAACATTGTGTCTCAAAACATTTTAGGCGACTGGACCCGTGGCCTCTAGTGTTGGCTTTCTCTGCAACCATCGGTCGCCGCTTGCCTGGCGATGACATCACCGGTGTAAATGCCATCAGGATTTTCTGATTGAATTTCTGATTTCCAATCAGAAATCGGGATTTTCCTGATTGATTTTCTGATTTCTGATTGTCAATCAGGAATTCTTTCTGATTTCTCAGGAATTCTTTCTGATTTCTGATTGTCAATCAGGAATTCTTTCTGATTTCTGATTGTCAATCAGAAAAAAATCCTGAATGAGTACCGACATCAGAAAATTCCTGATTTCTGAGTGCCAATCAGAAATTTCCTGATATTTGATTTCTGATAGGCAATCAGAAAATTTCTGAGTGCTTTTCTGATTGCTGATTCCCGCTCAGAAATCAGAAAAGAACGTCAGAAAATTTTGATGGTGTCTATAAAATGGAAAGTATTTGTGATATCGGTTTCAAATTTGGTATGTGACATGTTCAGCCGATTTGACTAGGGCCATTTTAATTTCATGCACATCGGATCATGCGGCCTCCAGGGATCCTTAACTTACCTCATGAGGGCATCATAACGTTATCATAAGAGTTAAAGTTATTTCCCTTAACTTCACTGGTGAAACAAAGGCCCGAGGCCACTTACTGGTCCTCCCGCACCATCCCGGTTCAAAGGTCCCCGGGGCAATCGGGCCGCAGGTGTGAGTTACATGCATCCCGTGCACAAATCGAAAATAACCTCAGGCGACTCGTTCCAGTTGTGGTGACGTGAGCTGCGAAAGAGTTGTGCGTCATTCTGGAAAGTTGAGGAACCCTATCAACTGTCACCGCGTGCAACATTTCTCCGGAAGGTTTGAACTTTTAATGACTCGATTTGCTTTGACATTAGCAAGTGGAAACAGATTCGAACTACTTGTATACACTAACATTCGTAGTCAATGTTGAGTTTCAGTCGTTCCTTTAAAATTTATGAAATTTACGGAATTTATACACTCTCGTCGTAGAACCGGGGACTTCAGCAACAGCGAACATGACAGGTTGGCTCTAGGTGGAGTGTACATGCCAGGTTGACTCGAATTCTGGGAGAGGTGTCAATTTTGACCGATACGCCTTCTCACTGGCTTTGGTCCAACCGACCACCGATCCGTGGCAAGTCGAGCCTAACCTCGCGTCTGTAGGGCTGCCAAAGACACACAGCCTGTTGCACAAATGTACTTTGATATTAAATTTTCTTAAAAATGGACGTGGTCAAATATATGTGTGTGAGAGGTTGAAATTCCGCTGATTTGCATATGCATTAAAACATGAGAACCAGGAGAACAAACGCTTCTCGGCAAAAAAAAAAATAGATTTTAACCAATGACAGCGGTATCTGCAGTCCCAGCCGATTTTTTTCCTGCATTCGTAGTCTTATATTTGTGCGTGTTTAACTGAAATATACTTTACAATCGATTTCAGTCATGAGTAACCCACCTGTGGTCCACCTGTTAACTGGACAGCCCTAAAATTTCCCGCATTCATGAACTCTGAAGGATTTGATAATTTTGCCAGACGCCAGTCTCTTTTTATTTATTCTTGTTTCTACACAAACAACACAAAGTCAAACGCTGCACAGCTGACGTCCAAAATTCGAGAAACTTCGACTTGTGAAAATCTTTGAAGTTGACTCAGATGGCGCTGCCCGCCTCGGATCAGTGCTTTCGAATACCGAACTTGTACACCATGTTGTATCTGTATACCGAACCAGGCCGCAGCACAATCTTTGGAAATCGCTGAACCTAGAAGAGGCAGAATGAAAGAACATTAGTAGGCGTGTCGATTTAGTAATGAAAAGAAGCGAGAGGTGCCTTATCAGTCCTCAGAGGAAGGGCAAGTCTCAAAGGGATGATGATCCATTGTGGAGTACCGACAAGCTATGAGAACTGCTGAGCAAATTTTTGCCACCCTATGATCTCTTTCAGAGAAATTTTGTATTCCCCAAGCACAGTTCCATACATAACTATTACAATTCTTATGATTGTAATTATTACAATCCTGTGATCCTGTGAATTTCATTTCAAACTATCAAAATGGGAACACCGTGCAATGCGGGGGGGGGGGGACTTATTGCCGCCCTTTCAGGCGGCTTTCTAGATGTTGGGAATCAGAAAAGTTTATTAAAGGCTTTCGTAAAATGAGCTAAAGAGCCCCGCTTGATACAAAAGTCGCCCACCTGAATTTTTACAAGTTATGTACAGAATTGAAAATGAAAGAGACAAATAAATGCAACGACAGCAAAAACAGTACAGAAAGCACAGTGACCAGAGGGGGGCACGAAGCCCCAAAGGACGGCTGAAGGATATGCCCAACTGGGCAGGTAGGCAGTTTCCAGGACAGAAACATGAGAAGCTTCTGATGTTTCTGTCCTAGAAACTATTAGAATTGGAACCCGTTCCCTCCATGTACGTCCAGCCGACTCGTGATATGGTACTTACGTTATGTATGGCGTTGGGGAAATACTGAGGCTCGAGCGTGAAACCGCCGTGTCTTTGGTACGATGCGCCATGTTTTCCTATCAGCGGAGCGTTTGAGCCGCTTCTGATGGAAAACATAAGCGTCCCGTTAGTTACCAGGTGAATGCTGAAGACAAATAGCTGTGCTTTATAGGGGATATCTTACTCGGGGAATTTTCCACACGTGTAGAGGTGTAGGCTTGGCTGGTCTGAATAAACCTCGAGGGTTCTTCCGGACGGCTCGTGAACGGCACTGAAAGCGGCAAAGGAAACAAAAGACCTCTTGGCATTAAAAATAAAGGCAATAATACGAGGGGGAAACAACTTCAAACATTCATTGTACAAAATTTGAACACATTCCACATTCAGGTGGGAAAAACTCCAGTAAGTAGGCAACATGTGTGACAAATACTGCAGAAACCTTGCACATTGCAACACATTCCCACGTTCGCTGTACACGGAATCTCACAATAGTAATTATTTTTCGCAGCCCATACTCAAAATGTCTTACGACGAAAGACTGCACCGAAAGGGTATGCACTCGCGTAATAGTCATGTCTATCTGCACGTTATAGCACGCCCAGCGTGCGTAATAGAAGCATATTAGCCAAAATTCTCAGGGTCTTACCTTCTTTTGAGCTGTTTTCGACTGTTTTTAGCTACTTCAAGGCGTTATACTTAGGTCACAGGGTTTGAGATTTTGCATAGCCCCTCGGGAAGCACCGACAAGGGCGACTATAGTCGTTATAGCGTTTGCATTCATTCTGGGCTACAATCTATTTTGGGCTATACGAACAAGAGAATCTTGTTTTGAAATGTTTTAAGTGCTTACAAGAACTTGCAAAGGAAATACTTTGTCACTTACGAACTTATCCATCGTAGAACAAACTAAAAAGGTTGAACCGTACGCGAGGGATGTCCCACTGTAAGATTCCGTGTACAACGAGTGTGGGAATGTGTTGGAATGAGCAAGGTTTCTGCTGTGTTTGTCACACATGATGCCTACTTGCAGGCGTTTTTGCCATCTGAATGTGGAATGTGTTCAAGTTTTGTACAATGAATGTGGGAAGTTGTTTCCCCCTTGACCGTTCGTATGCTTCGATACTTCTGAACACTGTAAAACACTCCGTACTTTAGCACGGAAATGGTACAGAAAAATATAGTACGGAGGTACGGAGAAAAGTACGTACTTGCTCCATATGAACCCATGTAAATGGGTACGGAAAAAAAGGACGGAACGTTCCGTAGTTGGCAAGTACGGACGTTCCAGGCAAATTATTGACCAGACATGTTCCGTATTTTTTTCTCGCAGTGAAGGTGTTTTTTTTTACCGTGCATCATTCGTCGAAATCCGGAGAGCCTTACCTAGCGGCGAAGATCATCTCATTCGGCCGCTCGCCCCCTTTCGTCACGACGAAACTTCGGTCGAAATCGGTCGACTGCAACACTTCACCCAGCAGACGTGGCGACCGCAGGTCGTTCGCTGTGCCCTCGACGGGAGGCATTTCACCTAGGTACAAGCACACGTCGTATCTCAACAGGGGTAAAGAAAACGCGTTCGCACAAATTCTGATAGATCGTCGGAGAGAAATGAGACTTGTGGATAAGATTTTGTAATTGTTATTGGTGGAGCTCAGACCAAGAAAATGGCAATTCCCTAAAAAGGATGTACTCCTCTTCACAAAATCTTTGCGGAAATTTTTCGGTCATTTTTACTTGAATTTTGAAATGCAAACTTAAAGCGCACAGTGGGTCAAAAGGCCGGGGAAGGCGGCCACAATGAAGGCACATTTTCAGATTCGCTGATTCCCACTCAAATGCAACGTGTGACCCCACCAATGGATTGCTCTCCGAACGAAGAATCCATTTGCAGGATCACACGTTCGGTTCGAGTCCCGTTCGGCGACTCTGGAGCTGAAAGCGTGCTCAGAATTTTGCCACCCTTGCGCAGGCCCTCTGGCCCACTGTGTATGAGTGCGGTGCGGTGCATTCTTTCCTCAGCTAACCTGTAGCCACTAGGGCCTGATCCACCTCTATGAAGCGGTCCGCATTGAGAAACAGACGCGTCTTGTAGACTTCCTGGGCGCCGGATTGCTGCAGGCAAACGGAAAGAAGAGAATGAGGACGGTCTCCAAGTAAACGCAATACACTGCAAGGAAAAGTGTAGATGGTACAACAAAAGTACAACAAAAACTGTACAAAAAAAGTACAACAGGGATTGTAGAAAGTACAACGAGAATTGTACAAACCACAACGAGCCCTGGACTGCACAGCACTCCTTATGCCGGTTTCATTGTACTTTGTACAACAATTGTTGTATTTGAAAAGTACACTAAATTCCTGATAAAAAATTTGCCAGAAATTTGTGTACGTTTGTTGTGGTTATTTCCTGCAGTGTGTAAAACGTGTACTGTGTCTTTCTCGCACACGGAAAAGTGATGGAAGGGAAGTTAAGAAGATATCAAGAGGTATAAAAGCCGGACTTGTATGAGAATACACATTAAATGTTTATGTAGAATTTTCGTACGTCGTGATGCACGATTTTAAACCTGCGTGACGTTTTGCATAAAATTGTGCACAAATTCGCATAAATTTATGCATTTTCACGCATAGTATTATGCAAATTCCTCGCATGCACAAAATCGTGCAAGTTTAAGGTTTAAGGTGGCACGTACAAAATTCTACAGAAACATTTAGTGTGTAGGTATGTATCACCATCACCTGCTGAAACACAAAGTTGTATCACCAACTGATGTGCTTAAAATTGAATCTGTCACGCAGGCGCGGATTGGGGCAGGGGTTAATCACTCTGCGTTCTGGTGTATCAATACACATGAGTACACTCATAAATTTCGCATTTGTAAACATTTTAAGGCTTTATTTGGCGTTTTAAACGGCACTCAACGCCAAATCAATCGAAAAACTAGTGAATTTTGCCCCTTTTAAACTTGTGAGTTCACTGAGTACGGGCAAATTTGTACACAAGAATACACTGCAATGCAAGAAAATATTACAACAAAAGTACACAAATTACTGGCACATTTTTCATCAGGAAATTATTGTGCTTTCAAAGTACAACAATTGTTGTACAAAGTACAATGGAGCCGGCATGGCGAGTGCAGGGCAGTCCAGGCCTCGTTGTGGTTTGTTCAATTCTGGTTGTACTTCATACAATCCCTGTTGTACTTTCATTGTACAGTTTTTATTGTACTTATGTTGTCCTATTCACACTGTTTCTTGCAGTGTAGTGATTCAGCCCTCGGGAAGTACCCTATTCACTCACATGGCCGCCCAGGTTGAAGTAGGCGTGGTTGAGCATGCTGACGGGGGTGGGTTTGTCGCTCACGGCCTGCATGTTGATGACGAGCTGGCTGTCCTCGGTGAGGCGGTAGGTCACCTGCGCAGTCACCGCGCCGGGGAAGCCCTCGTCCCCGTCCGGCGACTGCAGCGTGAAGGTGACGCCGTCCGGCTGCCTGCAGCCCCGCCACAGCGCCTGCCCAGGCATCATCCCTTTCAGTGACACGGCACAGTGGGCTAAAAGACCGGTGGAGGCGGTCGAAAGTGTTCGAGACGCGTCACAGTGGGCCAGAAGACCGGTGGAGGCGGCCAAAACTCTAGACGCGTTTTGATCTCCAGAGTCGCTAAATGGGACTTGAACCGAACGCACAGTGGGCTGGGATCGCATTCTAGCCGCTTATAATTAATTTCTCTGTCACTTTTGGTCGTAGAGCCTTCAAATTTGGTGTGTAGCTTCTTATAATGGCACAAAATAACTCCCTAACCATATTTTACAATTTGATGAACCTGCGACCGAATCCATGAAACCCGGGTTCAAATCTCGGTAGGGTGTAGTTGGTCAAAAATTTTGGTGTTGAGATTAACATCCTATCTCATGTTTTTGAGTGTGCTGATGCCGAATTTGACATCGAAGTTGACCTCAGACTTTGATTTCAGGCTCTATGGCCTCAGAAAGGACCATTTTTCTTCATTTTTGTTTGTTTTGAGGACTCTCTATGGTTTTAAGGGTTATGTTAAAAATAGGGCCTAGCTGGACCTTCAAACAGTGTTAGACGTGGAAAAGGTAGGGAAGCAAAATGAATTCCTGGTTACTTGGATAAAATTCATGAGGACATGAAAATACTGAATAGACAATACAGACAATATGGGTCAAATTTCACTATGAGACATTGAAAGCGAAAAGAAAAAGCTTTTTTAAAATAGCGTCACTTCCGAAAACGTTACAAGCAAAACACGGTAAAACATTCGAACAAATGTCTGAGGTTCAGTTGCAGGCGATCTTTCCGGTTTTGTGGCTTTCCTTATTCTCTACTCGTCAACAATAGGAAACTTTCGTTGATGCCGAACCGGAAGTAAACAGACGTCATGTTAGCGGAAGTAGATCAAAACTTGACATGGGGAAGAGACGATAGTCAAACGCATCGGCCACTTTTAAACGTTACCAGTCGTTTGACACCCATTTGCATTGCATTTCTGTTCCGCGAGCAATATTTGTACAGCTCGGCTGTACTAAGACCGCGCTCCACTCGCTGTGCGCGCGCAGCAGCAGCGTTGATCGTGTGCTTGTGCGCAAGCACGCTCACAGTGCTAACGAGCACACCCGTGACGTCAGTCCACTACTTTTTGACAAAATGCAATTTTTCGGCGTAAAATAACATTTTTAGAGCCTTGCGTTTGCGTTTGCGCAAGTTTGCGCAGCTTTTCTCGGTTGATCATTTATCAAGACATACCTGACGTCAATTTCTAGTGTACAGACGTGCTTGATTGGGGTTGATTCGGTAGTAGATCTCAAACTTTACGTTTTTTTAATGATAATTTGCGTAATTTGTGGTAAAATGGAGCGCCGTTCATTCAACTTTGGTCAGAAAACAAAAACATTGGTACCATTTTAAAGGGCAGACCTTAAGCTTCAAGAGGAACCCAGCGGAAGTTTGAAATTAGCATTCCAATCGCTCACAAAGTATAAAAATATAACAGCTTATTTTTAGCATTAATTTGGAACTTCTACCGAATGTTGTACTTTGACGGCATGTAGCGGCCAAAGTATTTGTCGCACGTCAATTCCAAGACCAGATTTGGAATCTACGGAAAATTTCCTATCAAATACATTTAAAATCGGCCTATTTGGACGACTTTCAAAAAATTATTTTTAAGCGGCTAGAATGCGATCCCAGCCCACTGTGGAACGTGTGGCCCCACCAATGGATTGTTCTCCGAAAGAGGAATCCATTGGTGGGGTCCCACGTTCGATTTAAGTCCCATTTAGCGACGCTGGAGCTCAAAACGCGTCTAGAGTTTTGGCCGCCTCCACCGCACTGGTAAAACTAAAGCGTAGTATTACCCACTGTTTTCAAGCGTAATCAGGTTACGCTTGAAATCAAGCGTAACAGGCTCATCCGTCAAGATTCCCCCTATCTAAATGCATGGGGGAATTTCTAGTCTATGCTTCATTTCAAGCGTAACGTCTTCAAGCGTAACTTTATGCTTGACTCAAGCATAGAGTTACGCTTTAGTTTTACCAGTGCGGTCTTCGGGCCCACTGTGCACGTTTTGAGCTCTAGGGTCACTTAACAGGACTCGAACGGAACGCGTGATCCCACCAATAGGGTACTCCGCTGAATGTCGCAACGGAAAGAAACAGAAGTAAGCCCTAATGCCAGACTCAGCGCGTGCGCAAACCTTCCCTCGCAACTTGGTCCGGGTTTAGCACTAGTAAGTGCATGCTTGGCAGGCATGCGCTAGCTAGAGCGTGCCTGAGGCATGCTCCAGTTCGAGGGGTCGTCAACTTGCATATTACTTCGTACACAGGCTGTATATTACTTTTATATTACTCTTATATTACTGCTAAAAGTCCATAAATATTACCATATAGACTACTTGGAGCATAGGTAGCATGAAAAATCGGCCTAAAAACGGTAATATAGGACGTTTATTACCATATATTACTGTATTACTTCGTACACGCGCGATGTGAGTTGACGACCCCTCGCTCCAGTTAGACCATACAATGTACGCTCTTCGATTTAAAGAGTACTTTCGTTGAGAGCAAAATCAACTAAGACGGACCAGTTCTTCCGGCGACCATCTCCGATTTGCCTGATTTTTTGTAGGCTTAATAACTAACTAAAGGAGAGTCTAAAGCCAAAATATTAGGTCCGGCAAAAATTTATTGCCCGAGATATGGCCAACTTTAGTATAACGTTTGGAGAAAAAACACGGATTTGGGTATTTTGGACTAATTTTACACTTTTCATAGTAGAGGGCTAAAATTTGGTCACTCTATGGAAAGTGGGCCAAGGAACAAGAATATGACCTCAGATTTGACCTCCGACGAATACCTGAAGAGTAAACCCCCCCAAAACCCCCTAATAACACCTAAAAAAACAGTTTTTTCTTGGGGTTTCTGGGAAAAATATGTGGACAAAAATTGCTGATGATCTTTTCTTATAGAAAATGACGCGATGAATCGAATGAGACCACGCGCAGATTTTTATGTCAAACCGTTTAGGAGATATAGCGGTTCAAAGCATGCAAATTTTGCCATTTATTTTTTTAAAAATGTAGGTTTTGAGCATTGTTTGACGTTCTCTGCCTTCTTGGTGTGTGTGGGTGATCTTTTCTTGTGGAAAAAGACGCGCTGAATCGAATGAGACCACGCACAGAGTTGTATCTCAAACCGTTTAAGAGATATAGTGGTTTTAAGTATGGGCACGGGAGAGCTCCTACAAACACCCGACAAGGCAGGCCCGCCAAACACGCCTGTTGGGAGGGCGGAATACCGTGCCCATACTTTGTACCGCTATATCTCCTAAACGGTTTGAGATACAACTCTGTGCGTGGTCTCATTCGATTCAGCGCGTCTTTTTTCCACAAGAAAAGATCACCCACACACCAAGGAGGCAGAGAACGTCAAACAATGCTCAAAACCTACAATTTTTAAAAAATAAATGCCAAAATTTGCATGCTTTGAACCGCTATATCTCCTAAACGGTTTGACATAAAAATCTGCGCGTGGACTCATTCGATTCTTCGCGTCATTTTCTATAAGATGAGGTCATCAGAAATTTTTGTCCACATATTTTTCCCAGAAACCCCAAGAAAAAACTGTTTTCTTAGGTGTTTTTAGGGGGTTTTGGGGGGGTTTACTTTTCAGGTATTCTTCGGAGGTCAAATCTGAGGTCATATTCTTGTTCCTTGGCCCACTTTCCATAGAGTGACCAAATTTTAGACCTCTACTATGAAAAGTGTAAAATTAGTCCAAAATACCCAAATTCGTGTTTTTTCTCCAAAAGTTAAACTAAAGTTGGCCATATCTCAGGCAATAAATTTTTGTCGGACCTAATATTTTGGCTTTAGACTCTCCTTTAGTTAGTTATTAAGCCTACAAAAAATCCGGCAAATCGGAGAGGGTCGCCGGAAGAACTGGTCCGTCTTAGATGATTTTGCTCTGTACTATTCACACTTTTTCTCGCAGTGTAGATTAACGCAACTGGCGCAGCATCGGGAACCCCGTAACGATAAGACACGGTAAAGTGTATTACTTTATTTTGTTTGAATTTAGGTGAGGACAGAGCCGTAATGAGGTGAAGGGATTATGTACTAACCCGGTCCCAGCCCCTGAGGCCGCCATGCAGTGTGTTGTTGCCCTCATTGGCGTACAGCCTGTACTCATTTGAATCGAGCGTAAAGCTTGCGTTGGCGAGGCGGTTTGCCACTCTTCCAACCGTGCCACCGAAATTCTGATTTTTGGAGCTCAAGTACTCTGCAACAAATGACGAAACGAGATATCATGTCAACACTAGGCGTCAAGTAAGGTCAGGACTCCAGACAAGTATCGCATTAGTAGGTCTACTGCCAAAGGGCGAGGTCAAACCAACTCGTATAACATTACGCAGTTTTATATCGAAAGATATTCGAGGTCGCTGGGTTAAAATTTAGTTACGTTTCAATTTTTCTTTCGTTTAATGTTCCTCTACCTTCATTACTAAAAGCTTCAACTGTTTTTCCAAGCCATTAATTAAGTATAAAAACAGCCCCATCCATAATTGAACCCCATTCTGACCATTGGCAACGACCTCACCCCGGAGCGTTAAATGTACCGAAACGCAAAATTTTAGTGTTTTTGCAGTCCTTTAAGTCATGTCGGCCACCGTTAATAACGTTAGATATGCCTGAAAAAGTGGTTTGCTGTAAATATCAACAAATATTGAGATCCTAAAGGCCGATGAGAAAAACACATCTTCAACTGGAGGGGTAAGCTTGTATTTTCAAGACCGAGCGGACCGATGCAGCGAGCGCCTGCACGGCATCAGACAGGCAACCCATTCGACGCTGTCAAGGCCGCAGACAGACACAAACACACACACACCAACAGACCGACACATACACAAATACACAGTAGGTCAGATGTCGGGTTGTTCTTCGAGATAAAAGCACCGAAAAAGCCATCGGAAAAATAGCTTCAAATTGCTGTCTAGCAGTTGACGAAGAACAGAATGACCGCATCCTGGGCGGACTGGCTCCTCAAGGGCCCGGCGGGGGAAAAGGCCAAAGAGGCTCGGATTTGCCCACCTGTCAGGGGTTTTTCATGTACAACAATGGTTTTTCAAAGCTGTTTACGCTAATACCGATACTTTTGATCTATTTGGAACCAATTCCGAGTCAAAATATGATATGGAGTTACTTAACTGGACAATACTTTGTGTTTTTTTTGGATCTGCCGCATACCCGGGGCCCCGGCGGGGATTTCCCCGCCGCCAACACGGTAAAAACGAAACCTGGTTTTCCCAGGAAGTCAATGGTGAAGGCATAGGCGATTTCCAGGGAGTTCCTGGGAAAACCAGGAACCGTTTTTACCGTGAACCCCGGGCCAGTCCGCCCCTTTTGGCATACTACGCCTACGCATACCACGGTCGACCCAGCGTGATGTAACGGAAATCGGCGGAAATCGGCCCATGACACACCTATACTTGAATGCGTGAAATTGCGGTTGCCACTTACGTTTCGACAGGTTTTTAAGTCGTTTTAGCAGTTTATTACGTAACGCACCGAGGGAGGGGGAAGGCGTCTGAGGCAGCGTCAAGCTGCCTATCGTGGTGTGTGTGTGCGCGTATGTCAAAAATGGCCTCTAAAGCGTTACGTATTTTATGGACGGCCCCTAAGCACAGTCCTGAGTCTGCAGTGCACCCACCATGCGGCGTGCTGAAGCCCAGCACCACGTCCTCCTCGCGGCCGTCCCGGTCCGGCACGCGCACGGCCTGGATGGCGGCGCCCACCGAGATGAGCTGCGCCGTGACGCGGCCGTTGCTGACCGTGAAGCGTTGCACGGCCGTGTCGCCCACGTAGCCGCACACGTCTTCGCTCACGACCACGCCACTGCCGGGCAGCACGTCGCTCCAGTCCATGTCGAACCTGTGAGAGGAACCCAGGCACTACCTTCACTGCAAAGCCGCACTGGCAACACACTGAGAAAACCTTACAAACTATTTTGGGCCTGACAAAGAAAAGTAGTTTGTATAACAAAGTATTTTGGGCATACATAAGCTTACAAAGAAAATACTTCGTAATTTACGAACTATTTCTTCGTGTAACAAGGTATTTTAGTTTGTTATATGTATGCTCAAAATACTTCGTAAGGTTTTAAGAGTGCACTAAAGCGTTGTATTACCCTCTGTTTTCAAGCGTCATCAGGTTTCGCTTGAAATCAAGCGTAACAGGCTCATCCGCCAAGATTCCCCGGGGGGGGGGGATTCCCCAGGGCTATATAATATAAATGCGTGGGGGAATGCTTCATTTCAAGCGTAACTTTATGCTTGACTTAAGCATAGAGTTCCGCTTTAGTCTTACCACAGCAATGAAAAGATTGCTTGCCACAACATTGGCAAGCCGTTTAAGCGAGAACATGGCAAGCTTGGCCCGGCAATACTACGCAGCTCGCCAAAAGTTGGCAAGGTATTGTCGATTTCCGACCGAAACTTGCCAAAGTCCCCCCCCCCTCCACCTTCATTTAAAACTGAAAACTCCGAAAAAATATGGAAAAATCGTGGAGTTTTTCCGAAACTTCTACAATTTAGAATGTAAATGCTTGCTTCACTTTCACGAAATCGCGAAAGAAGAGTTTGCAACCAGTTAAAAAATGAGGGAAAAAACTCTCCGAAAAAGGATGGAAAATGAATGGAGTCTCCACGAACGTGATTGTGGAGTTTTTCTCCAAAAATTTCGGAGCTAATTTCTAACAGTGAGAGAACAAGAAAAAAAATTTTCTGTAAAAACTGGAAATCATTCCTACCTGTCGGGGTGGGTAGTGGCCATAGCTCCCGATGTCCCGGTACTTCGGAAAAAAGATACTCTGTGTAGAGAACAAATTGCTGTATCGAAGAAAACTGATTTCCTTAACTGCAAATCCAAGTGTGAAAAGGAAGCGCTATGAGTATCTCATCTCCCCCGTTAGAACAGAATGCCTATACCCGACGCCTGCACGATTGAGACACTCACAAACGTTGGACTTTTTATCTCTCGCCATAAAGTTTTTGGTGTAAACGTAATCTGTACCATTCTCTCTTAAGCCATGAACTATTTTGTTAATTGTATTATGTATTTAGTCCATTAAACCTGAAGTTTTGTCATTTGCAACGTACTTTTCACTTTCAACATGATCTATTAGCAATTTTATCTTTAAAACGATCAGAATTGTGCACAGTTCAAGAGAAAGTAGTACAATTTATGTTTGCTCAAAAAAACGCTATAACCAAGAGAGAAAAATGTCCATATAAGTCTGTGGGTGTGCACCGTCCCACACTTGGATTTGCTGTGGTGCTGGTTACACTGAGAATGAATTGGTCACCACCATCACCCTTTAAATGGGTGATGCAACTTCGCTGCCCAAATTGTGGTGACGAAAAATTCATCACCCGAAATTCGGTAACAGGCGTTTAGTTGCCCAAATTTCGGTAACGCCCTCGGCTACGCCGTGAGGTTAGGTTAGGTTAGGTTCCCGATGACGTCCTTCCGGGGCCACCACGATGACCGGAGGCCTCAACGCCCCATTGGGTTATCGTGGTGGCCCCGGAAGAGCGTCATCGGGGACCTCACGGCGTCGCCGACGACGTTACCCAAATTTGGGCGACAATTTTATGACTGCCCAAAATTTGGTCACGGCGGGCTCGTCACCCAAATTTGGGCAACGGCGCGTGCGTTACCCAATGAAAGGGCGATGGTGGTGACTCTTTCATTCTCAGTGTAGCGTAAAAAATGTCTCCGAGGTCTGGAACTTTACTTTAGCTAATCATGCAAAGACATGCGAAATTCGATCATCGGTTTCGGTTATACGGGGCTTGAACGGTACCAGCTGATATTTCAGCGGTGTGCATCCGGTTGAGTAAGATCTGTTCTTTCACTGAAATTTATTTTAAAATCAAAGACAAAACGCGGTAAAAAACGTTGTGCAACACTGAAAATTGATGATAATTTTTTTTAAAGTGTGTAGACTTGTCAGGTGACTCAATTTAACAGAAACTCGACAGAACCTCTCCTTCCCCAAACCCGGTGCGTAGTGCACGTGCATGGCCCAAACTCCGCCCTTCTAAACCCGTGAAACCTGCACGGACGGAACGATTTTGAATTTCTTTGCATGACTAGTTTCAGTAAGTCTTGATAAAGAAAATGCCTCGGGTATTCGCCGCTGAAAAGAACAAACATCTCACGCCTTTACGTTGCGACTGCATTACGCTCTACTTTAAGACTTTAAAAGATATCAAATAAATTACGTGTATGGCACTTCTCACAAATTTCAACAATTATCCTTTATTCATGGAGCACACATTGTACGCCGATCATGAAATGCATGCACTCGGAGCATCGGAGTCTAAGTCTATACAGGGTTCTCGAAAATATTTAACCATTCGATGCACGAAACCTACATTTAACGAATAACGCAAAAGAGACAAAACTGACACACAAAAACTGATTTACGAAAGAAAAATTAACCTAAATCGCTTAGCTTACAACGCACCTTTAAAGTGGCAGGAAGGACCGCTTTGGAGACCGAGGCTGTACGATCCAAGTGACAAACTAGACTGAAGGCCTCGCTGATTAATGTGTCGACTCACATCGAAACGGAGGGAGGGCAAGGGAAGTGATACAGTAACACACACACACACACAGAGAGAGAGAGAGAGAGAGAGAGAGAGAGAGAGAGAGAGAGAGAGAGAGAGAGAGAGAGAGAGAGAGAGAGAGGAGGGAATACTGTCAGGGGCACGGCCTCTCTGTCTAGATAACGGTGTGCGGGGGAGGGAAGAGAAAGCGTTATCGTGGTTGTGGTGAAATGGCAAGCCAGTGGGCGGGCCTTGCCTTGAAAGAGAAAGCACATGACACCAGAATGAATGTCATAACAAGACACTGCTAAACAAAATTCATAGGAAAATTTTGCAACGGAAAATGTTTTGAAGATTGGAATATTACACCACAAAGATGCGGGTCGTACGTGCTCACTGAGAATGAAAGAGTCACCATCATCGCCCTTTCATTGGGTGACTCACGCATTTTCGCTCAACTTTCGGTGACGAGCCAGCAGCGACGGACAAAAAACTTTTATCTTAGTGTATATTTTCCTTGAAATAACGATGAAACAGCGCGAAACAAACGCGAACTATCGTTCACTGCAAATGCAAAAGCGATACTAAAGTACATTTTTTTGGCGATACAATTGAGTACCGCCAATAAACGGCCTTACGGAAAAGTATTGCCTTCAGAAAGGCGATACACAGAAGTATCGCCAAAATTTGGCGATACTTTAGGGTATTGCCAAAACGACGGCATTAAACCAAGGTCTTGTCCCCTTGATTTGTTCGACGTTTATTGCCAAATCGTGGCAATACTCTTAAGTATCGCCAAATTTTGGCGATACTTTTCCGTACGGCCGTTTATTGGCGATACTCAATTGTATCGCCACAAAAGGCACTTCAAGTATTGCCTTTGGATTTACAGTGTTGAAATATCCTTGAAACAACATAAAAATAAGAATGAAATAACGTGAATTGGAAATAACGGTGTACAAATTTTAATGAAGTTGTCTGCCCCTCGGCCAGGAGTGACTAAATTTGGGGCAGTTAAGCAACCATCGCCCGAATTCGGATGACGTCGTCGGCCACGCCGTGAGAATGCACCCTTTGGCTCGTGGCTGAGTGAGGAACAATAGTAATCACCAGACAGGCACCAGTAGGAACTTTTCTCTGGGTCCTAACTTTTTCATTACTTTTGTTTTTCAGTCGGCCGCGAGCGAAAGGGTCTATTCCCCCATGCATTTAGATAAGGGGAATCTTGGTGGATGAGCCTCAAACGCACGATTTCGGGATCGCATAACTAACCCACGAACTATACCGAATAACAGGCAAAAACTTTAGAAATCTTTTTAGTGACCAAGCCCCTTACGATTAACCGTGTTTCAGGGCTTATACTTGACTTGCGGTCCTTGAGTCTCTACGGACGAAAAATAAAACTCTTGCCAGCGTTCGACGTACGATGTCTGGATGGATACCAGAAGACCCCGAGCGTTTTAAACGGTAAAATGATCTTCGGAGAAAATAAGAAAGGGAATGGTTAGAGGATGGTTTCGGAAAGATGCGCGTATCGAAGCGGAAACCAAATTTTGGCATTTAGGAAAAAGTGAAGAAAACTGCTTGGTTCTCGATGGTCGTACAGTTTAACTGGTAAAGCATGACCAGACGGCAGAAAAAAGACAACTTTGGTGAGTACTTTCAACTTTTTGTCAAGTTTTATGTTGATTCATATGTTTTTGAGGCTGATGACGAAAATAGAACCAATTCGGACCCCCGAGCTATTTTTGGAGGTGATCACGCCCATTTCTCCGGTCTGTCCACACCGTTAAAAATCCACTGTAATATTACAACACAATCACCTACAGTAATGCTGTTATAAAACAACAGCATTGTTTTGTGTCTGAACGGGAAACCCATCCAGAAACAGCACTTTCGTTTCATAACAATTTCCTTGTCAAGTAACAACAATGTAATCGTCATTCAAAATAGTTGTGTTGTCGTTGAACAGGTTTCATGTTTAGAAACAGCCTTTAGCAATCTTAAAACATATTTTGTTGTCAGGTTACAAGTGTCTTGTTTAATAACAGCACGATGAAATCAACACAAATGTTGGGAAGACATCGTCGAAGACTCCAAAGAAGTATTGTTTTATTACAATCGAACTGTCAGAAAACAGCACCGAGGGCTACAACATGCTTGTAATAAAGCAAGTCGTGCTGCTATCAAACTTAACAGCATAAGTGCTGTTAATTTACAGCACTTTTTTAAACAGTGCAGCAAAGCAGCCTGCCGAAGGCACGCTAGCGCCGCAGGCCAAGGTATATACGCCAGGCGTGGATTGTAGTGCGATAGATCACTAGTTGTCAGTCGTCGTCCGTGGGCCGTGGTGTGACGTTCGCCATGGTTCCTGTAAACTGTGAATTCCACTTGGTCTATATTTTGCCAGAGCTGAAGAAACTAGGGATAACTTGGGCTGATACAGAAACAGATATTAAGATTATCCATCTAACTCTACTGGCGTCGGGGAGACGTGAAATTCCCGCATATGGCCCTGACCGCCATCGAAGTGCACTGCGAGAACGCGGTAAATCCTGTACTGATTACTCCAGACTTCACCGTACTTTTTTTAACAGGCAATACCGTACTTTTTTATACAGGAAACACCGTACCTTTTTTACAGGGAATCCCGTACTTTTTTACCCGGCAATCCCGTACTTTTAATACCTATCAAAAACTACTATAATTTTGTTCAGTCGATTGACCCTCTTATTCCAAGTTCCTGATGTACGCAACTGCTGAAGTCGGACTCCTGGACCCCTCTTCCGACCACTCTTTGGTAAGGTCTTGACGAGACCTATTGAAAGGTGCAATAAAATTTTTCAGTCGGTCGACCCCCTTTTTTCAAGATCCTGATGTGGACACTTCTTGGAAGCGGCCTTTGTTGGGACCAGATCTGGTCTTTCCTACGGCATGGACTGTACGGAAGAACGGTAACTACTGTTAAAAGACTACGGAATATTTTGTAAAACAAGTACGGTAAATACTGTAGACTGTACGGAGGATACTGGTTTTTGAAGTACGGTTAAGTTTGGCAAAAAAATTATCCAAGATTTACCGTCATTTTTTCTCAGAGTGTGTGAAGGCGGCGTTCGTGGCGAAGGGCACTCATCACGACCGCTCCATGGCGGACGCCAAGGTTAGTTGGCTGTGTGACAGCGAAGCCCTTGCCGTGTTTGATGTGCAACTCTGTATTGGGTTAGCCGGCATCATCCTGTGTTTAGGGGATTTTTTCCAAACCGGGACGAGTTGACCCATTCCTAGGAACTTGGCCGGACTCTGCCGGGGCTTAGCCCGAAACTGGCGCAGCATCGCGAAGCCTGTTACGATAAGACACGGTCGGGCGTGCACCTACCTTGTGAGTATGGACCCTATCAGTCATCGCCTGGAGAAGGACAAAAGTAATAAAAAAGTCAGGATCCAGTAGCGCGCCACCTAACGGCCGTTACTGTGTGCACTGTCAAAAGCTGAACCCTCATTGGTCACAACCATAAGTCCGAACGAAGTCCGTATCAGTGGCCGCTAGGTGGCGCGCATCTGTTTCCTAATTTCTGATTACTTAGAGTATGAGTAAGTTGACACTTATGGAGAATGAACATGAGCTACAGGATGCAGAGAGTGAGTTAGCTAGAGCCTACTTGTGGTTAGCTAACATTGTAAGTCAAGATGCAGATGCATACAGGGAATGCCATTTAACATCATACTGCCTGCACCAAACTCAAGAAGGTCTAGCAAAACTTGAAATGCCATCAAATAAGGTGCACGATGACACTATTATGTTCTTCACTGGGTGATGACTGAAAGGGTCTATTCTGAGGAAACTGTGTGAGAGCGGTTAGATAGGGAATGCTACATTAAGCTGGAAGCAAAATGCAATGAGTGTGGTGCTGAGGGAGTCGGAAAAACATTGACGGAGCCTAAGGAAGAGGAACCTGTACAGCTAATGTGGACTGCGGACGATACCCAGGAAATACATCATAAGAAGAAGAGGCTTTTGTCGCATTACCTGAAGGACAAAGTTACAGACGACTTGCAGAGAAGGCCCACAGCATTGTGGAGGAAGCGACAGGCAAGCAGGACTACGGATGAGCGTGACCAAGAACCTCCTGATCTATTTACCAAAGACGTCCTGATAAAGGCTAAGCAGCAAAAAAGGGATAAAGACTTGAATATTCCAACTAACCATACGGACCCTGTTAAATGCCTGCAGGCAATGAAAAACACTCAACCTTTTGCAGGCTGAATTCACCAGATAGAGATTGACTGGTTTTTTGGGCACAAGTACTAAACTTAACTTACTTTATCTATATATTATTTTTAATGCTTACTTTTCTCGGCTGTTTACTTTCAGTCATGGCGTCTGACGAGGATGAGCACACCCTGGTCTTACGCAATGCGGTCAGTTTGCTAGCTTCGCCAGCAAACAGTACATCATCATGCCGATAGATGCTATAGGATCCGTAGCTCAAAAACTGCGGACCCCAAGTGGACGCACATCTCACATCTTCCTGTACATCTACCAGTTGCCCAAGTATTGTCTAAACGGCAAGATGCCAGTCTGGCTAAATGAATTTTTGAGGAATGGTGCACCTTTTCCCAACGAAGTGGTTGAGGACAATTCAACAGCTCTCAAAAAAACTGTTGCCATGTCCTTCTGCGAATGCAAAAGCCTCCACGACTACAAGGTAGGTGTACGCCAGACAGTGGCTTGTGCTAACAGGCTTCGCGATGCTGCACCAGTTCCGACAATCCACGCCTGGCGTTAACACCTACCTTGGCCTGCGGCGCTGGCCTGCATTCGGCAGACTCTCTCACCACTCAAATCGCACATCAAAGCGAAATACGGTTTCAACATTTATGCTGGGGGCGTTCATGTACGGGGTGATGGGTTCGCTGGTCAAACTGCATGACAGTTTTGGTTTGACTCCCCTAAAATACTGGCGACAGTAGATTGTGCTAACAGCGCCTTCGCAATGCTGCGCCAGTTCCGATAATCCACGCCTGGCGTTAACACCTACCTTGGCCTGCGGCGCTGGCCTGCATTCGGCAGACTCTCTCGCCACTCAAATCGCACATCAAAGCAAATTTCGGTTTCAACTTCCATGCTATGGGGGGCACCGCCCCTCAGAACCCCCTTACCTGTACGGAGTGATGTGATTGGTTCGCTGGTCAAACTGCATAACAGTTTTGGTTTGACTCCCCTAAAACACTGGCGAACTTTTGTCGCATTAGGTATCAAACCTGGGCACAGTGGGCTAAAAGACCGGTGGAGGCGGTCGAAAGTGTTCGAGACGCGTCACAGTGGGCCAGAAGACCGGTGGAGGCGGCCAAAACTCTAGACGCGTTTTGATCTCCAGAGTCGCTAAATGGGACTTGAACCGAACGCACAGTGGGCTGGGATCGCATTCTAGCCGCTTATAATTAATTTCTCTGTCACTTTTGGTCGTAGAGCCTTCAAATTTGGTGTGTAGCTTCTTATAATGGCACAAAATAACTCCCTAACCATATTTTACAATTTGATGAACCTGCGACCGAATCCATGAAACCCGGGTTCAAATCTCGGTAGGGTGTAGTTGGTCAAAAATTTTGGTGTTGAGATTAACATCCTATCTCATGTTTTTGAGTGTGCTGATGCCGAATTTGACATCGAAGTTGACCTCAGACTTTGATTTCAGGCTCTATGGCCTCAGAAAGGACCATTTTTCTTCATTTTTGTTTGTTTTGAGGACTCTCTATGGTTTTAAGGGTTATGTTAAAAATAGGGCCTAGCTGGACCTTCAAACAGTGTTAGACGTGGAAAAGGTAGGGAAGCAAAATGAATTCCTGGTTACTTGGATAAAATTCATGAGGACATGAAAATACTGAATAGACAATACAGACAATATGGGTCAAATTTCACTATGAGACATTGAAAGCGAAAAGAAAAAGCTTTTTTAAAATAGCGTCACTTCCGAAAACGTTACAAGCAAAACACGGTAAAACATTCGAACAAATGTCTGAGGTTCAGTTGCAGGCGATCTTTCCCGGGTTTTTGTGGCTTTCCTTATTCTCTACTCGTCAACAATAGGAAACTTTCGTTGATGCCGAACCGGAAGTAAACAGACGTCATGTTAGCGGAAGTAGATCAAAACTTGACATGGGGAAGAGACGATAGTCAAACGCATCGGCCACTTTTAAACGTTACCAGTCGTTTGACACCCATTTGCATTGCATTTCTGTTCCGCGAGCAATATTTGTACAGCTCGGCTGTACTAAGACCGCGCTCCACTCGCTGTGCGCGCGCGCAGCAGCAGCGTTGATCGTGTGCTTGTGCGCAAGCACGCTCACAGTGCTAACGAGCACACCCGTGACGTCAGTCCACTACTTTTTGACAAAATGCAATTTTTCGGCGTAAAATAACATTTTTAGAGCCTTGCGTTTGCGTTTGCGCAAGTTTGCGCAGCTTTTCTCGGTTGATCATTTATCAAGACATACCTGACGTCAATTTCTAGTGTACAGACGTGCTTGATTGGGGTTGATTCGGTAGTAGATCTCAAACTTTACGTTTTTTTAATGATAATTTGCGTAATTTGTGGTAAAATGGAGCGCCGTTCATTCAACTTTGGTCAGAAAACAAAAACATTGGTACCATTTTAAAGGGCAGACCTTAAGCTTCAAGAGGAACCCAGCGGAAGTTTGTAATTAGCATTCCAATCGCTCACAAAGTATAAAAATATAACAGCTTATTTTTAGCATTAATTTGGAACTTCTACCGAATGTTGTACTTTGACGGCATGTAGCGGCCAAAGTATTTGTCGCACGTCAATTCCAAGACCAGATTTGGAATCTACGGAAAATTTCCTATCAAATACATTTAAAATCGGCCTATTTGGACGACTTTCAAAAAATTATTTTTAAGCGGCTAGAATGCGATCCCAGCCCACTGTGCTGGGTCGGATTTGAATTGGATTCCATTTCGATTATCAGCACCCTCCAAAACATGTGAAAGGATGAAAAACTTTGCGTGTCCACTAATGTCAGTACAAAGTTAATTTGTTGCCGTTCATAAGTGTTTTTTAGCTCAAATGACCAGGTGGACTGAGGTGGAGAGCTGAATTTTGGTGTGTGGCAAGCCATACCCAATGATCGTGCTAAATCTCAGCCAGATCAGCCGAGCCGTGCAGGACGAGTAGAGCTGACTGACACAACCACACACAAAGACAGACAGACAAAACTTTCTAGCCCCAGTGCAGTAACGGGCTTCGCTATCGCTCAACCAATTAACTAATGAATGGGGTTCAGGTTTAGCGGATAGCACATCGCACTGTAAATACCCTTAGCAAGGAACAAGAGACAAACTGCTTCGAAAGTCAATAAAACAAATTCTTAATTTGAATGCTAGCGCTAATTGGCAAAAGCACCCCCACTGTATATGTGTTTATTGGCTGAGCGATAGCGAAGCTCGTTACTCCAATGGGGTTGAAAAGTTTTGTCTGTCTGTTTGTCTGTCTACGTGTGTGTGTGCACTACTCCTCCTGAACGGCTCGGCCGATCTGGCTGAGATTTTGCAGGGTCATTAGGTATGTTCTTGGCTTGCCACACACTAAAATTCAGCTTTCTATCTCAATCCATTCGGCCATATTAGCCAAAAAACACTTAAAAACGGCAGAAAAAAGACAACTTTTCAGGTACTTTCAACTTTGTGTCAAGTTTCATATCGTTTTATATGTTTTTGCGGCTGCTGATGACGAAAAGAGAACCCGTTCGGTTCTCCGACCGAAAGTTGAATCCGATTGGTGGATATTTTGATGACCAAATGCTATTTTTGAGGGGATCACGCCCATTTCCACGGTCTGCCTGGGAAAGCAGCCTGCCGAAGGCAGGTTAGCGCCGCAGGCCAAGGTAGGTGTATACGCCAGGCGTGGATGGTCGAAACTGGCGCAGCATCGCGAAGCCTGTTACGACAAGACACGGTCTGGCGTACACCTACCTTATTTAAATTAACCAATGAATGGGGTTCAAGCTAGCGGGTCCTCCACCGCTCTGTAACAAATTTCGAAGTCAAAAAAATTCTTAATTTAAGCGATTAAAAACAGGTCGGTAGGGTCGGTATACGCCAGACCGTGTCTCTTCGTAACAGGCTTCGCGATGCTGCGCCAGTTACGATAATCCACGCCTGGCATTCACACCTGCCCGGGCCGCGGCACTTCCACAGCTTGCCTTCGGCTTGTTGAAGTTTGAAGCCTTGCGGTCTCACGAGAATGCCGAGGGTCTTGTTGACGGACGACGGCTCTCGACGTGGGACACGACAACACTACACTGCAGAAAATAACCACAACAAAAGTACACAAATTTCTGGCAAATTTTTTATCAGGAATTTAGTGTACTTTTCAAGTACAACAATTGTTGTACAAAGTACAACGGAACCGGCACGACGAGTGCTGGGCAGTCCAGGGCTCGTTGTGGTTTGAACGATTCTCGTTGTACATTCTACAATCGCTGTTGTACTTTTATTGTACAGTTTTTGTTGTACTGTCCACACTTTTTCTTGCAGTGGTCACCTCCGCCGTGTGTCCGCTCGTCCGCTCAGCCAGCCTCTTGGCCGACCTAGACAGTGCTGCTGCTACAGTGGCGCGCCGCGCGTGGCGTGGCGTGGCCCAAGGCAAACTAGTCCACTGCCCGCCCGATAGGGCGTTTGAAAAAAAAAATGATTTTTATATGGAGTCGATTTTTAGGTTGAACCAGTGGAGCCGGGATAGTAATATTTTGCGTGTACCGAGCTAAGAACAAACCTAATGAGCCTGCAATGTCTCACCCACATCGGCCCACATCGGCCGAGCCGTTCAGAAGGAGTAGTGCACACACGCAGACAGACGGACAGACAGACAGACAAAACGTTTCAACCGCTCTGGAGTAACAGGCTTCGCTATCGCTCAGCCAACAAGGTAAGTTTACGCCAGACCGCGTCTTGTCGTAACAGGCTTCGCGATGTCTCGCGACCTGTTTCTCCAATCCGCGCCTGGCGTACCCACTTTGGCCTGCGGCGCTAGCCTGCCCCTGCCCTCGGCAGGCATTGGCTTGTCCATCGTCGGTGACTTCTTACTTGTTGCATATTTGGGGGGGGGGGGAGGATCCGCACGCACACCCCCTTCATTCTAGATAGAGTTGTTTCATCAACAGATATCACGATCTTGATATTTGTAACTTTTTAACTTTTCGGGGCTTTTCGGGCCAGACCCCCCTTCCTCTAAGACAGGAGTGATCTGCCTGCAGAAGACTCGGGTGTTCGCCGTTTTTCAGGTGCTTTTCGCCTATAAAAACCAACCCACATGAGGTCGGATAGTGAAATTTGGCGTGTGCCGGGCCAAGAACATACCTAATAAGCCTGCAAAATCTCAGCCAGATCGGCCGAGCCGTTCAGGAGGAGTAGCGTACACACACAGACAGACAAAACTTTTCAACCGCACTGCACTGTGGCAAAAAGGTACGGAAAATCCTGTTAATTTTTTTGCCAGGATTCTCCGTAGCCCTCTTATCAATATTCTCCGTAGGCTCTTACAGTATTCTCCGTAGGGCCGCACAGTATTCTCTGTAAATCCGCACAGTCTTCTCCGTAGGACCTCGAAGACTGTATAGTCCTACGGAGATCACTGTGCGGTCCTACGGAGAATACTGTGCGGTCCTACAGAAAATACTGTAAGAGCCTACGTAGAATATTGATAAGGGGCCTACGGAGAATTACCACAAGCTGTTTACAGAATTTTCCGTAGCTTTTTGCCACAGTGTGGAGTAACGGGCTTCGCTATCACTCGGCCAATGAAGAAATGCTTCGTGTTACGAAGGATTTTGCTTCATAATACGAAGCACTTCTTCGCATATTTTACAATGCCTTCGTGCATTTTCTTCGTGATACGAAGCGATTCTTCGTTGACCTTATACCGTGTGGCTTGTCATAACAGGCTGTGCGATACTGCGCCAGTACGTCAGTCCACGCCTGGCGTTTACACCTGCCTTGGCCTGCGGCGCTTGCGTTCGGCAAGCTGTCTCAGAAACGTTGAAGCAACGAGTACACTCTAAATGTTGTACAGGGAAGATGTTCCATACGTATTATGGTGGTGCAGCTGACTTCGTAACACACCATTGAGAATTCACTGCACCTTATAGAGATTTTGACGAATTTCGTTGGTATTATGGAGAAAATCGCCACCATATTATGTTGGTGCAGCCTTTCACCGTAAGACATTTACTGTGTAGAGCTCATTGTGGTGAAGGTTTCATCTAGGTTATATCTGAGCAGACCCATTGTAAAGCGCAATCCAATATTTTAGTCGGTCGACCCCTCTCATCCACGAATCCTGATCTGGCCAACTCGTGGAAACGGCAGACATTGTCGAAACCGGGTCCACCGAACCGGTCTGGTCACCACTTTTCAGTAAACACCCCTACATGCCGTGCTAGCACCGTCTATGGCCGAAATCCTCCTCCCGCTCCTGTAAATCTTGCCCCTTTCTGCCGTTTAATGGGTGGATTTTGCTTACTAAGAATAAAGGGGTAACAAAAGCCAATTCTTGGTGTGTGGCGAGCCACGGACGCGCCCAATGAGCCTGCTAAATCTACAAAACAATTTATTTTGCACAAGATTCTTTACTGTCAATTCAAAAACTGTCTGAAGCATTTTTCGTTTCGCATGCTGCTGGATTACAAGTTAGGTTTACGCCAGACCACGTCTTGTCGTAACAGGCTACGCGATGTCTCGCTGCCTGTTTTTCCAATCCGTGCCTGGCGTACGTACCTTGGCCTGCGGCGCTAGCCTGCCTTCGGCAGGCAATGGCTTGTTCATCTTCGGTTGCTTTTAACTTGATGCGTGCTGGGGGGCTCCCCCCCCCCCCCAGACCCCCCTTCCCTCTAGAGTTGGTTCATGTACAGAACTCAATCTTGACCCTTGTAACTTTTTCACTTGTCCGGGCTGGACCCTCGTATCTTTAAGAAAATAATGATCTGCCTGCAAAAATAATTCGATTTTTCGCCGTTAAATGTTATTCGGCTATAAAAACGAAAGCAGTTTAACAAGGATAGTGAAATTTCGCGTGCGCCGAGCTAAGGACATACCTAAAAAGTGTGCTACATCTCACCGAGATCGGCTGAGCCGTTCAGGAGGAGTAGTGCGGACACACAGACGGACAGACAGGAAAAACTTTTGAACCCCACTGGAGTAACAGGCTTCGCTATCGCTCAGCCAATTAGCCCATGATCCAAATTTTTTGTAGGACATCTTTTGCTTAGAAAGCTTCAAAGAATTCATCGGAAAAATTTTAGCAATTTGTCATGACAATGCTCTCATAACGCCTGAACTACCTTATCGGCTGCATTCTGTCACGGTACCTGGCCTCAGCCATTTCTTTGGTTTCTTCTTACTCTGCTTTCAACTTTCTTATTTCTTCAGTCAATTGTTCTCTCTCCTGTGACAAAAGATCGTTTCCTCCTTTTAAGTTGTAAACTCTTATCTGTAATAACAGGAAAAGAAGCGATACACATCGGCAACTTTGGCCCGTCCCGCACATTGAGGGGTGTGCGAGGTTTGCACAAAACGCTAGACCGCGTCTTGTCGTAACAGGCTACGCGATGTCTCGCTGCCTGTTCCTCCAATCCGCGCCTGGCGTACTCTAAATCAACTGGTACAGATGGTGTATCCAATATTATAATCAAAAAGTGCATTGACAATCTGGCAAAACCCCTTGTACACATAGGAAATTTAATTATGAGTACAGGTACCTATCCTGAGAAAATCAAGGAAGGCCTAGTAAAGCCAGTACATAAAACAAATCTAAACAAAGACCTGATAATTACAGGCCGTTGACCATAACGTCCTCATTCTCGAAGGTATTCGAAAGAATCCTCCTTGATAGGGTAGAACCCTTTTTTAGAAATAACAATCTAATAAGTGACTTTCAATTTGGATATAAAAAAGGGAAGTCAACAATAGATGCAGTTACATATGCAGTAGACACCATAGCTACTGCTAAATGTGACAAAGAAACTGTCATTGCTATTTTCTTAGACCTTAGCAAGGCGTTTGACTGTGTCAAGCACGACATATTACTTGATATAATGTATAAGAGTGGACTGAGGGGTAACGCCCATGAACTTATGAAAAGTTTCTTACAAGAAAGAGTTCAATGTGTTGAAGTACAACACCTCGATAGCGAAGGTACTATTAACAAAATAAGATCTAATATGAAAACAGTTAAGTTCAATGTGCCACAAGGAACCGTAATTGGTCCTTTTATGTTTCTAATATATGTTAATAGCATTGAAGAGACTATCAGACAACTAGGGGGAAAATCTGTCTTGTATGTTGATGATACTAACATCATCATTAAAGCACCCACCCTCGACCAAGCAAGGGAAGTTGCTGAAAAAATAATTGACAAAATTGCTGATCTATTTTCTTCACTCAATTTGGCACTAAATTGGGATAAAACCTTTGCAATGATCTTTAATACAGCTCAAACCCTTGATAAAATCTGCACCCAGAGTGGTACCATAAAAATTGTCAAAAAAGTAAATTTCCTTGGGCTGACCCTAACAAATGATCTCAAGTGGAAAACGCACATTGAAAGCTGCCTAACTAAACTTAATAGAGGGATCTATACCCTATCCCAGGCAATTCAGATGCTACATCGATCAGAAGCACTATATGTCTATTATGCTAATGTCCACTCCCATCTGACCTATGGTGCCCTAATATGGGGAAATCCTAGCTGTGCTAGTATTGTAACTAAATCCATTTTTAGAAAGCAAAAAAAAAAAGCTGTTAGACTTCTCATCTATGGTCCATCTCTCAACAGGAAAACATGCAGGGGCCTCTTTAGAAAACTCAAAATACTAACTTTTCCCTCAATACATCTGTACCAATGTGTAAAACATATTAGACTTTGCAATTCTTTGACTGTTGGTGAAAAGCACCAGTATAATACTAGGAATGGGAAAAGTGTGTTCAGAGAACACAGCAGCAATAAATCAGTCTTTGATCATTCGGCCCAAATGTATAATAAATTACCATCAGTATTCAAGGATATTAGTGATAACAAAAGATTCTTAAAAAAAAGTGAAGCAATGGCTGATGGACATGGAATTCTATTCTGTAGATGAATTCATTGAAGGTAGTAGATAAGTCAACTGTGATACTATTTATGTATTGTCTTTAATCTATATGTTTCTTTTTTCTTTAAATGAGGCGAAATGAGCCTAATTTCACTACTGTGACATCAGCGATGTGTACAAATTGTGTATATAACTACTTATGCTGAAAATAAACAATACAATACAATAAAAATTTGAAAATTTGTATCTTAGGACAAAAGTTGAATTTGAAAATCCAGTCTCTAAATTCTCCTCTATACATCTTTAGGATAACCCAAAAAGTTTTTCAAGACTTTCCGTCCCAATGAAAGACAAAGGAAGATTTTTCCCCAACGGAAAATAATTTAGTAAATACCCCTGCATGATCTGTAAACTGAATCAACTCCCATCACTCTTCACGCGCGGACGGCGCAACCCCAATGAGCCCCCTTAAGGGCGCCCCTATGGGGCCTGCAGGCCCTCATCGGATGGGGGTAGTCTCGCAGTGTGGCACGTCCCACGCGACGCGCACGGCAGCACGCGTGCACACCCCGACTCGCCCGCCCGAGGGCACTGTGTATCGAACCTGAACCACCGACGAGAACTGTGAATTATAGTGACAAGTAACTTTACTCCGTGTTACGTCGTTCCTTGCGTCAATTGCCTTTCCCAAACCTAACATCCACTGCGATACCTTTCTAGCGCCAAGAGAACCCTGGGCAGGATAGGTCTGAGACACCGTCCACAACAGTACACTAGTACACTAGTAACTCACCCCTTCCTGCCGCGCCTTCAGCTCCTCCACCTCGGCCTGGAGTGTGGCTACCTGGCTTCGCAGCTCCGCCACCTCCTGCTGCAGCGGCGGCGGCGGGGGCTGGTGGGGCTGTTGGGGCTGCTGGGGCTGCTGGGGCAGCACAGCCAGCGGCTGCCTGTCCTGTAACACAAAACACACAAGGCTAAGTCTAGTTCTGCGTGCGAGACGGCGGCGTGGCAGCTAGGTCAATGCCAAGGAGCGATGAGCCAAACGACGTCCACCGCGCGCACTGCCGCGGCCAGCAACGCGAGGCGAGGCGCTCTTGCTGTCTCTCCTCTTCCTGCCCCTCCTCTTCCTGCCTGTCCTCTCCCTGCCTCCCGCCCTGCCCCAGCTCTCCCAGCTTACCTTGGCTGCGAACAAAGGGGAAAACCATAATTAGAGATCGCTTTAGAAACAAAATATTGAAGCCAAATGCATTGCTGAACGTTAAGAAGAAAGTTTGCTTACCCCGCCCGCCGTACTGCTTCATGTGTTGAGTGTACTCTGTTTCAGACACTCTCTCCCACTGCATTTTGTGGCGTTTTTCTGAAAAACGAGTTAGACATTAAAAAAACGCTAACGCTAACGTGAAAGCAGACGATACTTATGGGGATGTTTATTGAAATGTATGAATGTGACATTTTGTCAATTTCTCTCAAAGAGTAAACACTCGGAACCCTTTTTTTGACAAATTTCTCACGCATGGTAATTCATGAAAATGTCAATTTTAGTATAACTTTTGAATATCCTAACGTGCCATTGTTTTGTGTTAAACATGTTCGCAATGACGGTGGGACACTCATATGTCCGATACCACTTGTGTTGGGTATCATTTTCGTTGTTTCAACGCGAGGATGCACAATTTGGTGGCTAATCACATAAATACTCAATACCCGTAAAAGTTGTGTTCGGTACTAGGGCAAGGCGCCTTGCGGCACGCGGCGTGTCAGCCTCATCTCCAAGCGGGGCCGGCCGGCCGGCGCGCCACCCGAACCCGACCTCAAGATAAATAAGCAAGAGTGGCGCACACTGCCGACTGCCGACGCGCCGCTTCTCGAGAGGGACTGGGGTTCGGTGGGGCGCTGCACTATGCGTTCTACGCACTCAAGGCTCAAGTGCGAGTGTGTGTAGACTGTTGCGGGGCGCGGCGGGACGTGGCGTCTCGGCAAGGGAATGGGCGAGGGGGGCAGCTACGCGATGCGTGCTAGCAGCGTCTCGTAACGACGCGCAACGCGAGGGACGCACTTCATGAGTACTAGAGAGCTGGGTGTCGAAGGTCGATACTCACTCTTTACGTGGTCCCTCATGGACCTATCCGTCTTGACCACTTTATCGACGCATGTCGAACACACCCACATGAGCTGCAACAGAAAAAACAGTCCACCGTCAAGCAAAGGCCGCAGTGGCCATTCAGTTTAACGCGGCGGAGACGGGAACAGGACATTTTCACCCACACTCGCATTTTCCTCGGGGCCGGCGGCAGCATCCATGGCACTGCAACAGAATTCATTTCATTTAGCCTCACACCAAAGGAAGTAGCAGGGGCAGGCCGGCCGGCCCACGCCCACGCAGCGTGCGAACTTGGCCCAGCGGCGGCGACGAGGGGGCGAAACCTCGCGCAATCATGTGTACACGGCCCCCGAAATCACATGCGAATCATTGAGAATCACGCGAAATCAAGCAATCCGAAATCAACCAAAATCACTAAATTCGACCGAAATCAGGCAGAATCACACGAAACCAGGCAAAATCAGTCCGAAATCATTTCTTTCCGAGCACAATCACACACAATCACGCTCAACATCACCCTGGTGCGTCGCGAAATAAGGCGAATCAGCCATGAAATCATTGCGTTTTCCGAATCATGTGTACACGAAAATCCCGAGTTTTTGCCCCCTCGGGCGGCGACCCCTAGTGGGACAGCACCGGTTAACGAGATGCGCTCTAAACAGTGCGGGGATAAAGAAAGACGCTCAGAGGACTGCCAGATTTCGGGGAACAAACAGATATTCGGCCCCCGCCCCTTTTTGGATGGGGCCTGCACACTCTAAATGTCTTACAATGAAATTTGACCTATGTTATTCGTATGTTACAGTGAATTCGGCGCAAGCATAATACGAAGCAATATTCCTTCGTAATACGAATCTTTTAAGCTTTTTCATTGTAAGATACAAAGAAAAACCTTCGTAATACGAAGAAAAATCACCTTCGTATTATGCTTGCGCCATTTCCTTCGTAATATGGGAAATTTCTTCGTAAGACATTTAGAGTGCAGGCCCTCGTCGGACGGGGGTAGTCTCGCAGTGTGGCACGTCCCACGCGACGCGCACGGCAGCACGCGTGCACACCCCGACTCGCCCGCCCGAGGGCACTGTGTATCGAACCTGAACCACCGACGAGAACTGTGAGTTATAGTGACAAGTAACTTTACTCCGTGTTACGTCGTTCCTTGTGTCTTGCCTTTCCCAAACCTAACATCCACTGCGATACCTCTCGCGCGCCAAGAGAACCCTGGGCAGGATAGGTCTGAGAAACCGTCCACAACAGTACACCAGTAACTCACCATTTTCGGCGGCACCTGCAGCAGAGCCTCGAGGTGCGCCACCCTCTCGCGAAGGCGGAGCACCTCGGGCCTCAGGTCCTCCTGGGGCTGCTGCGGGGGCTCCTGGGGCTGCTGCGGGGGCTCCTCGGGCTGCCGCGGCTGCCGCCGCTGCCGCCGCGGGGGCTGTTGCCCCAAGTTGGCCAGAGGTTGCCTTTCCTGTAACACGAAACACACAAGGCTAAGTCTAGTTCTGCGTGCGAGACGGGGCGTGGCAGCCAGGTCAATGCCAAGGAGCGATGAGCCAAACGACGTCCGCCGTGCGCACTGCCGCGGCCAGCAACGCGAGGCGAGGCCTTGGTGGGGGGAGGATCCAGGACCCGGGCTGGGCCAACCAGAGCGTCGTCAGGGGAGCGGCACGTAGAGCTACCAACGGGGATCTACTTCATGATGCTTACCGGCTCTGCGAACAAAGGTGAAAACCAGGATTAGACGTCACTTCAGAAACAGAATATTGACACCAAATGCATTGCTGCACGTTTTAAAGAAAGTGTACTTACTTTTCTTCTTCCTCCTGCCGTCAACAACGTCTTTGGGTTGGTACATGACATCTGGTTCCCGCGAGCAGTTGTTGTTGGCTGAAAAACAAGTTAGAAATTAAATAAGCAGCACCGCTTCATTGCATTGCCTCTCGTCCCGTCGATACTCACGCTTCCGGACGTGTTTTACGGCGTTGTCGCGTGATAGGTATGTGAGTCCACAATCCACGCACTTCCACGTTTTTTCCTGCAACAGAAAGGCAGCCTACCGTCAAGCAGGACCAAAGGGAAGGTCGCCGCGCCCCGGGCGAGGGGCTGCATCCCCATCTGGCGCCACGAGTGCCAGAGAGACAGAAACGAGTCTTTGGCCCAAAATGGGTCTGCAGTAACTCTGCAATGTTTCTTGGGCATACTGAAAAGGCAAATACAGCTTGAGATGTTGAGGTAGCTTTACGACTGTAGACATCAAGGCGCCTCCAGCTGCTCCACCTTTGCCTGGAGGTGGAGCAGCTGGCCCCTCAGCTGGACCACAGCGTCCGGCTGCGGGGGCTGCTGCCGCGGGGGCTGCTGCCGCGGGGGCTGCTGCGGGAGATCCCCAAGAGGTTGCCTGTCCTGTAACACAAAACACAAAAGGCTAAGTCTAGTTCTGCGTGCGAGACGGGGCGGGGGACCCGATGGCGGCGTGGCAGCCAGGTCATAGTGGCCGTGGTACACGCCAAACACCATAAGAATCGCGCATTTTGTGAAAGAAGCATGAAATTTTGCACACACGTTCTTAAAGGCCTAATGAACGATTTTGTCCGTGTTCTTTTTGATTTTGACGGCCCGTTCAACCTGGGCCGTTCAATTTGTTCAAATTGAACATAATTTTTTAAATGCGTGTTATGGGAGCTATTTAGTCATGCGAGGCGACTTTTCCGCACAATTCGATGGTGCTGAACACGAATCAAGGCTCAGACAGGTGATTTGAACACTTTTGAACACTCTTTTTGAACATTTTCGTACATTTCAGTGCATTTTCTTGAAACGCTTCTGGAACGCCGTAAACGTGCTGCGAAGCCATTGCATTTCGTCTGGCACCTTTCTCCACACCTTACCTGACGTGCATGAACACACAGGGAACGTCCAGGAGCCCGTTCCGAACGCTGTTTGGAACACCAAGTTGTACAAAATTCAGGTTTGTCGAAATAAATCGTTCTGCACGTCGTTTCAATGGGAAACGGGGACGCTGATGACGAATCTGGACTCGGGAATAGTGTTGGCGTACTCTGGAACGAGCTGCGAACTGTTCCGAACACCGGCTGGAACACCGAGAGGAACAAAATGAAGATTTATCGGAGAGAAGCGTTCTGCGCGGCGATTCAATGGGAAACGGGGACGCTGATGACGAATCTGGACTCGGGAATAGTGTTGGCGTACTCTGGAACGAGCTGCGAACTGTTCCGAACACCGGCTGGAACACCGAGTTGAACAAAATGAAGATTTATCGGAGAGAAGCGTTCTGAGCGGCGATTCAATGGGAAACGTGCACGCAGATGACGAATTTGGATTTGGAAATAGTGTTCGTGTACTCTGGAACGAGCTGCAAACTGTTCCGAACACCGGTTGGAACACCGAGTGGAACAAAATGTGGACAAATTCAAGCATGATGTTTCTGCTCCAATGATAATTTCCTCGTGTTTTCGTATCCCGTGCCGGCATCAAGTTTTTGAACACGCATTTTGGATGGGAGGACATGATCGAATTGAGCCAAGGTAGCGAACTTGCTGGCGACGCTCAAATACCCTGAATTTCGTCTAGAAATTATGGGATTCAGCCCTGGGCACTCCAACTTTTCGCCTGATAATGATTGGCAGATCACGCACTTGGCCCAATCAACCGCAATGGTTTCTTCCGACAGAGAAACTGGGCCAGCCAAGGACAGCCTACTCTTTCCGCGGCCAATGCCCCCCACGCCCTTTCCCGCCATTCTCAATCTGCACCAATACAACACATTTTCAGGGGGGAAAACATACCAAAGCAGCGCCGTTGAAGCCAAGAAGTCGGACATACGCACCAAATTACCAGCATTAAGAAAATAATCAATGTAGGTAGCCTCTAGCAGAAGAGCGGCGGCGCATTGTTGATAAAAGTTGACAATCGAGCAGGGAAGGCGCAGGGTGAGAAGGCCGCTACAGTGTAGCCAACATAATTCTTTACAATATTCTGCAACGACTGAACGCATCATCCGTTTCGGATAGAGAAACATGGAGCTTGGATTCATCATCAGCGTGCCCGTTTCCCATTGAATCGCCGCGCAGATCGCTTCTCTCCGATAAATCTTCGTTTTGTTCCACTCGGTGTTCCAACCGGTGTTCGGAACAGTTCGCAGCTCGTTCCAGAGTACGCCAACACTATTCCCGAGTCCAGATTCGTCATCAGCGTCCCCGTTTCCCATTGAATCGCCGCGCAGAACGCTTCTCTCCGATAAATCTTCATTTTGTTCCTCTCGGTGTTCCAGCCGGTGTTCGGAACAGTTCGCAGCTCGTTCCAGAGTACGCCAACACTATTCCCGAGTCCAGATTCGTCATCAGCGTCCCCGTTTCCCATTGAAACGACGTGCAGAACGATTTATTTCGACAAATCTGAATTTTGTACAACTTGGTGTTCCAAACAGCGTTCGGAACGGGCTCCTGGACGTTCCCTGTGTGTTCATGCACGTCAGGTAAGGTGTGGAGAAAGGTGCCAGACGAAATGCAATGGCTTCGCAGCACGTTTACGGCGTTCCAGAAGCGTTTCAAGAAAATGCACTGAAATGTACGAAAATGTTCAAAAAGAGTGTTCAAAAGTGTTCAAATCACCTGTCTGAGCCTTGATTCGTGTTCAGCACCATCGAATTGTGCGGAAAAGTCGCCTCGCATGACTAAATAGCTCCCATAACACGCATTTAAAAAATTATGTTCAATTTGAACAAATTGAACGGCCCAGGTTGAACGGGCCGTCAAAATCAAAAGGAACACGGACAAAATCGTTCATTAGGCCTTTAAGAACGTGTGTGCAAAATTTCATGCTTCTTTCACAAAATGCGCGATTGTTACGGCTACCACGGCCACTATCAATGCCAAGGAGCGATGAGCCAAACGACTTTCGCCGCGCGCACTGCCGCGGCCAGCAACGCGAGGCGAGGCGCTCTTGCTGTCTCTCCTCTTCCTGCCCCTCCTCTTCCTGCCTGTCCTCTCCCTGCCTCCCGCCCTGCCCCAGCTCTCCCAGCTTACCTTGGCTGCGAACTAAGGGGAAAACCATAATTAGAGATCGCTTTAGAAACAAAATATTGAAGCCAAATGCATTGCTGAACGTTAAGAAGAAAGTTTGCTTACCCCGCCCGCCGTACTGCTTCATGTGTTGAGCGTACTCTGTTTCAGACACTCTCTCCCACTGCATTTTGTGGCGTTTTTCTGAAAAACGAGTTAGACATTAAAAAAACGCTAACGCTAACGTGAAAGCAGACGATACTTATGGGGATGTTTATTGAAATGTATGAATGTGACATTTTGTCAATTTCTTTCAAAAAGTAAACACTCGGAACCCTTTTTTTGACAAATTTCTCACGCATGGTAATTCATGAAAATGTCAATTTTAGTATAACTTTTGAATATCCTAACGTGCCATTGTTTTGTGTTAAACATGCCGCGCGCGCAACCCGAGCCTCCGCAGGCGCCCCGATTCATTGAGCGGCGCGAGCGCGGCGCGGCGCGGCACGCTGCGGGCCCTCCGCTCATAATCTTCTAGGCAGGCCAGCCAGCCGCTGCCTTGCCAGCGAGGCGCTCGGCCTCTTCTAGGCTTGCTAGTCAGGCAACGAGGCAACTGCTGCCTGGCTAGCCGGAAACTCGGTACTCTCTGCACGAGAGTACAAGCACGCTGATACGTGAACGTATCATCTGCTAAAAAACATTACCGCTTCAGCCCAATTCGAGGGGGTATGCACTCTCTGAACCTGTGTACCGACTATTACGCTATTACGCTCTATTACGCTTCAAATTATTCGGAATTTAGCTAAAAAACGGCCTAAAACACACCAAAATTGATCAAAATGTGACAATTTCGGCTATTACGCGACTATTACGCGTATTATTACGCGTGCTATTACAGATAGAGTGAACCGACTATTACGCTAGTGCATACCCCCTCGGCCCAATTGCATTGCCTCTTGTCTGGTCGATACTCACTCCGCTCGTGCTCTTTTTTGTATCTGTCACCCAGCACTATGTAGCCGCAACCTTGTTTCTGACACACCCACATGAACTGCAACAGAAAAAACAGTCCACCGTCAAGCAAAGGCCGCAGTGGCCATTCAGTTTAACGCGGCGGAGACGGGAACTGGACATTTTCACTCACGGGGCCGGCGGGTTGTTGGTCGGCGGCGGCTCCTTCCGCATCCATGGCACTGCAACAGAATTCATTTCATTTAGCCTCACACCAAAGGAAGTAGCAGGGCAGCAGGGGCAGGCCGGCCGGCCCACGCCCACGCAGCGTGCGAACTTGGCCCAGCGGCGGCGACCTGGCGACCTGGCGCGTTTGGCGACGCAGGGTAACTGGGATGCCCGGCTGTCCACCTGCCAGCCTGTCTGTCTGCCAAGTGGCCAAGGGCAAAATGTGCTATGACAGAGTCCCCACGTGGCCCCAACCCGAGCCCGAT